GGCCTGTGGGCACCTTTAGCTTCTCTTTCCTTTTCATCAAGGTTGTTACTGCACAATACCGAGATTTGGGTGTTCTGAACATTCTGTTATTGCTATGCTTAGGCTTTTTCTGAACTTACAGATGGATTTTTATGCATCCCTTTTTGCAAAAGGCGCTGTGTGTTGTAATATAGCATGTGATAATCATGTGCAGCCGTGTCTGATATTTCACACCTTCAGTGTACCATATGTCCTGCCTGCTCTTCCAAAGCACCACATTCAGGAAGGGAGCTGCACACAAGACACATTTGCACTAATTAACATACATCGTAGCCTTTGAGGACTATATTGAATTCTTTGCAACCTGTTTCAGTTTCTGTGTGCTTCCCGTCACATACTTTCAATGCTGCCCTACCCCTCCTCAGCAGACTGTCTGCAGCATTCGCACTTGCAAAGAATGTCAGAAATGTGTCTTCAAATCTTTATCCATCGTCACCGTTCATGTGGTTATGTTTACAACTGACTCTGGTGCTATGTTCACAACGTGACTGTTGAAAACGCATTGAATGAAGCGCATGACTATATGCATTTGTTGAAATATGTAAAAAATAATTCAACTTCTATCCTTAAGCCATGGATGAATGTGAACAATCCCTTCATTTTTCATGTGCATATCAATATATTGTCAGCATTTCATTTATTGAGCTCAATTAATCTCAAACAAAAATAAGATATGATCAAGGCAAAGAACCCTGCAGAGGTTAAAACAAATGCTAGGATTATGGACCAGTGGCCACTACTAACATCGGGGTATAGGTGGAGGGCGGACGGTAGCTCCCGTCTCAGACAGGCCTTTACGGGGTTTAGTCTGTGTGGAGATGTAAATATACAACTGGATCATGATGTTTTGCTGATTTATAGTGACTGAAGTCACACGAAGCACCCAGAATCACTGTAAATAAGAATGTATTATGTAAATTGAGGATAAGGAAAAAAATCTGAATCACCGAGAGAAAGCCTCTTAATCTCTGACAGTTTTGGTCTTTTGTAAATATATGCAGCTTCTCATCGAATTAAGGTCACACTGTTGTGAGACCTTGTTCCGCATTCTCTGGAGAATGTGTGAGGTATGCACATAATCAGTTTCCATACAGCCTTCATGAATAACTGTTTATGTGGAGGAAGAGGGGCAAATTTTTTTGTTTTGTACGTGTCATTTGCGCATCTGGCTCCAGATGTTGAAGGTGTAGCTATGTCTTCTCTGGCTATTTGACTGAAACTTAAATAACATTTTTATGTCAGTTTTTTCCCAATCTGAGATTTTTATTAGAAAGTATGTTAATGTAATAAACTGCATGGTGCTCACATCCTCCCGTTCATTGCCGGATTAAAATCTTGATTTGGGAATCAGATGATTGGTTTTGGATTGGGTCCAAAAACTCTCAGACATAGTAATCAGATAATCATGTGTTTGCTGCTAATTACCCAATGCTTGCATTCTGACAAGCTCAAAGTGCGAAGGCAGTGCACAAGGTAAACACGAGCCTGTATGACACATGCATTTTAGCATATATATCTAAAAAACATTGCCAAAACTCATATTCCATCAGTGTCAGATTCTGAATTGCACAGTTTGGAAATGCTTGTGGTTTCAAGCAATATTTCATTTGTAAGGTATTCGATCACATTACAGAGTCTGCATTAAAAAACAAACAAAGAACCACTGCATTCGACTCAAAAGAAAGGTGTTACGGTCTCCTATGCTTCCAGATTTGGCGGTGACTGAAGACATGTGGCAGTGGGGGCTGTGTATAAAGAATGTTCACTGTGTCCTTGTCATTGGTTGGAAGGTTGAGGGCTTTTCAGTTTAGTCTGAAAGTCTGTTTTTATTTCCCTCTCATACAAGGTCAGGAGGATTACACCGGCTTGGGTTTTGATTGCTGGACTTTTGTCTCCGCTCTGTGCATAATGTGAGGATTTTATATACAAAGATGTCAAATGCTCTCTGGAAAAACAGTGTTTAATGCAAGTTTTTGGAGATGTTGCATCGAATGGCAGGTTTTCTATTCAGTAGCTACTGGTGAGGTTATTTTTAGAAGTCCATTGAAAACAGTTTAGTCAGTTTTATTGACACACAGCCTCAGCAAGTGAAATCCAGACAACATGTAACGTAAAAAGTTCACATCTCTCTGTTGCATGTTAGGTAACGCGGGATGTCACCTGAGTGGCACAGATTTTGTGGCCTTCCGTTGCAGGGGCAGCATGGTTTAGGGTTGTAGCTATTTATAGCCGTGCACATGTGCTCTGCTGAGGTCTACAAATAAGCGTCCGAGGCAGTCTGTCTGAATGTTGTGGTGGAGTCTTTAGAATGGCACACAAGCTGTAAAGTATGTTGTTCACAAAGCTGACTGGGGTGATTTTTCTGTGCTTTTTGCCATTGTTACTAAAGGAAGGCATGTCCTCTGCATTGTTACAAGTATTTCAAATTCATATAATAGTGTGAATTCAGAGGGATTTAACAACTAAAGGGTGATAAATCAGATTCTATGCTCTATGCGATCTTTCACAGATCCTGTTTATGTTGGAGGTTAATAGGGCTGCTTTCAGAAGAATGTGAATCATCCAAACTCATGACTGTAAAGGATAATTACTTTGATTTAAATATTTTATGGCCCTGCGATGGACTGGCAGACCGTCCAGCGTGTACCCCCCCTCTCGCCCATTGACTACTGGGTTAGGCTCCAGTCCCCCCGCGACCCCATTAGGGACTAAGTAGTTACGATGATGGATGGAAGGATGAAATATTTTACATGGAGCTTGAAAGATGTGTCACTCATTGCTATTTGCTTTAAATAAGTGATCAGAAGCTTACTTTTTAGTGATTCTGTGTTTGCTCTGGGATTTAGCAGAGATTATCCTGAGATTTTCTATTAAATCTTCTAGATATTAAGGTACATTTTTAGATTCTTTGTTTTTTTTATGAGCATTAAATTCAGGTTTTAAGCTTAATTTTCCTTTTCCTGTTTTAAATTTTACAATCATGTTCAGCATGCCAATAAAAGCTAGAATTGGTTATAACTCAATGGAGATTTTGATCTGATTGTATTAGAGAATCCCGGTAGTTTAGTAAAGAAATCTTAATATTGAAGTTGTGTTGAATTTTCTTCAGTTGTCACAAGGTCAGTCACAGTATTTGATCGTTGGCGACTTGTTTTCTTTAGCTAATTTAGCCCGATATAAGAGGAAGTAAGTAACTAGTTAAAAGTCCAAAATGTGAAATCTCTGAATTTATTAGATTTGATAAGTAGAGAGTGGTTGATTAAGGTTAATTGGGTGGTCACTTAAGTTCTGACACTATTTCAGGCTAAGAGCATAGTTGTTTGTGTTACATATTCATTCCTCATTGCTTCCGTGTTATGACCAAATATTAAATTGCGATTCCGTCAGCATTAATGAAATTGCCAGAGATCATACTTGCTTTTCTTAATAAGATCCTGAAGAGGGCACCAAACTGTTATTGAAGGTTTTGGAGAAGCACAGGTACAGAAGGGACTTTTCTTAGCACACACCCTCGTGGTCCTTCATACCACTTTCACATATGCTAGATCATATCAAACTAACATTGCACCATCTCATACTGGCTAATGTTAATTCAAGCCTATAAAGACTGTGTCAGGAATACTCTGTCAATAGGTGACTAAGGCATGCCATTACTGATGTTTGGCAGTTTGATGATGACTTTCTCTTTTCCATTTGTGATCTTTGCTCTGAGTGGAAGAATTCCCTGGAATACTTACCCAGGCCATCTCTGTCAATCAGTTTTTCAGTAAAAGGTGTTCTTTATGCAGAAATGGCCTTTGATACCGGCATAAAAAATCAACCTGCTGAGAGAAGTGCTGTTTTATACCTCTGTGATTCAGCTACAGTGTGAACTCGAGGACAGATGAATCAGCAATGACACAGCAATGCTGCGGGAAAGCTTTCTCTTTGTATCGTGCTTGCAGTATAAAGAAGGGCTGCTATCAGTTTTATCCCCTTAAAAATTCTTCATTTTATCATTTTTGATGTAAAAGTCCAAAGTGATCTATCCATCAGATCAACCCAATTTTCAATTCTCAGCAGATTTTACACATGAGCTATTCTTAGATGAGCTAAATGGGATAGTCTACAGAGAATACAGTCACAGAACTCTTAAGGTTACCTCTTTTCACAGTGGAAAAGTATGTTTCATGCTTTGTATAAAATCAAAATTATTTAGTTTATGATAGAAGCTTCTATGAACTATTTTTCAATTAAAGGGCAAATTAAGTCAGTTTGTTGTCAGCTGTTAAATATTACGCTTTATTGTACTATTTAAGAATAATTAGCCTGTTATGAACCTATCAGATTATAACAGGTGCATACTTCTTAACAGAGGATCTCTCATATTGACTATGATAAGAGATAAAAGGGTATGATGAGGGTATGATAAAATTACCGCCAAGGAGGGAAGACCTAATTATCTTTTTTGTTTTTTGTAATGTTTTATTGTCGGCAATGTTGATTGTTAACTATCTGGATATATTTTGAGATGTATTATTGAGATTATAGTGAGGATGTTGGGAGTCATGACAACTGCAAATCAGACAGATGATCATCTTGAAGCTCTATTTAAGCTCTACTATTGAAAAATCTAAATCTGATATTTGCAAGAAAAAGACATGTCTGAGTGCAGGGCCTAAATGTTTTGATCAAAAGAGAATCCTTCTGTAATCATTTCTAAAGTGCAACAGTAAATTCTTTCTCTTTTTTCCCCAATGTGAAACAGACTTACTTATTCTTTTCTTCTGTGGTCTGGAGGACTGCTGCTATATAAACACCAAACCACTTGGAAACTCAAATTAGCAAGTAGCCATGGAAAACCTGACAGGACTCGCTCTGGATGCTTGATGAGAGAGGGAGTTACGGTTGCCTCAGAGGCTGGTAGACAGGGAAGTTAGAAAAGAGAGGCTGTTACAGTCTCCTCAGTGTCTTATATCCACATGGCATCAATCTACCTGGAGTGCCGTGGTAGCCCTCAGGAGGTGCCCCACGGGATGGAGAGCCTGCTCGATACTGGGAGGAATCACAGAGCTTATCTGGTAACTCTAATGTGCTGCATGGGTTAGTATCTGTCTTACAGCTTTCTTACAAGATTTGCCATGTCGTTGCTTGCTCGTTACCGTTAGCAGGTCTGATATCCTTTAGCTAAACTTATTGTGTAATCTGCATTGAAGATTAGGAAAGACAAGAGTTTGTCTGTGCTATTCCTCCTGCTGCCAGGCTGCTTAGCAGTGTTGATGGTGTTAGCAGTTGAGTAAATGTGAGCTTCCTGACAGATGTTGCTGTCAATATTATCGAGTGTTCCAGAGAGATTTTTGTGTCCATTAAACGTAACTTACAGACTGGCCTACAAGGAAGCAGTGAAATGAGTCACAGCTGCGGTGACTGGCCTGAATCCTGCTCCGCTCCTGCAATTTTAAAGAAACGCACCACAATGACGTGCTCATTACCCGGAAAAACACAGTTGAATTATGTCGTTTAGTTTTCTCCAAGCAGGGAATATTGGAACAAAATGCTGGTTTCTCTTTGCCAAAACTTGATGAAAGTCTGGTTGCTCTGGTGATTAAAAAACAAACAAGAAAAAAAACTAGCACGGTGAGCAGCTCATGACAGCATGTCGCAGAGGGTGATATCATCTTAGACTTTGGGAAATTGCAGCCTTCTTTTGAGGGATTGGGACATAAGATGGTCCACATAAGTCATGTTAGACTTTCTCAGAAATTTTAAGTCATTTTTTCTTGTGTGATTGCTTATTTTCTTAAAAAAATTCTAACTATTTATTTCTGTGTGTTTTGTTTTCTGGATTCTCTTGAATAGTCTTATCTTGACTATAAGTAAAATAGTTAATTCTCAGTCTATATCTGTTATTCTTGATGATGTTGAACATACATAACAAAACATGAATATGAAAAAAACTGAACTGGAATTAAATCTATTTCTATTTTCATGCAACCTGATTATAGTTTTAATTTTTGGTAATTAGCATAACATATTGCTCCTCATGTTGATGCCATACATGCATTATTTGGAATTTTTTACTATTTATTTATTTCTTGGTTCATTCATGGCTGAGCTTTGTGTTGTGGGTGGGATAGAACTGTCTGTGCTTGTGTTTTTGTCTTGGGTTGCATGTGATGTTCTGAAATTTTATATGTATTCATTCAGAACTTTTTCAATAAATTACAGGAAAATATTTGACTAACTTCATCATGAATGACAAAAAAGAAAAGTTTTGATTCTCATTTTCAGAAAAACAACTTTCTTTTGTGGCATTTATCTGACATCTTTGTTTTTTTAATCATATAATGTGGGGTAATTAAGTTTCTACAAAGGCAGCATTCTCAAAAGGAGATCTGTTTAAATTCTCACCAGATATGTTTTCTTTTTTTGTTGTCTTCAGATGAAAGAGACAGAGTGCAGAAGAAGACATTTACGAAATGGATAAACCAGCATTTGCTGAAGGTAAGATCTCATACCTGATGGTTGCTTGCAAACCTATGGGTGTCCCAGCTGCTTAAAACTACAAAATAATAATTGAACCTGCAAAACTGTTAAAACCTGACATTTTTGTCTGACATATTATTAAAGCCTATTATGGCCAACGTGGTAAATTGACTATTCAGTACGACTTCACTTGGAAAGTCCCAACATGCTCCTCATTAGACATTTTTAAATCTGTTTCAAATGAATTTAGCATGACATGTAAAGCGTTGGTGTTGCAGCAACAGGTTCTCTTTTGTTGGGGTGGGAATCTGAAACGCCTCCTCTGGTGTTTCATCTGTGTGTGGAATTTAATGGAACAGTTTAGCAGACCTACAAGTCAGGACATGTCTCATAATGATATACCTTTTTAAAGATGAATCTGGAAATCACAGGTAAGCGTGTACTTTTAGTCAGCTCATGCATCAGAGGCACATGAATCACAAAATATGATATATTTATTTTTCGTAATGTTGTATATAATAAGGAAATTAAGACAAATCCATGCAGTCATTGATTTCACATCCATTAAAAGGAAAGCAACACTTTGTCTGAGGTTTAAATAATAAGAAAATCACTGTTCAGAGGTTTTAAACGTTGGAAGACTTGACATTTTGGTTACTTCTTTATCTCATTTGAATATAACACTATGGTTCTATGATATAGAGTAATGCACAGTCAGCAGAATGACTGTGCATTACTCTATAATGTAATTCAGAAGCTTTTTAAAGGTTAAACATTTGAGGAAAATTCTAACTGTAACTCACTGCAGTGAAACTAAAGACTATATTGAAATATTATATAAGAGAACAAGACATGAAAATTGTTGCGTTTACAGCTCAGTGGGTAAACTGGTCCAATGTTTTAACAGAAGTCTAATTTCATTTGTCTTATTTCTGCTTTGCAAAGTGACAGACACTATTAACCTTGGTCCTATGAGCTCACTGTACCGGAATGCTCGTGCCCTGTAACAAATTAATTTTGCAGAAAGGGGACATGAACGCCCTTATAAATGAGCTTTTGGCCAGAAAAGCCCGTGAAGCACCAAAGCTGAACATGTTTCCTCAATATGTGACCACAGTGCCACCTTGCTGTTTTTTCATCAGTCCAGAGTTTTTATTTGCCAACTCTGTTGTGATGTGAAATGTTTGATAAATGACTTGTCGGTAATCCTGTGACTCTCTATCCAGCGCCACCCGCAGACCGTCAGGGTGTAGTGACTCAGCAACTAGCAAGAAATGTGATTCAGATCGAACATCTCCAATGAGAAACTTGTCAGAAAGGCCCTGAGAAGCGTCTGGTCCCAGTAACCGCATCAGGAGTTGCTTGATACAGCTTTCAATGAATCAATAAATAAAGGAGAAAAGTAGGGTTTGACATTGAAGGAGTATAAAAATGACAAATGGAGTACACATTTAGATAATGGCGCCAATAAGTGCTGAAAAAACAGAAAAATCTCCGTCTGAAGCTCTTTCATATGTGGCCTTATGTGTGGCCGGCGGGGTGCTGAGTAATAGTCGGGGACCTGCGTCGCTGACCCAGTAATATGGAGGTGCGGGACTATTTTGGCTCTACAGCTGTGGCTGTTATCTGGGATTACAGTGCTGAAAGGCCTGTGTGAAAGCAGGTCAACGGACAGCAGGGTGATTTCAGAGGCGTGGTATTTAGGACAGGAAGGAGAGAAGGGCCTGCTGGAAGGAGAAATCCACAGGCGGCAGATGTTAAGTGCCCTACTCAAGTGTGTAGATTTGGCCTCACTGTGATAACCTTGAAGTGTTAATGCTACATTAATTTGATTCATTTAAAGTATGAAAGTATGATGTTTTGGCAGATGTTATAAGTACATAAGTACAACACCCTAAGTATCAGTAAACCATGCCAAAAACAAAGTCTTTGGGATTTGACACTATAAAAATACGTTAGTGATGTTCAAAAAATGATTTGGAATAAGGAATGAAAAACAAAAAGAAAGAAAAAATAAATCTATTAGGGTTAGATAGGAAATAACTGACATGAGAAAAATACATGAGACTCTCTGGTTTGATGAGTTAATCTGAACAGAGGGTCTTAAATCACACTGAATAATCTTGATAATTTAACTGTCAAATGTAGCTGGGAATCCCACTTATCTATGAACATCCCTGCAATGGTGATAGGATATTTTCAGTCTGCTGACAATTTTCATTTTATATCTTCAGGTGCGAAAACATATAAATGACTTATATGAAGACTTACGAGATGGACATAACCTGATCTCACTGCTGGAAGTTCTGTCTGGAGATACACTGGTGAGTTCACGTTTTTCTGGCATTTTATTTTATTTGGTCAGATTTTCTGACAGAAACAAGAACATACATGAAGAAATTACTTTTTTTTTCACTTTTCATAATGAATTTTACACTTAGACCCGAGCAAGGTCTGTTAAGAATGAGATCAGTATGATGAAAGTGAGAAACCACTCTTCTTATTTGCATTTTCATGAGAGATGTTTTAAGTAGAACTAGTAGGACTTTGGGGATTTGGTTACTCAGCGAAGTTTCTTGCAGGTTTCTTGGTTGTCAGTAATGCGTCATTAACTAAGTTGCTAACAAGCTTTTTAAGCCACTTACCTGTCCAATGCTGCTGATGAAACATGTCTAATCACAAAATGTAGACACTGTCCCAACTATCCCCTCTTTCAGTTCTGAGGTTTTGTATAGTAGGACTGAATAAAAAGACAATCTAAATAAAAACGTCAAACTGGAGAAGCAATGAATGATAAAACATAAGTAAACTTTTATATTCTCCATAGAAATGAAGAGTGGCATCCAGGTATTAAGCTGACTCATTGATAATTAATACATGGGACCTTTACGATAACAAATGATTTGGCATTCTGATCGTCAGGTGTATGTTGACTCAAGACATTGGAGGAAAAGTAAAAGCTTATAGGATCAATTGAAAAGTGTCTGTCCAGATTCCATCACTCAACCGTAAGAAAGACTACTTGCAAGTGAACAATTTTCAAGTCAGCTTCCAAAAGCAAACAAAAAAAAGCCAGTAACTTTATTTGACACATTATGAAAAATAAACAAACAGAAATTAAATTTATTCAGTGACTAAAAACCAATATCAAGCCAAAGCGAAGCAGTTCCCAAATGTTTCTTTTTGAAAGAGGGGATGCTACATATTGGTGAATACACTCCTGTAATAAGACATGATAATCAGATTTATGGCATATTGGGTCCACACTATTTACAGTTAAACATAGTGTTTAAATGATCTGCAAATTACTGTGTTTAGTTTTTATCTACATTTCAAATGGAATCACAGCTTTCCTTGGACCATGGCTCACAGAAGTGCATTAAGCCTCAGTAATATAACAAGATTGGAGAAAACAGTCATGTGGATTTGATATTGGTGCCTTATTCTGGTTTCTTTGCACCTTATACAGTCCAGATAAATGTGGAAAGTTTTTTAGGATGTTACAATTCTTCTAAATTCCCTTCAACACCAGTGTGATTAACTTCCATCCTTGAGGTGTTTGTCTGTTTTCAGTTCACATCACACTTTGCGCCGCTTCTTCTCTCCAACCTTTTACTGGTTTCTGTCCATTGTCTAACTTCTTATCATTTGGCCGCTGTATGTGTGTGTGTCCATGTCCTTCTTTTCTCCCTCATGTGTTGCCTTTTCGATGATAAAGCGAAGGGAGCGTGATTTTCTGAAGACTTTGCGGTTGGTGAGTGGGACAGAAGCATGTGCAGTTGAGCAGCATGGAGACACGGTGGATGATGATAAGGGGGTACGTGTGGCAGACCCCCCCCCACCCCCACCCCCCCTTGTAACAGACTAATTTTGAGTGTGCTGTGGCCACTGAGTAGAGGTGTAGAAACTATGCTGCCATATCAGTCTTACAGTTGTGAGACTGATTTTAAGCAAAACTGCGCTCTATTGTGACTTTTTGATGCAGAAGAATTTTGGTTTATTGATTTAAAGCATAAAAATGCATACTTAAAAGACATAGGCAGATATATTGTCATAGTTTCCTTTGGAACATGCATTTGACACAATTACAGAAACCCAAGTGGTGTTTAATTAGAAAAAAAAGCATCCAAAAACTGAATGCTAATGTGTAGCTCTAGTGTTTATGCCCATTTCACAAGCTTTGCGCTTCATGAAATCATATAGTTAAATCCCTCTGAACCTACTGAAGACCCCCGGAAGGCTTCATGGGTGATTGACATTGACCAAATGAAAGAGCTGGGTTTATGAGGTGCCGCTGCTTCGCTGCTGAGATGAACGGGATGCCTGAAAGCAGTTCAAGACTTTCTGCTGCTGCTGTTGTTGCATCCTGACTTGAATGCGTTTTCCATTCCATTACCTCATGCTGTGGCCCCTGACCGTTTACAAGCATTTGCCAAAAGAGATCATATACTACAGCAGACTATGATTACTTCTTGCACAGTAGTTGGCCTTATAGCCTTCAGGTTGATTTTCTTGCTGGGTAAAATAATTTATTTTTTTATTTGTTCTCAGAAGTAAGCTGTAGAAGTGGAAATTATAGAAAAAGTTGACTCAATATACTAAATTCACAGAATGAAATTGAGTGGACTTGAAATGACTTATTTTGTTTTGACTTAAGTGTGTGTGAGTGTGTCTATGTCCTTACAGATCAGTTGGTAAGAAGCATGTTCCATGTCCTTCATGCTACTAAGCTTTTATTGATTTGTTTTCTAATGTTCAGAAGTACTGGATTAGCATAAATGGCTGCTCTTCCTTGTTTATTTCCACAGCCCAGGGAGAGAGGGAGGATGCGCTTCCACAGACTCCAAAATGTTCAAATAGCGCTGGATTATTTAAAGAGGCGGCAGGTAAGAAACGGTTCAAAAGCATTTTCACCTCTCTGATCTGAGCGAGTAACAAACATCCTGGAATATCATGTTGCAGGGAAAGCTTCTGAAAAAAGGTTGCACCTATATTCTGCACAAAGACAAACCAATTCATGTGTGCAACTGAATATTCATCAATTTGTCTTCATATGATGAGTATGGTTAAAAAAGAAAGAGACATGCACATCACCTGGGAGCGGGTTTTATTCTGCAAACCCTCGAGCATCACTTAGTCTTGGACTTCTCATATTTTTGTCTTTTCTGACAAAGGGTATTATTAATTTCAGCTGACACAATTAATGGCTTGTGAAACGTTGACTAGACATCAGAGCTGGGGGATTCGAAATGCCCTGGGTGCCGTCCCCTCCCCCGCCTAGCTCAGGACGTGGGGAAGAACACAGCCTCGTTGAATCATAGCCAGATGTGACGTAAAGCTTGAGACAAAGGATGCTTAGATGGGCAGAAATCAGCCACTGTATTGTTTGCAGTGCAGTAGATTCCAGACAAATCCATGCACTCTCCTTTTATCATTTAATGTAAATTGATCTAAATGTTCAGACTTTGCCAGAGCTCCCACAGGAGCTGGTGGAGGAATTACTCCAGGTGATTAGACTGTAAGAAATGACTGACTACACTACTAAACGAAGAGAGCAGTCAGCCTCTGCTTTACGTTTAAATCGCTATGTAAAGAAACACTCAGGAATTTTGGGTTATGGTGATAACAGGTTTATAGTGTTTTTAGTGTCACAGTGTGTATAGGTGGAAGCATTCATGCTTGGAGTTCATTTAAGTTGCACAGTGTGTCCCAGCAATATGTAAGGACGACTGTGCCACCTTGTGGTGTTTCTAAAATATCAGACACAAGCCAACATAGTGTGGATAGTTACTCTCATTAAATGCTGGTGCTGTCTCTCCTCAGGTCAAACTTGTAAATATCAGGAATGACGACATCACAGATGGCAACCCAAAACTGACCCTGGGATTGATTTGGACCATCATTTTGCACTTTCAGGTCAGTTTTGCCAGCGTACAGTTTCACGCTAATACTTTCAGTTGCAGAAGAATGAGGTGGATTTGTAACCTGAACCAATTTCCTGTTTTCCTTGTGTTTTTCAAATATGACTACTCATCCAACTTGTTATTGCCTTAAATATCAGTTTGGATTGATGTCTTCTGACACTTAATGTATGTTTGTTGTGTATGTTTAGATTAATCAGAGCTTGTAATTGGATGTTCTGCTTCCAACCACAAGATGTCAAAGTTGTACAGCATGCCACACATAAGTGTTGAATGGGGTATTTTCTTCTTCTCCTTTTAGCCAGAGGGTTTGATTATATATTACATATGAATGAAGTAAAGAGATAATTTCCCAGAATAAATCTGCAGTTTTTCATTTGAAGAAAAGAGTGGTATTAATTTGCATCTCCTGCACTGCTATACGGGTGATTTTATACATTTTCCTGAATGTGCTTAGAAATGTTCCCCCGGGAAATAATTATCATTTTATTGCTGTTGCACAAATCATGTCAAGTCATTTAGCCTGTAAATGCATACCAGGGACATCCAGGTGTCCACGGAAGTATCCAGGCGGCCTTAAAATACTCTCCTCTCCTTTTTCCTTCAACCACTTCCCTTCATTTTCTTTCTTTTCATGATTTATAATCTTTTGCATATCTCATTTATTAGTTGAAGAGAGGTACAATATATTTAAAAAATGTCTCTATCTATTTTGATAGTGGTGAAGTAAGACACTCTGTAGGAACAAGCTCACATTTTTCTGACTAATGGTCCCAATGTGTCAGTGCAGAAAAAAGCTGTTGATGTAAGTTTGCCTGGACTCAAACACGCTGACAGGTAGCGTCCGGGATGATGCCAACACCTGCTGCAGTCAGTCTCACGCAAGCCCCAGAGCGCTCCATCGAGCTGTACAGGGCCTGTTTCTTCTTGCTTAGGAAGGGCACCAGGGCACTGCAGGAGAGATCCTGAACTCCAGGCACAGTGCACACCTTTGGCTTTATTGGATAAGCTCAGTTGGCAGAAAACTGGCGTGTATGAACGGGGCACTGTTTGTATTTGGCACTTTATTATTTGACTGTCTTTGCCTGACGTCTCCCGGATTAATTGATGATTTAAGTACAAGGGTTGCTATTTGGACATCATGTTCTTGTTCTTGTTCACTGCTGCAGGCTCATTTTTTAGCTTACATAAATGTCTTATATGAATTTTTCTACCTAAAACAAGGTCAAGTCTTTCACTCTTAAAGTTAATGCTGAATTTTTATCTTGTCCGTACAGGTAGGAGTTGGATCTTGTTACAAATAGCAGCCACAACTGTATCTACGACCATGCTTTATTTTTAGTTGGTCAACATAATATTTGAGATAAAGATGTTTTGTTTTGTTTTTTTCTTTTGGCTGGAGCAGTTCCACCATCATGATACCTCTCTATGTCAGGTGTTTTAATGCTGGTCTGACAGGTGTGTTTGTTTAGCCCTGATTGAGACACTTGTTTATGTGAGGGATTCTATTGTTCAGTCACATGACAAAATAACAGAGTTATGACTCATACGTGTCAGTGTCATTCACTGTTAGTTAGAGTTTGTCACTGAAACCAAACATCTGAAGCAAAATGTGCTGAAAATGCACAATCAACCGATAATGTTTGAAAATCAACGTGTTAGCTCATCACAGCAGCAATCAGAGCTCTTCGTACCTCGTAGAGGCACATGATTATTTTTACGCGAGCAGTGTGGGGGAATTATATCCACCCTCACACTCTGCTTATTCACTTTTTTGGCTTCTCAAATCAGTATTGATTCATTCCTCTGCAGTGTGCTCATAATAGACTTTACTTGATTATATTCCCCGGATCGCTTCCTGATGGGGGCTTTTGACCCCTCACGACCTGCAGTGGTTGTCATCTTCTCTGATATTAGTGTTTAGTGACTAAACCATAGGACCCCACCTCTGGCTTCCCTATTGTATGCACTCTGAATGATAGACAAAGTGAAAGCGCTTTGTTGTCCAGCAGGGATTTGCATTAGACTCTGCTGCTCGCTTTGGCAGACAACATTCTTTTTTTCTTTTTTTTTTAAGCCTCTCAGTCAGCTGGGACACTACCCGGATCATGCAGCCAAACTTGCTGAGCCAAAGTTTCTCACAGTATAATAGGTGGCCTTCAGCTGGCACCAGCTATCATCTAAACCTTTACACAAATATTAGGTAGGGAAAGGGAAGACGCAGCTGTGACGTGTGTGTTAACTGCCTCGAAAAGACAGACTAGTCAGAAACAGGTCTGTCAACAAGTCCTTTCACTCGTCTTTTGATTTGACTTAGAGATTCAAGTGTGTGGGCCACGTCTGTGAGTTCATTTATGGTGTTTGTGCTGGATTAGCAAAGCCTGAGAAATGTTTCAAAGGTCAGGAAAGATTCCAGTGTCAGAGGAGAGACCCATGTGAGAGCAAGGGAGAAACGCAGCGTGAGAGAGGCCGGCCAGCTCTGAGCAGAGTCTAAAGGACGAAGTCGACCTTGCTGTGAGTGCAGTCTGGCTGCCGTGCAGCCACTACTTCTACACGCCTCTTGGACTGGATTATAACAGCTTTCGATTAATGGAATATTGATTATTTTTATTCTTTTGAATGGAGCTCTTTGGAAACTTTGCCTGAACACAGTTGGTTCCTGGGAGTGAAATGCTTCGTTGATGGATATGTCGTCATATGAGTGACGGCCATGGGGAACATCTGTGGCTGTGTTCGAGGGCCTAAAGAGGAATGCTATGTCGACCCCAAGAAAGCACCACTTAGACCGGAAACTAAAGAACTTAAAGGTCGGCGCTATTTTCAGAGGAAGAAGAGGAAATCAGAGCATTTAATTCCTGCTGGATCTCTGAGAGGTTCTGAAAGTGAAACCGTTTCAAGTAAGGTAATCTACAGTACTGCTGTGCTTGAATATGACCCAGAAGAGAACAGACAGCAAAAGGAAGAAGACCGTGATAAAACCTGTCATGTGGAGGACCATCTATCCAGTCAAGAAAGTATCAGCAAAGGTGTATATGTGGGAGAGATACCGGTTTTGGTTCTCAGAGATGCTGGCAGACAGCATCTTAACACACGGTTTGAATGCCGGCTGGGAAGTGCAGATAACTGCAGCAGGTCTTGCGTGGAAGGAAAACTCCATGGAGTTAGCACAACCTCCCGCGGCACCTCGCTGAAGGACGGTCTGCTTGTGAAGAAGCTGCTGCAACGCCAGCTAAGGAGAGCTGTTAGCTTTGGAGCCGTGGAGCACATGTTAAGGACCCTGGCAGGCAATGACAGGTCTGGGGGAGAGGAGGTGTTTGCCAAGATTATATATGGCTCTCAAGCGCACAGAAGGAGGAGACGGAGGACCTATACCTGCTCTGGTTACATCGAGCATGTTCCAACTCCCGTCATGTGTGATTCCACCCAACACAAGGTAAAACAAGAACATGCTATATTTAGCCATAATGGGGGTGTATCGTGACAGTGCAATGTGGTCCAGCAATCCACAGAGAGGCCCCGCAATCAAAAGGCCTCAAATTATGTTTTTTTTCCTGTTTACTTTCCTATTAGAGATTGTGTTCCTTTTAAACATACTTCATTTGAGGAAAATGTCTCTGTCTAATGTAACAATAACTGATAGACGTAGATGCAGTATAGATTCAGTATATAACATCAGAAAATAGTTACTTGACGTCAAATGTGTTAAGTCTCAGTTCTCTGATGACAGCTGGTAGAGTTGTGTACATGAAGAATATGAATTTGTTTTTTTATGTTGAAAGTGGCTTTAATGTGGTGGTGACAATGGTGTTTTAAAAGGCCTAGATACACGGAATTGAATAGTTTACTCCTCCCACAGTGTTTTTTCTGGTGCTTTTGATCAGTGCTGACTCTTTTATCCCTTAACTGTATTGTGCTGTTGATGGAATTGGTGCTTTTGCTGAAGTGTTGAGCAGATCTTCATTTGGTTTTCTTGTAGTTTATTATCATACCAGTCGCATTTTCCGAGGGTGAACTTTACCTTCCAGTTCTGTCCAGTCTCTTGTTTAGGATAACTAAATCCTTAATATGAGTTTCCAGTTGGAAAGACTGAATGGACTAAAGCAGCCTTCTGTCTTTTGCAGCACACCTTGTAAATACCTACAGACCATCTCTGTTCTTCTTTACCAATTTTCATTGATTGTTGTGCTTGTGTTTGTTTGGTATAAAATTTGGGCTGACTGTGTCTATTTCTTGCTTTTTTAATGAATGGTTTAGTTGTATATCAGATAACCTACATTATTAGCATTATGAAAGTTACCTTAGTAAACTGTGCAGTGGTGCTGTTCATTTGCATCATGTTGATAACGCTGTGAGCTATCCAATAATACATAATGCAAGTGTTTCTACAATCCTGTCGATATTTCACATGCAAATGCAATCATCTAATGAAATTTAGTTTTAAATGAAATATTAAACATCTGATGCATTTTGTTATCCATCATGTAATAGATATATCGTTTTAAATCTTAAAACCTTGTTATTAGATTCAGAATTCCTTTATTGTCATTGTAAAAAATAGCATAAAGAATGTTAAAACATATAAAATCTCTTAGTGGTGCAACAAAAAAAGCAGGTAGTGCAAAAGACTTAAGTCTTAAAATGTATTTTAAAAGTTGAAAACTATTTACATAAATAAATAACTATGTTTAAACTGATTTTTTTCACATAGTCACTGATTGGCATTAGAATTATAATTATTATTACATATCATTATTATTTATCATAATTTATCTGCTCTACCATTAGTTTCTATTTCTGTTCTGTAAATACAGCACATTCACCCCTCTTGTATGTCTTGTTCATTTTATCACAGAACTGTGAAATGGGTAACAATTGAGCTGGAATATCACGAGCTAATCAGAGGGGCTAGAAGTAATTAGCTCTGGGTTCAAGTGTTCACATCGTCAGCATGTTGTGAAACACCTTTTTTCCACTTTCTGTGGCAGATCTCAGAGATCCATGTGACAGGGGAGTCCGAGGACATGACAGCCAAGGAAAGACTGCTGCTCTGGTCCAAGCAGATAACAGATGGCTACGTAGGCGTACGATGTGATAACTTTACAACTTCCTGGAGGGATGGGAGGCTATTTAATGCTATCATACATAAATACAGGTGAGATAACGCATGTAAAGAATTATGGTATCTTGGAGAACCTTTACATCCTGATCACATTTCTGTATTTCATCTCAATTCTTAATTGCTCTGCCCTATCTGCCTTTTTCTTCAGTATCTCATTAGTATTTTTCCTGTCTTACTGTACATATCTTCCTCATCATTTTTTCTCCTGTCACTTCTGTAGACCAGATCTGGTGGACATGAGCGAAGTGTCATCACAGACCAACCGCTCAAATCTGGAGCAAGCGTTTTGTGTAGCTGAACAGTTGGGGGTGGCCAGACTCCTGGACCCTGAGGGTGAGATCTGTACACAGTGTCTTGTTTGGTTTGGCTTTGAAAACACTGCGAGGACTTCATCACCTTTGTGCCATAAATCATGTGCAGTGAAGCTTGTTATTTGGCTTGAGGAATAATTCTTCACATTGCAGCTCACTGTCATGTGTTGCTTTTGTGACCTTTTTGGCTTTTTTATTCCCCTCATCAGACGTTGATGTTCAGTCTCCTGATGAAAAATCTGTCATCACATACGTCTCAACGCTGTATGATGCCTTCCCTAAAGTACCCGACGGTGTTGAAGGAATAAATCCTAATGTAAGTAAATGGCCTTGATACAGAAGCCCCTTTTATTGGTGAAAGTGCTGACAGTTCTTTGTCTCTGAGCAGGATGTTGATATCAAATGGGTGGAGTACCAGAACATGATCAAATACCTCAGCCAGTGGCTCAAACACAACGTGGCCATAATGTCAGATAGATCTTTCCCCAACAATCCTGCAGAACTTAAGGTACAGTACATCTGCTAATTAGTCAAACTTCATCGTTTTTTGTGTTGTTTTTTTTACAAATGTGAGGTCTGTCACAGGTCTGTCTTTACACAGACCTGTGATTATGATTATGACTTCCTGCTGGTAATGGATAGCTGCCTGCTTCAGATAGCCCAATGTCCTGCCCCTCTACTGAAACTGAGACTTGAAGTGTTTTTGATTGATTTTAGAGTGGTATAGTGTCCATTAGCTGTAAATGTTGAGGTCTTATAGCAGTGAAGGTGCCTTTATTAATTTTTTAGAACAGGCAGACATGATTTCAAAACCTAATGCAATGTGAGCTGTAAAGATAATGTAATAATGTGAAATGTGAAGATAAACTTAATCTACATTTCTGTTTAATTTCCGCTCTCTTTTTTTCAGGCACTTTATACACAATATCTACAGTTTAAAGAACATGAAATCCCACTTAAAGAAAATGAAAAAACTAAAATAAAAAATCTCTACAAAATGCTTGAGGTAGGTGAATAGACAGGTGTTACATTAGACTTCACAGCAAATGTCTGATATGTTGAAGTGACAAGTGTGTGTGTTGGGGTGTGTATGACAGATGTGGATAGAGTTTGGACGTCTTCAGTTACCCTTGGGTCATCATCCAAATGATGTGGAGAAGGAATGGGGTAAATTAATCGTTGCAATGCTGGAAAGAGAGAAGAGCCTGCGGCCAGAGGTGGAGAGGTATGTTGAGGCACTTGAGCACTTTTTCTGACTAGGAATGTATGATTTATTGAAAGTCTAGCCTCTAACCAAAATTTCATGTGAATTTACCCAGAAGCTAAAATCACTGTTTACCTACGTATAGGCTAAACGGGTGGGCTTATCGCAAGAAAATGTGGCTACACATAAGGATGAAAGCAATGCAGTACTATTTTTCTATAGTGAAATGAATACATATTAAAGTGAAAAGACTCTACATGAGTCAGCATGATACTAATCTTAAGCCTTTGCCAGAATGCTCCAGTATCGAATTACAAGCCTGCTAATGTATTTTCTGAAACCAGACACTGATGGGTCAGTCCTGTATGTCAGGGAGTGTGTTGTAGTTTACTGAACCACTGTGTCTACGTTGTGAATGATTCACATAAATGTGCTGTATTTTTAACCTGCCGTACTCAGTATTCGTCTGTCAGAGCTACTGCAACCGATCTGCATCTTGTACATAAAGCTCAGCTTCATCGTTGGTGATAAGCAAAACTGGCAGCAAATACAACAAGGGATGCTTTGTGTATTTTTCTGAAAATGTTGGAGTAGATGTGTAGGTACGATCTGAAGGCTGTGACCAAAGTCAAACCTGATCAGGTTCTTAGTTCCAGTGAAAAAAAAGTCAGTCAATAAATTACAAATGTTCCATAAGCACCAGCAGAGTTTGAAATCATTAAATAATCTGTTTTCTCATGTTGGGCTCAGTCGGACTGGATGTTGTTCTGCCATGTAGATTTTATTTCCATAGAGACATATTGTTAGGATTTTTGTTGTCAGTGGTGCAAACAACAATGGATCCTTTTTTTGCCCTCGACATATGTACAGCAGCTGTGTTGGGTGTGGTGCCAGCTGGGCAGAAACAGCCCATACAGTTATTTGGTCGCTCTTTGTACACTCTCACTTCTTGTAAAGGTGTTCTGTCGCAACCTGTAATATAATCTTCATCCCCTGAGGAAAGGAGTTGTGTTTTAGGCTGGATTTCTTTACACGCCCTTCACCTGGCTCTGACAGTATAAATAGGAGTATGTTTGCATTTTTCACCATTTGGGTCTATGAAGGGTGAAGACTGGGATCCTTGGGATGAGAGTTTTTTAGCGACCAGTTGGAAGGAGAGGGCAGTAGTTTATTATGTAAAGTAAGATGGCATATTTGAGCAGGACTTCAACTGTTAGCAACAGTAGCTTTAACACCAGCTTTGGCTCAAGTGACAGCATCCTTAATGAGCCTTTACAAATTAACAGCTCTGTCTTTCTCAACAACAATATTGCCTATGGATCCAGGTAAGGTCACTCTTTGTGGGTTAGACTCTTGACACGTGATTTATTTCCTCTTTGTTCATTTTCTTTGTGTTTGCACTTTTTTTTCTTTTGTAGGCTTGAAATGTTGCAACAGATTGCCAACAGAGTCCAGAGAGACTGTGTTAATGGTGAGGACAAGCTGGCATTGGCAAAAACAGCCCTACAATCTGTAAGTTCTGCATGATATTAAGAAAACTGTGAAATATGAAAAATAGATGGCACCGAAAAGCCATTTTTGTCTGATTCGAATCTCTTTTCCTTCTTGTTTGAAGGATGCAAAACGTCTTGAGTCTGGTATTCAGTTCCTTAATGAGGCTGAGATTGCCAGCTACCTACTGGAGTGTGAGAATATCCTCCGACAGCAAGTTGTGGACATCCAAATTCTTTTGGATGGGAAATTTCCATTTGCCGATCAGCTTGTTCAAAGGTACAAATTAGATTCTCATATGGGGAGAAAGCTTTCTACTCTCCTAAATTAAGACATCTCATATTGCCACCCCCTTCATTACAGGGTATCAAAACTCCGGGATGATCTTCTGACCCTGAGAGCTGAGTGCTCCTCCGTGTACAGCAAAGGTCGCACCCTGACCACAGAGCAAACAAAAAGGATGATCTCTGGCATCACTCAGAGCCTGAATTCGGGCTTCTCCCAGAACATGAACACAAGTCTGACACCAGCCCTTACTCCTGCACTAACCTCAGGGGGGTTAGGTACCCCTGGGTCCACATTCACCTCTAGCCTTACACCAAGCCTGACCCCATCCTTGCCCACAGCCTTGACCCCCAGTCTGCAGCCTGCTTCAGTCCAGGGCTACATGGGGAGTGGTGGCAGCATGGAGCCGGGAAGCCTCATGCATTTGAAACACATGCAAATCCGCAAGCCCTTACTAAAGTCCTCACTGGCAGACCCCAACATGACGGAGGAGGAGGTCAACATGAAATACGTGCAGGACCTTTTGAACTGGGTGGAGGAGATGCAGGTTAGCACCTTTGTCTGTTTATTTACAACGTACTTCTGACGCAACAATGCACAAGGAATTTCAGAGTCTTTGCAAATATTCCCTCTTCTCTGTAAAGTTGCAGCTTGAGCGTTCAGAGTGGGGATCTGATTTGCCAAGTGTGGAACTGCATTTGGAGAACCACAAGAGTGTCCATAGAGCCATCGAAGAATTTCAGATCAGTCTTAAAGATGCCAAACTAAGTGAAGTAAGTCTGTTTAAAATATCTGAGTGTTTTTTTTGTCATAAGCTGTTGTTCAACTTGAATTTGAATTGACTGCTTTAACTCCACTTGAAACCAAATGTCATCTTTCTCTCTTCAGATTCAGATGACAATACCCTTGAGGCTGACTTATTCAGACAAGCTGAACAAACTAGAAAAGCAGTATGAAAGGCTGTTGGTGAGTTACTGTATGAACTCAAGTCTTAACTTAGAAACTATGCTTGCTGTAGTTTGACAGTAGGAATATTGGTTTCTTTCAGACCAGTTCAAGGGAGCGGCAGAACCAACTAGAAAGCCTGCATGACTTTGTGTCACAGGCCACTCAAGAGCTCATCTGGCTAAATGAGAAGGAAGAGGAGGAGGTTGCCTTTGACTGGAGTGATCGCAACAGCAACATCTCTACGAAAAGAGACTACCATGCTGTAAGTTCCTTCCAGATACATTTAGTTTCAAAATGATTTGCCCATGAAAGGTTTACTGAACCTTTACTTCCTCTCTGTGTGTCAGGACATGAGATTATAAAATGATGGATTATCCTGTGCCGAAGCTTAATGCCAGGAATGTTGTTCTTTTTTCTTTAAACAGGACTTGATGAGGGAACTGGATGAAAAGGAAGAAGCCATCAAGTCTGTGCAGGACAAGGCAGAGCGACTCATGCTGAAGAACCACCCAGCCAGGTTAACTATTGAGGTAAGTACTCTGGAGTCAGTCTTGCATGCAACACTCACAGTGATTAAAAGCATTGTAAAGTGATGTTTTAGCTTGTAATTTTCCAGCTAGTACACGTGTGTGGTTTCTCCTCCAGGCGTACAAAGCTGCCATGCAGACACAGTGGAGCTGGATTTTGCAGCTCTGCTCATGTGTTGAACAGCATCTAAAGGAGAATGCTGTTTATCTAGAGGTGAGATGTCACTTGCGGTTGTTACAATAAATGTTCCAAAGTTCACTTGGAAGTTCTGATTTTACATAATTATTCCCCATGTAGTATTTCAGTGATGCCAAAGAGACCCTGGACTACCTTAAGAGCCTGCAAGATTCCATTAAAAGAAAATACAGTTGTGATCAATCGAGCAGCCTGCACAGACTTGAGGATCTCATTCAGGAGTCCATGGTAAAATGACAGAAAAAGTTTGTTAGAATTTAGTTGATGTTGTTTTAAAAACAGATGAAGGAAACTTTTTTTTTTTTTGGTGTGTCCTCAGGATGAAAAAGAGCAACTTCTTCAGTACCGCAGCACTGTAGCCAGCTTAGTCGGTAGGGCCAAAAATATTGTGCAGCTCAAGCCCAGGAATCCTGAATCTCCTCTGAGATCCTCCATCCCTGTTAAAGCAATCTGTGATTACCGTCAGATTGAGGTATTGTCATCTGTGCCATATTAAAACATAACACCACATTTTTCCTCCAGTTCATTTGTAAAAATTTGTAGTAAATCTTTGCTGTGGCTGTATCCCAACTCTTTCAAGATTACAATTTACAAAGACGATGAGTGTGTATTGGCCAATAACTCTCACCGGGCCAAATGGAAGGTCATCAACCCATCAGGAAATGAAGCCATGGTGCCCTCGGTTTGCTTCACTGTGCCCCCACCCAACAAAGAGGCTGTTGAGATGGCGACAAGGTGAGATACTCAGATGAAAGGATAAATGATGCACCTGGAGTGTCTGGCACGTCCAGACATGTAGCGTCACCTCAGGGCTTATGAAGGTTTCTCGTGTTTCCTGCAGAACTGAGCAGTTATACCAAAATGTTCTGTCACTGTGGCATCACTCCCACATCAACATGAAAAGTGTGGTCTCCTGGCATTATCTGATGGCTGACATACGCGCCATTCGCAACTGGAATGTGGCCTCGGTATGTTTTTTTTCTTTTTCTGTTCTGTTCTGAGATTCATCAGTCCTCATTTATGATTGTTTCTGATAATCATGCTCAACTTTGATGATGTGTAGAGAGTCCTCAGACCGTGACGTTTAACTTCCTCTTTCCTTTTCTGTTTACAACTTCAGATAAAGACAATGTTGCCGGGTGAGCATCAGCAGGTATTAAGCAACCTGCAGTCCCACTTTGATGAGTTCCTGGAGGACAGCGAGGAGTCAGAGGTGTTCACAATGGCCGACTGTGCACAGTTAGAGAGGGACGTGGAAGCCTGCAAAGAGTACTACCAGGAACTGCTGAGATCTGCCGAGAGAGGCGAGTCTCAAATTCCCTTCCCCTCTTGCCAACAAAGCCACTGAAGTGCAACAAAGCAAGAGAAACACATGGCTCCTTAAGCCTTTTAAGCTATGAGCTAATACCTTTTGGAATTATGTCCCATTTGACTGAATTAAGAGCAGTTTCTAAAGACGGCTTGCTTTAGCTGCAAATGTAAAGCACAATGAAGGTTGCAGTGGTAGGTTTCATTTGGAAAATCTGAGAGATGAATATTTTGTTTTCATAGTTTTGTGTACAATATAAGTCGTTTAACATCTCCGCTCCACCCCACTTTTTTAAACAGGATATTTTTTTTATTTTCCAGAGTTGTTTATGCGCAAATTTTAAAATAGAAAATTCACTGGTATGTTTTTTGCATTTCATCTGGTCTTATTTGACCATACAGTGTGCTCACAATGCCACCTAGAGGTGTATCTCATTCTGGGCGGCTTTTAAATCCCCTCTGTTGTATCACAAGTTGCCAATAATGTTTTGGGACTTTTCTTATATTCTTCTTTTACGAAAGTTGTACACAGGCTGCTTTTGAAAATTTTGAGGCCAACAATTTTTTCATGGTAACTCTATTTTCTTCCGTTATACAGAGGAGCACGAGGAGTCGGCATACAATCATTACATATCAGAAATACGCAACTTCCGGATGCATCTGGAGGCCCATGAAGAGCACCTGATCAGGCAGATCCGCACACCGCTGGAGAGGGATGACGTGGAGCAGAGTCTGCAGCGCATTACAGAACATGAGGTGCACATCATGACATTGTTTGGTTGTCTCACATATTTAGGAAATCAACGTTGTCACTTTAGTTACAATTGTCTGCATGCCCCTTTTGCAGAAGAAGACAGCTGACCTGGAGAGGCTAAGAGAGGATCTGGATGGCATGAAAGCAAAGTGTGAACTATTTCTCAGGCAGGCTGCAGGTTCCCCATCAGTCCCGATGCTCTCCTCTGAACTCTCTGTTCTCATTCAGAGCATGAGCCAAGTGTCCTCCATGTCTTCCATTTATATGGACAAGTGAGTCTGTCCTTTTTTTCCCAAAGCAATAAAGATAGGTGTTTGTGAAAGGAAAAGTATTAGAACTCACCTTGTCCTTTTGCTTGCAGACTGAAAACAGTGAGTTTAGTGGTGAAACACAGTCAGAGCGCAGAGGCTGTTGTGAAGGCCTACGAATCCAAACTCTATGAAGAGGATGCCATGAACTCTGATATCAAATCCATTGAAAGTGTCATTTCTACCCTGAAGGTAACACTCTGCCTGATGGGTGCCTGGTGGGCACCATTGTTACTGGTTCTACTTCAGTAAACAATCATCCTTCTCTCTCTTTTTCTAGCAATGGCGGACAGAAATTGATGAACAGCAGGAGGTGTTCCATGACATGGAGGATGAGCTGCAGAGGGCTCGTGTAATCAGTGATCGCATGTTTAAGGCCCACAATGAGCGGGACTTTGATCTGGACTGGCACAAGGAGAAGGCCGATCAGCTGAGTGAGAGGTGGCAGAACATTCACTCACAGATAGACAGCAGGTTGGTGCAAATGTTATTTGTTTAACAGTTTTTCTGATGTTTTTCTCAGTTTATGTGTTGCTCAAGAAGGTTTTTCCATTTGTAGGCTCAGAGACCTGGATGGTATTTGCAAATCTCTGAAACACTACAGAGATTCTTACTGTAGCCTCAACGAATGGGTTGGAGAACTTGAAGCGTTGCAGCTGAAGACCCAAGAAAACAAGCCTGATGACAGCAAAGCACTTGCTGAGCTGTTAAATAAACAGAAGGTTAGTCAACATTGGACTTTAAAGCAATAAAACAAAATACATGTATAAGTTGTAATATGTATTAAAATATGTTTTTTTTAAGGTCCTTGTTGCTGAAATTGAACAAAAACAGAGCAGAATTGATGAATGTCAAAAGTACTCAGAGCAGTACTCATCTGCCATTAAGGTAATCTGAATTTAAATTAATGGAAAAAAATAATTCTGTATTCTGTTCAATGGAAGAGAATGAGCTAAATAACCAGAATGGTGAAAGGTACTTTGAATTAAAAAGTTGATTTAACAATTTTTGTTTTTTAGGACTACGAGCTTCAACTGATGACATTCAGAGCGATGGTCGACTCCCAACATAAATCTCCACTCAAAAAGAGAAGAATGCAGAGCTCTTCAGATGCCATTCAGCAGGAGGTAATTAAAACTGTCGTTATTTTAGCTTCATCAAATCTTTAGGACCTCTTTTTGAACTGTCAATGCTCTGTGACACATCTGGCAACATCCGGTCGATTTTTTTACAGTTTATGGACCTTCGGACCCGTTACACTGCTCTTGTCACTCTAATGACACAGTATGTGAAGTTTGCCAGTGAAACGCTTAGGAGAACTGAAGACGAGGAGGTGAGCTGTGTTCAATGTTGTCATTGTTTCTCTCATTTTGTTTTCTCTGTTGAATATAAAGAAAAATTCTCCAAGAGTTTATATCAGGAGTGTCCAAAGTCGGTCCTCGAGGGCCGCTGCCCTGCAAGTTTGAAAAGTTTCCCTGCTTCGACACACCTAATTAGCGCCAACATGCCATTATCAGGTTTTCGCAGATCCTTTGAACTGATCCACTTAATCAGAATCGGGTATAATGAAGCAGGGAGACCTCTAAAACCTGCAGGACAGCGGCCCTCGTGGACCGGAGTTGGACACCCCTGGTCTATATACCTTTGATGATTGACTTCGGGATATTATAAAAACTGTGTACTGTAATTTTGAATCTTAGAAAAAATATTCTATTTGAAATTAATAGAAATTATTAACTGGTAACATTTGTGATCATTCAAATAATTAATGTTTCTCTCCCTTTTTTTTAAAAAAAACATTGAAATTCCAGACTCTTTACAGAATCGGTTCAATTAATTCTATTATCTTAATTAATTGTGAATCTGTGGTTGACTTGTTTTTTTGCATTGTAGAGCAGAAAGGCTTGTGAAAGAGCAGAGAATGCAAAATGGACAGAGAGCGTAGAGCTCCAAAAAGCCAAAGGGGATGTAGAGATTAGACAACTTAAGCAACGGGTCCAGGAACAGGAAGCTTTGCTCTCTGAAAGACAAGCACAGGTGGAAACATTGGAAGGAGAAGTAGAAACACAAAAAAAGACTATTGATGATCTTACCTTTCAGAATGCCCAGCTTGAGCATGATGTTAATCAGTACCGCACCAAATTAGAGATTGCTGTTAAAGATAAAGCTGCCAGTGAGCAGGAATTAAAGCACACAAAACTCTTGATTGAACAATCAGAGGCCACATGTTCTCTAACCCAGAAGAAATTCGAAGATCTTTTAAAAAAACACAATGATGGCCAGGATCTTCACACACAAAGCTCCAATCTGCAGAGAAAAACTAATCGGGAGGAGGCAGACATTCCAAATGAGGAAAAATTATGCGGTGAAGTCCAACCTAAGAGCAATGGTCTAGCTCCACGTCCTTTGGAGTTTGACAGCCAGCAATCAGTAGAGATTCAGCAGGACTCATCTGCAGGTAGACTGCACGATGCCCTGCAGCAGAAATTGGAAGAAGTAGTTTTGGTCCAGAAAAAAGCTGAAATGGCCGAGGAGAAGGCTCAGAGTTATAAAAAACTGTTGGATGAAAGCAATAACAGACTGAAGAAACTTCAGATGGACATGGAGAGTGAAAAGATCCGCATGAGACAGAAAGCTGAGGATCTCCAGCAGGAAACGGGGAACTTGAAAAAATCTGTAAGTGATCTTCAGGAAGAAATCAGATCTCTCCAAAGAGCAAAGTCCTCATTGGAGCAAAGTGCTTTTTTCCAGAACACTGAAGTCGAAGGCCTGAAAGAACAACTGAAGATTACCCACGGAGAGCTGCAGAAGAAGACCTCCATTGAGCAGGAAAACAGCTACAAAATGAACAGTTTAGAAGAAGAGTTGTCTTCCAAACAGTCAGTTATAGATCAGCTAAAGTTCAAATGTAGCGAGCTGACTCGGATGAGCGTCTCATCCGACAGTGATATCAGGAGTCTTCAGATCCAAATGGAGTCCCTGGAAAAAGAGAGATCGCTCTCTGAACAAAAGATTAAGTCTTTAAAGAGAGAAGTAGAGAGTTGGAAGGAGCAATTCCAAACATCCAAGGAAGAAAACCTTGTAGTAAAAAGATCTGAAAATATGCTGAACCTCAAATGTAAAAACCTTGAGGCAGAACTCCAGAAAAGTGAGATAGTTGGTGGTCAGTTGCAGAGAAAGATAGATGATCTGAAACAGATCAATTTAGAGATGGATCAGAATCTAAAGAATGTAAGAGCTAAACTTGAGCAGGTGACGATTGAAATTGAGAGCAAAGATCAGCAAATTAAAATCTTCAAGTCTCAGGTAGAGAGCACCAAATCCCAAATCAGAATTATTGAGGAAGAAGTAAATAAGAAATCCCAAACTACCCATGAGCTTCAGATGAAGCTGCAAGATTTCAGCGAAGAGGCAAAGAAAATGGCTGACCTCGAGCAAAAGATTAAAACCCTGAATTCAAATATCACAAACAACGAGGAAGAAAAAACACGTCTAAAATCTGAACTGAAGTCCCTCTTTACAGAGAAGAGTTTGTCAAATCAGAAGATCCAGATGCAAAAAGCTGAAATCAATGACCTAAACGAGATGCTGAAGAAAAAAAATGCAGAGCTGCAAAAAGAATCTGATGAGAATCAGAAACACCTCAGGAAAATCAAAGCATTAGAAGAGGAGCTTTTCGAGCACAAGCACAGTTTTAAAGGTTTAACGAGCAGCGCAGAGACCTTAAAGCGGGAAATATACTCTGTTCAAACTGACAAGACTTCAGCAGAAAGAAAAATAGAGAGCTTGAATCTTAAACTTTCCGAGCTGAGTTCCTCTCTTCAAAGAACCATAAACGAATTGGCTCAAGAGACCAAAGATAGAAAATCAAAAGAATTAAAAATCATGCAACTTGAGACTGAGCTTCATACAAATAATCTCACCATCAAAGAATTGATGTCCAATTCTGACAGGTCTCGATCAAATCTGCAACATGAGAACACAATCCTGAAGAGGGAAAAATCGGAGGCTTTGGAGAAAACCATCACACTGGGATCCGAAGTCAGACTGCTAAAAGATAAACTGCAGCGTGTGCAAATGGACGCAGAGCAAAAGCAAAAAGAAAACTCTGCTCTTCAGCAGAAGTCCCAGCAGATGGAAGAACAACTGCAAAAGTGCAAGATGATGCTGGAGGAATTGAAGAGTAAACTGGAACTCCAGAAAGAGGGCTATGAGAGGCAGTTGTCACTTGTGCAAACGGAAATACAGAAAAAAATTGTTTTGCTGCAGTCTGACATCTCAAAAGAAAGCCAGCAGTCACACGGTGCTCAGTTATCCGAGGTCCTTAACAGGTATTTCAAAGATGACACAAAAGTGCTAAAAACAGTGCATCACACCATGGTGGAGCAACAGGTGGACCGGGAGCTGCAAATCAAAATGGACAGACTGCATGAAGAAAGGGCCAAACTCGGGCAAGACCTGTCAAAAGCGAAGTTAGAGATAACACAGCTTGAGACGGATAAACTCACTCTCACCTCAAAAATCAGCACTCTGCAGAGCCTTTGCAATCAGCAAGCAATGGAGAGGACAAAGTATGAAAAGCTGCTGGGAGATAGTGAGCGCAAACTCGTCCTGAAAGAAAATGAAGCAAAAGCTCTTCGGGAGCAAATAGAGTTGCACGTCAGAGAGGTGAAAATCCTTCAGGAATCACTTTCCACATTCAAAGTGAACAAAGTCACCAGTCATCAGTATGCAACAAACAACAAGGCAGATACCCCAACAGTGAAGAAAATGGTGCCTATCAAGAATGGTGCAAAAGAGGTAATTTACCTAAAACGAATGTAAACTTGTTAATTCAAAAAGTATTATTTTACATGATTCAGTCTCAACTCTTAACTTAAAAGTTCATCCAATCTCACATTTACAGGTGGCAGCAATGGAAGGAGGAACCATTCTTGAAGGAATTAAACAAGTGGAAGATTCCTATTCTCAGACTCTCAGCACCCAACAGAAAGACAAGCAGCATGTGATTCACAGAACAGCATCTGATGTGGCCATTTCTGACACAACACACATGGCAGGAAGTGGACTGACAGGCCAGAGGTCCAACGAATCAAACATCAGTAAAACAAGAACGTATCAGATCAAAGAAGTTCATGAAGTTGTGAAAACATCAGAGAAAAATTTGTCCGAATGTGAGAGAAAAGGGAGCATGACAATGTCCAGAAACACCCTTCCCTCTAAATGGAGCACAAACATTCAATACTTGATAAAGTATAAGCTGTTGGATGGTGAGGTTTTGCGAAAGTTGGAAATGGGCCTCATCACCATGGAGGAGATGCGAGCTTTGCTTCCTCAACAAATTGACAAGCCAACTGCTATCGCTGGAGTTTATGTGGACTCAAGCAAGAAAAAGATGTCCTTTCTAGAAGCTGCTGAAAAGGGCTTCCTTGCAAAAACGTATGCACTCGAATTTCTGGAGGCTCAGGCTGCAACAGGTAGTATTAAGGACCTGGCCTCAGGGCAAACGCACTCAGTTCCTGAGGCTCTGGAGAGGGGAATTATAGATGCAACCTTAAAAGACAAATTAATGGAGGCTGAGAAAGCCATTAGTGGCTACAACTGTAAAGGCAAGAAGCTCTCCCTGTTTCAGGCAATGGAAGAGAGGATTCTGGATAGATACAAAGGCAAGAAAATCCTTGAGGTCCAGGTTGCTACTGGAGGGCTAATAAACCCTGAGAATGGTGTCAGAGTACCAGTTCACCTTGCTGTAGAACAGGGTCTTTTGAATGAAGAAACTTTGCTGAGTCTGTTTGATCCAGTGAGTAACCCCAAAGGTTTCCACAACCCTGACACTGGACAGAAGGCATACTACTCGGAAATCCTCAGGACATGCTTGTATGATATGGATGGTGGCGTGTTTCTCTTCCCGTTCGGTGAGAGACACCTGACAAGCTCATCTCCCATGAGTCCTCACAGAGTTTCAGTTGTAGACAGCAGCTGTGGATCTGAAATGTCAGCGTATGAAGCCTTCCGGGGGAAACACATTGACAAGAGGACCTATCTGTTTCTGTCACAGCAGGAAAGTGAATGGCAAGAAAGGTCTGTTCTTGACCCTGATGGAAGCACACGTCACATTGTGAATGATGCCAGAAGTGGCCGACAGATTTGTCTTGAGTCTGCCCTGAGTCAGAGGTTTCTTGAGGCGTCTGAGTTTGAAAGCTATCTTAGTGGGGTTTTAAGTATCTATGAGATTGCAGACATTATATTTTCAAGGATGGTGGTAATTGAGGATGTTAACAGCCCAATTGCAGGCCTCTGGGACATCACTCAGAGAAAGAGGCTCTCAGTTCTCCAGGGCTTTCAGCAGGGCTTTACTGACAGAGGTACTGCCCTACGACTGTTAGAGTCCCAAGCCTGCACTGGAGGTATTTGTGACCCCTCAACTGGGGAGAAATTTCCCCTCTCTGAGGCTCTCAAAAAAGGTCTTGTAGATGAGGCGCTGAGTCAACAGCTCCAACAGTTTGAGCAGGTGTTCAATGGGATCATTCACCCTAAGAGTGGAAAGACCTTGATAGTTCCCCAGGCTGTTCAGGAAAACCTCCTCCCGAAGGACGCTGGTTTTCGCTGCGTTGAGTTCCAGCTCCTGACAGGGGGACTGATTAATCCCATCACTCATGACCGACTCTCACTCGAAGAAGTCATTCAGAGTGGAGCTGTTGACAAAGCTACTGCTACGGTGCTCAAAGATGAGAATTTACATGCCAAAAGCCTTACCTGTCCAAAGACCAAGAGGAGAATCACGTTCAAAGAAGCACTCGAAAGAAGCCTGTTTGACTGTCACACTGGATTAAGGTTACTGGAAGCTACAAAAATTCATGGCTTTGGAGCCAAGTCAACATTTCATTATGTCTGGGCATATAAATAAAATACATAAATCTATATATACATACATACATACATACCATGTCTGTTTACAGCCTGCAGAAAGAATAGGCGTGCACCATTTGGCTGTAATGTTTGCTCTCTTTATTGTAAAATGTTTTTCTATTATTTTTTAAACTCTCTCGTTTCAGTACTTGTGATTCTTCAAGATTTTGTTTGTGATTTTTTTGTGTCCTGATTATCAGTGTACTGATGTAGTTGATCAATCTTCTTTTTTTCTATACTTGATTATTTTCTAATATATCTCAGCAATGATAATAACCTTTTTGAAAATCCACCTGTTTCAATTCTAGAGATCTATTGATGAGGAGAAGAGAGAGCACGGTGATAAAGTTAGCAAATTGTTGCACTGGATGTCTGATGTGAAACGTACCATGAGCAATGATGGGAATTCTCTTAAAGATAGTAATGCCAACACAGATGCTTCAAATAAGCCCCAGGTAATTCATGTGTGTGTATTTTGCATGTCTTTGTTTATACTCGACAGAGACTACCCCAGTAGCTTGAGCTTATGGTGTCCCAGTGTATTTTTCAAATAAAAACATACTCATTACTTCATTGGTTATCCCTATGTGGTTGATAATAGTCAGGGGTTTTAAATGTCTTACTAGGTTTACCATTAATTATATTGTTTACTAATATGATATTTTGTACTTTTTATAATCACTACCCAGTGACAAAATAACAACAGACCAATATGTTACACAAGCACTCCCATTCAAGTCATAGGGAACTGGAATATTAAAACATATTACTGGCTTTTCTTCCTCTCTGTGTCTAAATAAATGTAACAGCCCATGGCAAATTATTAAATGCATCTATAATCCTCTGCATATCAAAAGAACCAGCTCTAATTGCACAAAGCTGGGAGGTTATTTGATCATTATGTGTGACATAGATCAGTATAACTAATGGACTGAGAAAGAAACCAGATCTTTTTACGGAAACAGTGTAATATTCTACATAGATGATAGTCCACTTAAGATAATTCAACATCAATATTACTGATTTTACACACTTCAGTTTATGTGGTGTCCTTAAGTGTCCTTTTACTTTCAAGAAAAATCACATACTGAAAAATGTTCCAGAATGTAGTCACGAGAGTCATTTTATATGAATTTAGTCATTAATAAAATTTGTAACAAAATATATATCCTTGTATAACTAGCATATTTTATACATTTTGCAGACATTCTGGGTCTTTGAATAGCTAACCTGTCAATAGATTTCCTATTTTTCCAATTTAAACATAAATTCCAATCAGTTCTCTACTATTTTGTCCCCATGTACAAACAAGTTTAAAAGATATATGTAGGAACATCTTCCTCAAAGAGAAAACTTACACTACAAAAAACAACTCGAGAACTGCCCCCCGTTAAAAGAAATGTGTTTTGCATGGCCTTTTTTATGGTTTTATCCCAGTTTTCTGTTTGCAACAAATCTGCATGACACTATTGTTTGAATGCACCATATGAAATATCTGATCAGTTTTTGAAATGGTGAGCTTTTGTCTGCGTCTGTTTGGGGTTCCAGGTTTCTGTTGAGGAAATGGTCACTAAAAAGGAGCAGATTGCAGAAGCTCTCAGGTCCACACAGATGATGCTCAGCAAACACAGTGACAAGTAAGTGTCATTCCTATTCTATATGTGCGACATGTAGAGTGCACTGTTTAAGCTCACAGCTGCATTCTTTTTGTGTTGTTTTCACAGGATGGCAGATGAAGACGTAGAGCAGATGAAGGAGCAGTTGAATGCTCTCAGTCAGGCTTATAGTGAACTCTCGCAGCAGTGCTCTGATCAGACAGCTTCTGCAGAAGAGGTTGGACTCCAGATAATTTACAGTACACACGCTATACTGTGTTTATGTCTCATAATATGCTTGAGAACAGCGCCACCTGATGTTCAAATGCATGACTAACCTTGACCCCCTTTTCTTGAGAACAGCGTGGACAGTTTGTTCTTGCATCTCTCGTATTTACTCTGCGATATGTGATTGTTAGTGACAGAAAATGAGAGTTGAAGCCCAGAGAACCCGAGTATGCTGTAAACATGCTGATCCCTGCAAGCTTTGGTCTGAAATTCCACCTTTTGTCAGGGTGCCCAAGCTGTCTTGGAACTCTACACAGCAGCAGATGTGATGTTTAACTTTAGTGTGTCGACGTGACTAACTACACTCTTTCTGCAATATGCTGGGCACCACATTCCCAGATGCATGGTAGCTTTAATTGTGTTGTTTTGCTGTCCTGTTGCAACCCTGTTGCAGCCTTGCTCTTCTGCACACAGTGTTTTAACATGCCCTTGTTTGTGTTGTGGTGAGTATAGATTTTGTCTTGCTTTTGAATATTTTTTATTGCAAATTTAACATGCAGAATACATCATTTGTAGGCCAAGCCAGTGAAGTAACTTGTACTGCTTTAATTTTTTGCAGGATTTCAAAAGCCCTGATGGGCCTGGGAGTGGAAGAGCCAGACTCCCAGTGGTCCTCTCTCTGTCTGAGCCCGCCCATTCAGATTGGGATGATTCTGTCAAACACAATCACATGTACAAGTCCGCACTGAAGCACTGTCCACACGATGAAGCAAACAAATGCATAGACACTTCACATATCTCCTCGGTGTCTCTTTCTGATATAGCAACAGCGAGGGTAGGACACACTAGTGAAGATCTGGTTATCAAGATAATAGAGGCAGATCAAGCCAGTAATGGAATGACTTTATGCTACACAGGTGACATACTAACCCTGGAGAAGGCATTTGTTCATGGTTTAATTCCTGCTTCTGTCTATGTAGAGATCCTACAAAGGCAAAAGGCAAAATTGGTTAAAAGTTTGTCACTTTCAGAACTGGAAGATCAGATTGAACCTTGTGAAGTTCATACCCTGACATTAAACTGCCTCAACCGAAATGAATCGCTGACATCAGGGAGGAATTATAACAAGCTACGGTCTGTGTGCGATGGTTCATGTGACCAGGAGACCATGTCAAGTCTGTTAAGTAGTCAGATAGGTGCAGGTTACACCAAAGAGGATGTAGGTGGAGATGGGTTGTGGATGGATGCCGCTGTTCAGTGTGATTTGATGAGCTCCAGCAGCACGCTCATTGTGCTGGGACCTGAGAAGCAGTTTATAGGGATTGTGTTGCCTCATTCTGGGGAAGCCCTGTCCACCACATTTCAGTATGAACAAGTTAAAACCACCAGTGAGTTCACTAGCAGACTGTTGAGTAATAAAAGAAAAATAGCTGCTTTTTACATTCCAGAAAGTTCTGAAGTTGTAGATATCAATTCTGCTGTTGACAGAGGTCTTATTGACACTTACACAGCTGAGTTTCTGAAGTCTGTAGAGGTTCCTGATGTCACTCCCGATGTTGATCTCCTCACTGACATGTTTTCATCTTGGCTCACATATAAAAAGATGGCAGTTGATGGATGGAGTGCTGAAAGTGGTTCAGGCGTGAACATCCCCACTGCTGCAGAGGCAGAGCAGTTATTCATCTCATACCTGATGATCAACAGTTACGTTGATACAAAATCAAATCAGAGGGTTTTGATCCTTGACAGTCAGTTCACAGAAATGACTCAAACCTTTATGGAGGACCCACTATTTTCCCCAAAATTCACTCCCTCTATTTTCGATAACAGTAGTTCATCAGAACATGGCGGGGAAGATATATCATTGCACATTAATGAGGAAATGGAGGACACTATAAAAAGCACACAGCAGAGTTTAGATTCCTATGGACTTGCTTCCATGAGCAATAAGACCTCTTCCTTTGATGAAAGCTCACAACATACACTCGAGCCTCCTAACTGTGCCTCTGTGGGTGATAGAAAACAGCCCTTAAATGAGAACAATTCCAGAAATGTGACGACTTTGAAACAAGATCCTATTAAAGAACTTTTAGAGAGTAATGGGCCTGATCTGGGTACCATGGAGTCTTTTGTAGTGGATGACACCATATTTGACAAGATGAGAATTCAGACAAAGGCAGATGAAACTGGAGAAACAACATGTGGGAATGGTTTGCAAGTTGAGGCTGTAAATGCCATCAGTGAAGACCTTAGTATTCCCTCCTCTCTAGAGATGTCTGAGCTTTTCACAGAATGTTCTGTTAAAAGTACAAGCATTGACTCACCAACCAGGACGGCCGATTCTGAATCCTCAGTGAGTTATTGTGATCAAGTTATGCCATGCCCCAATGCAGAGTCACTGCACAAAGAATCGAAAAGTGGAGATGATGGAGCTGAGCCTTTAGGCTCTGCTGTTGGGATGGATGGTGAAAATGAGCATAAACATGCTATTCAACATCTGAAAGCCCAAATGGAGGAAGGGGGGATTTTAGATGTGACATCTGGGAGACATTATGACCTGGAGGAAGCTCTTCATAAGGGACTAATAGATGAAAAGACAGTACTGGAGCTTCATGACCTACAGTCAGATAAAAAAGTAATTATCTTAGATGGGGAGGAAAGCACAATGTCCGGTCTAAAAGAGATAGAACACACGCTTTTAAGCTCTGATTGCCACATTAGCATCAGTGAGTCATTGCAGGCTGGATTAGATAAACATGCACTTGATAATTTCCATCCCCAAACTAGTATTTACCCAGATGAAAACTCCATTTATTGCACTTTTGAACATCCCAGTGTTGGTGTCATTGGAATGAGCGGAGATGAAAACATGCAGAATCTGCCTGAAAGGAAGATTGCTGTCATGGTGCTTGATTTAACCAGTAATGAAGCTTGTGGGAAACTCATAGGATATGAGGCTGAAGGGCTGAGTAATTGTTTGCGTAATACTCTCCCCTCTGATAGTGGTCATGAGCTTGCAATGATCTCACCCTCCCCCTGGAGTCAGGTTACAGCGGAGTGCGCTGCTCACTCCGGTGAAGGCGGCTACTCACCGGCCTTATTCAATGGGCATCTCAACGGTAAAGCTGATGTATGCAGTAATGCAGTGGTAAACACAGCTGAGGCAACAGAGTCAGGTTCATCTACTATGAGCACTAATACTAACCCAGATAAAGAGAGTCAACATACTGTCGGGCCTCACTCTTGTATTTCAAACAGCCAACACACAGGGAGTATTTACAGTACTAGATATGATCTTCAAAAGGAGCTTTTTGCAGTTTCTGATGTTGAATTAGGCACACATTCATCATCACACAATGTTTTATTTGAGAAAACTACACTGGAGAAGGACAACAGTGCTGCTCACACACCTTTGGACTCTAAGTCAGCTCAGTGTGAAGCTTTCTCATCATTCACAGAGTTAGTTGAAGGTTCAGTTGTGTCTGTTTCTGAGGTTAACGGTTGCAATGGCACCGGCCCTGCAGAAGATGGCAGCAGAGATGCATTGCCTGGCCACGCAGCGCTCAATTCAGAAAGCAATGCCCATGCTGAGTCTGAGCTCAGCTGCTTAGAAAATGCTCAGAACAAGAGTGCATCAGTTTGCGAAAGACCTTCAAAACAAATGGATTCCTCTAGTTCACCAGCTGCTGTCTTTAGTGACATGGATACAGCAGTTACGCTGGAGGACAGGAGCTCTGCTGTAGAGTGTGATACAGATTTAGCACAGAGTAATAAGGATTTAGTAAAGTCAAAACAAATAGACGTAGATGGTGGTGAGTTGTACACTGAGAGGCTTCCCCTAGAAAGGCACCATGATCATACTTTACAAGTCACCAGTGATACTGAACAGATATGTGAGTCAAAACAAGAGAAAGACAAAGGACATGTGTCTGATTTAAATCTACCTCTTTCATCTTCAGAAAGCAATTCGAGGCAGCCTGAAACTAGAATTGGGGAAGATTTAGGATCTTGTATTCAATCAGAGGGAAACGGATTAGGTGAGCGTGTATCTGAACCTTCCTGTGTAGTCACTGATATCCTCTCAGACAGCTACGCTACGTCTGCTGTTCCGTCCTCACCTGCATCCATGTGTTCTGTTAAAGCTCTGGTAGAGGGCCAGGGGGAAATAATCACAAACAATACCAATGTAACTGATTTGCAAATAGCACTTAGTCAAGATGACAAATGTACTGAGCCTGTGACGTTAGTTAGGGAAATATTTAACGAGAGTGAGACACCTCATCTACCTATGGAGGACAGCGCCGTAGTTCCGCTCATGAATATGCTGAAGTCACACACCCTCACGTCAGATGGAACAAACACAGAAAACTCCCAAGGGAAATGCCAAGAGGAAAAAGTTAACGAAAAGACAGAAGAGTCTGATCCTCCAGATATTCAGCAGCAGCTGCTGCAGCTTTTCAAGACTGTTTCCTCAGGCCAACACATTTCAGTGCTTCAGGAAATGATGGACACTCTGAGCAGCGCTCTGGGACCAGACTCCCAGGAGGACCGACGACACACACTAGAGAGCATAAAAGAGGAGAGTTCAGAGGGAGAGGATGAGGAGTCGGCAGAAGATGCTGCTGTGACTCACCCACCATCTAAACGGGTATCTGGAGATGCCCGCAAAGCAGAGAGTGTCAAAAATAAGGTACAGCGTGTTTGTACCTGTGTTAAGACATCCTTATGACACAGTTTGTGATTATATCATCTATTCCAAATTTTGACTGTCCTTTCTTTTGCAACAGATATCCTCTGTCCAGGATTACTTGGAATGTGTGGGGAGACTGCAGGATCATGCTGATGTTTTAGAAGATGTCAGAAAAGATCTTTCAATGCAAACACCTGTGGGAAACAACATGGAAGACCTGCAGATGCAAACCGAAGAATGCCAGGTTAGATGTTAAAACCCGAAGTCCACTGGTTATTTTGGATAAACTCAAAGTATAGTTAATGCTCTTTTTATATACTCATCCTTTTTCTGACCAAGTTTACTTTTTATTCAGTCTTTAGAGTCTGAACTTTCTAGATTGGGTGGTGTTCTGACAGTAGACATGGACAAAGCCAAACAGCTCTTGAACGCTGCCGATGAGTACATTCCTGAACAAATCCAACAAGATTTGGCCTCCACATATCAGCAGTTGGAGCCAAATTTTACTGCTGTCTCCCAGATGTGTGCAGAAAGGAGAGGCTCCCTGATCCATGCAATGGAAGTGGGAAAGGTTTGTGTCAGGGTAGTAATAACAAGGAATGATCAAAAAGCCAAATCATTCTCTTTAACAACTTTAATTGTGATTTCAGGCACACTTGGAGTCAGAATACCAGGAACATCTCTGTGATGTTCATAAATTATCAGACCTCATACAGGAAAACTTAAAGATGTTGGATGTGGATTTGAACACATGTGATTTAGACACGCTGAAACAATTGAGCCAGCAGAACAAGGTATTTGTTAAACTAAAAGTAAAAACCAGCAGGGATACAGCGACTGAGAAAAGAACAATATTTTATTGCATATTTTCATACTTTCTCATTCCAGGATAGCGAGAACAGTCTGCTGAAAGAAGCCAGGCTCAAGTTAGAGGACGTCACGTTTGATATCCAGTGCTTCATTTCTGAGCACGCTCAGTTTCTGAGTCCGGCTCAGAGCAGTTACCTCCTCAAGTACCTCACCACCACACAGCGAGCGTTCAGGGACCACACAGAAAGACTTATTACACAGCAAAGTGCTTTAGATGTGCTTCTGGACGCCAGAGAGAGAGAAAATCAGCAGAAGGTCTGTCTCCGGATACATCTGAATGCGACCTTGTTAAAAAGAAAAACATATGCGGTGATTTGCAACAGATTGAAAGCATTCATTTGATTGAAAAGATTAGGGACAATGTAGCATATTGTTATTAGAAAAGCATGTGCAACATGTTCCAAAAAAGATTAGAAAAGGGGTCAGCAAAGGTATGAGAAAATTAAATTGAAAAAAAAAACACGTTTGAAATTAATAGGGTTAATTAGGAACAGGCCAAAATGATAAAAAAGATATTTTAAAAAGTTCCAGAAAGACTTCATTTCAGTATGTTATGAAAGAGATTAATAAAGAATCTATGTGTACTAGTAATATTGGCAGAGCTTATGAAATTACCTAAATGTGATTTATTTTCTATATACTATTTTTCAATTTTATAAATAGTTAAAATGATATCCAGATCACCACTTTTAAAAAATAAATTACATCATTTTCTGATGTATTTTACGCCATTAGGTGTGTTAAAAAACTGTTCAGGTATTTACATGTCCCATACTCAATTAATTATACTACAAATACATCTAATCATTTTTATTCTATAGTTATTTGTGAGTCTTTCTTTTAATTGATACATTATTTTTTAAAATGCCATTCCTATTTTCTTTTAGCTGTTGAGACACTCAGAATTCTTTAGTGTCTTTTTTCTTGTTCAATTCTACACAGATTCAGTTGTCTTTGTTCTCAAGTTGAGTTTGCTGATTCTTCTGTAAATGCTTAAATCTTCGGAGAAATAACAGCATTGCATGTGAACTGCTACAGACTAACCTTTGTGCTGGTTGTATTCTACAGACCTCAAGACTCCAGTGAACAAAATGTCCCTCCTGTGTTGGAACATTTACAAACACAGGCAATCTACTAACTCAAAAAATGTCCTCTCGTGCTTGATACCATCTTGGAGCGAAAAAAACAGCATGTTTACAGCATACTGGGTTTGGGAAAATCTAGTGAAGATAAATGTGTCTACTGCAGATTTTGCATGTTGCCTTGATATTCCTTTATCCAAGTAACAATTCACCATCTCAGACAAAAAGATTCATTTTTGTGTGAGGTTTTATGTTTGTACTGTATCAGCTTTACAGAGTTTATGAAAATTGGAGAACTCACAAGTGTGTGTGTGTATATATATGTGTGTGCACGTATTGCCAATTACACAAACAACTTGTACATTTTTCTTGTTTCCGTTAGTCTTTACAGGCAAGGCACAAGGAATTTACAGAGAAACTGGAGGAGGTGTGTGACAGTCTCACCCTGACTGAGAATCAACTGATCGGTCATCAACAGCAGGCTGAGAGTGCCGGGTGTGTTACAGACCTGCAACAGTATCAGCAGGAGCATCAGGTCTGAAATGTCTTTTTCTAAACCACACAAACATAAAGATGTCTGCCCCAAGAGTTGAAATATATCCTTTCATTCAGAAACTCATTTGAGTCCTGTGCTATTTTAAGGCTCTGCAAAAAGATGTGCTGAAAAATGCCAGTGCCTTGAACGAGGTGATCACCAGCACTGCAAAGTTCCTGGAGGAGAACCGCAGCAAGTTGACACCTGATCAGATCGCCATGATCGAGAGCAAGTTGGAGGAGGCTAAAAGCAAAGCAAAACTCATCAACCAGCGTGCTGAAGAGTCCAGGAAAGATTTGGAGAAGGTTGTCACAACAGCCATAAAACAGGAGAGTGAAAAGGTTCATATTACCGCCATGTGTGTTGTCTGTGAAAATATGCTATGCTTTATTATTAAAAGGATAGAGCAAAAGTGAATCTGTATTTTTGATGTGTGGTCTGTTCATGCAGGCAGCAGCTGTTGAGCAGCTTGAAGAGAGCAAGAACAAAATCGAAGGTCTACTGGACTGGATATCCAACATAGGGAATGAAAACAAAAGCTGTCTGGATCAAACTGACCATATAAGTCAAGAGAATGGAAACCTGCCAGAGGAAACTTCCGCCAAGGAACTGACAGGGGAGGCTGACGATGCCAATGGAAATGCTTTACAGACCTCTGAAAATGATTCTGGCAGAGAGACCAGAGGCGAGAACGCAATTTCCCTGGACCTTGATAAGCATTACGACAGGTTGAAGGTATATCTGGTTTGTCCAAGAAGTGATCCATTTGTCAGTCATCCTTAAGCTCTAATTCATACTTTACAAACTAATGAACAGATCATACATTTCTAAGAAATACAGGGCATTCCTTCTTTAAAGTGATATAATGTGATATAATACAAAGCTTAAAGGCACAACTAAAGATAAAATGCAGAAATTCCACATTTCTAAATATAGATTAAATAGAAAAAGTCAACTGACAATGAAAGGGTACACACGTGGTATAATGCTTAAGGCAAAATTATTCTTTATTAAAAATACTGAAATTGATGTCCTCTGCTGTTTTACGCAGGCTCATCATGAGGAGATTCTGTCCCAGCAGCAGGATCTAATCATGGCCACCCAGTCAGCTCAAGCTCTTCTTGAAAAACAAGCCAGTGTTCTGTCACCTGAGGAAAAGGAGAGGCTTCAGAAAAACATCCAGGACCTGAGGGAACGCTATGAGGCCTCCCTGACTCAAGCTGAGCAGCAAATGAAGCAGGTGCAATGCGTCCAGGAGGAGCTGAAGAAGTTTCAGGATGACTGCGGGGAGTTTGAAGGCTGGTTAGGGCATGCCGAAGGAGAGATTGAAGAGTTGGGCACTCCTGCAGCTTCCCTCAACGTCTTGAGGGATAAGCTTCTGCGACAGAAAAGCTTCTCAGAGGATGTGATTTCCCATAAAGGAGACCTTCGCTTTATCACCATTTCCGGACAGAAGGTTCTGGATGTTGCTAAAGCCTGTGGATTAACTGATCCTGCTGCGGCGAATGCTCAGCTGCAAGTGGATACTTCAGGGACCTGCTCTGCTGTCAAGGATAAATTGGATTCAGCAGCCAATCGATACAAAACACTGCATTCACAGGTATTAAGTCTTAATTACAGCAGATTGAAGCTCTTGTAATTGTAAGATTCTGCCTCTGGGAGGCAGCATTTTTCCATGGAACGCCTCTTAAACGTGTCTGTTGTCAGTGAAGTGAAAACTTTTACATGTAATTATATTGAACTGCACGTTTTGAGCTCCCATATGTACTTATAAATGTGCTGAGGGCTCAAATAATTTAATCAATTTTATTTTATTTTTTCAGTGCAACCTGCTTGGAAACAACCTCAAAGAAGTAGTGGACAAATACAAAAAGTATGATGACTCTAGTAGTGGTCTTTTGAAATGGCTCAACTGTTCTGAGGAGGAGGCAAGAACGCAGCAGTCAGAAGCCATTGCAGCCGACCCCAAAACACTACAGAAACAGCTGGAGGAGACCAAGGCAAGAAACATGATCATAGGAGTTCTATGTTGAAAAGTTTATTTTGAACAATGCTCAACTTCCATGAGGCTCCTCTTTTAATATAGAATATCTGTGTATATTCAATGTTTTTCAAGGTTAGGTGATATTTAATCATTCTCCCCTGAGTCTGGCAGATGTTGTTTTTAGAATAATTTCAATCGTCTGTACCTACCTCAGTGGATGTCAACCTATGAAATCTTGAAGTGAACAGCTGTATTTAGAGGGATCGTGTAGTACTTGGAGCGCTTACTGGGTTGTTAGGTAATGGCACAGTAGACCTGTCTTACCTTATACAGTGTTTCCACTGACTTAACTAAAGCCAAGCTATTTCTGGCTCTGTGATTCAAAATTAAACCCACAAATGAATAGTTTGACTGCTTATTTGTAGCTAACGCGCTTCTCCAAAACAATACAAGAATAGCCTGATGGAGCTGTCTCTGCTAAAGTATCTGGCGGAGGTTCGCTTACACATTTCTCTGCAAAGAGGTAGTGACTTATGGCAGAGATATGCGCAGATAAGAGGCGCCTGTGAGCCTACCAGGGAATGCAGTATTTCTGATATTGTGCAGAAACCTTTAACATCTCTATAAGTGTACGTCAGTGTGGATTGTTATTTCTACGGGACGGCACCGGTGAATTCCATATGTGCATTTGTGAAGTTTATCTTTCCTGTTTTTTTTGTTTTTTTACTGTTGTATTTACTGATCCACAGGCTTTACAAGGCCAGATGGTAGGACATCAGACTGCTGTTGACACGTTGCGTAAAACAGCTGAGTTGTTGGTAACATCCGAAGGAAACCTGCTGAGCAACCCCGATGACATCCAGGAGACAGTGGGTGAGGAAAGATCAGTCAGATTAATGTGTTTGTGTACATAATGTATTAGCAACAAAGTAAACCCTATGCCCCACAGCACATGCCACTTTGTGACACCTGGACTTCCCTTACCCTTCCCAACATTATCATTATCAGCCAACTTTTAATTGCCAATTCATATTATATTGTAGTTGTAAAGAGGCAATTCTGCTTTTAATGGAACCTGATTTGTCTCTGTGCTGCAGACGACATTGTGGAGCGCTATGACAATCTTTCTAAGTCTGTGAGTGATCGAAATGAGAAACTTCAGATCACCCTGACGCGCTCTATGAGTGTCCAAGATGGTTTAGATGAGATGATGACATGGATGGAGGGAGTGGAGGCCAGCGTGAAAGAGAAAGAGCAAATACCATTGGATTCTGCATCAATTGGAGATACTCTCAGCAAGGAGGCAGTAGGTTTCCTTCTAGTCATGGTGTTGGTCTGATTGCTTTCAAACCCACTCTCTAATTACTTGAATTATTTATAGATATGTATAGATGTATAAACGTGAAACGTTTTTTATTTCCTTTTTGTAGGCTTTAGAGCAGGACATTGCTGGTCGGCAGAGCAGCATCTCAGCCATAAAGGCAAAGGTTTTGAAGTTTGTGGAGACTGCAGATCCCTCTGCAGCTACTCTTCTGCAGACTAAGATGGACACCCTCTCCCAGCGCTTCACTGACGCTTGTGATAAGCATAAACAGAAAGTTTCCAAATTGGAGCAACTGAAAGAAAAGGTTGAAGAGTTTGAGAACACTGCAGATAAAGTCCAACAATCAATTGTGAAGCGTTCACAAGATCTGCATGAAACGGATGGACCTGGGAAAACTTTCAGTGAACTGTCGGAGCTAATGCAGGTAGGTAGATTAAGCTTAGTAATTTCAGTATGTTTTTTAAAATAATTTAAATTTCACTCCCTGGTAAAATGTCTTTGTAGAATGCTAAAGCAGAGATGGCTGAATATGCTAGTGATATGGAGAAGCTGCAGACTCTATCCAAAGAGCTGTCTGAAATAAGCCCTGACGGAAACAAAGCCCAGCTACTGAGCAAGTTGGACAACGTGTCAAATATCTTCAGTACTTTCAAAGATACAGTCAAAGAAAAGTAAGTCAAAGAAAAGAAAGTGTATATATTTTTTCTCTGCATCCGAGCTTGCATTGAGTCAGTGATGCAACAATGGATGTGTGCTGTGATGTATTCTTTAGGGAAGAAGAACTATCATCCTGTCAGGACCAGCTGGGTGAGTTCAGATGTGCAGCCAGTGCTCTCACCAAGTGGCTGGAGGAAAGCAATGACAGAGTACCTGCAGCTCAGCCAAGCAGCAGTGAGAAAAATCTGGAGAAGGACCTGCAGATTGTCACCGTGAGTCATGGGATAAATAAATAGCATATTACCGAGACAGTGTTATTTCTGCATATGTTTTATTTAACTCTTCTTAAAATGCTGGAACAGAAGTCACAGATGATGCCTCATCTCTGACGCAGCCATTTGTATGTGTTGCAAGAAAAAGAAGAAAGTGTACTTTAAAAGATATTAATCCTTTCCTCCCTATACTCCCCACCATCCCAGCGTGCTTTCTTTGCTAGCTAATGACAGATTGATTGTAAGTGCTTCTAAAGGACAGGTCTAGAAGATAACCACGGTGTTCATTAAAGCACCACATAAGAAAAACAGAACGTTCTCACGCAAGGTTAAAAAAAACATCTTTTGAGTTCACCTGTGATGGATTCCACCTGCCATATCATTCCTCCTATCTACAATAGATGTGTTTGATCTGTTGTCAGGGGTTATTAAATGAATGGACATCCAAAGGCCCTGCTGTCCAGGACTTGAACAGTAAAGGAGCAGCACTGTGCAGCCTGATCACTTTTCTCACATCCCCTGCCAAGGCTAAGACCTCTAACAAGTCAGGTAAATATTAGCTGACCTATTGTCCTGAAATAGAATCCCTCAGTGGAAAGGGTGGTTTGGGCACACTTGTTGTACTATTTTATCACTAACAGGATGATGGAACTTTCTGTTGTTAACAATGCTTGTCAGTGTCCCTGCTCTTGACACTTTGTCTCATGTCTTTGCATTAGCTCTTACTAATGGTGGTGGTCCAGCAAGTCATACCTACCTAACCAATAAAGGTAACCAAAGTGTGGATATGGGTGCTTCTTTGTGGGAAACTGAGCTTGGTGTACACGGACATGGTGTGGTGGCTTTGTGTTGCTGAAATTAAGCTTTTTAAAAAATCTACTTAACTGTATGTTCAGATTATGAAACGTTGGATTTAGAGGAGCAGATATGCTGATATGCGAGGGATTTTTTATGTTGTTTGGAATATTTTAAATGTCAAGTTAAATCCAAATAAAGCAAGTTATAAAGCAAGTCTGGAAAAAAGAAAGCTGACTGAAATTGAAAAAAAGGTTCCTTAAGCTATAAGGCAGACCAGTTTAAGATTTTTGAAAACTTCCTAAATCATACATGGATTAAATATCTTAAGCCAAGGTAAAAGCTTTAGATTAAAGACATGATTTTTATTTTCTTTAAAGTGTTCTCTGTCTTCTTGACAGTATTTTGTTGGGGGTAAGTTTGTACCTGGTTCTATTAACAACATAAGCCTCCATGTTACTGATCAGAATGTTTGCATCAACTAAAAATGTTTTTCTAGTTTTTCTTGAACTTGTTTTGTTCTATCTTGGAATACATATTTAATGTCAGAGGCCTCAACTTCCTTTAACTGAAAGATAGTTTTCTAAACTTGAAATAATAAAAGTATAAAGTTATAGATTTCCATGCAAATCAGCTCACACATTCTACTTCAGAAGGAAGTTTTTTCTCAATAACTCCAGTTATGCTCATTGAAGAGTTGTTATTCATACATGTTATTCATATTATAAACATACTCTGCCATAAGCTTAATACATCCACGGTGACTCACATTAACGATATTGTTATGACTCTGTTTTGATTTCAAAGCCCTGCTAAGATAACCTGATAAGTTTATTTTTGATGCCTTCAGAGCTCATGGGGATCCAGCAGAACATGTCCTTCATCGGTGAGGGATACACCAACCTGGGTGAAACACTAAAAAGTCGAGAGGAGCAGTTGAGTAGTTTGCTCCAGAAGGTGAAAGAGGCCCATAAGGAGACGGAAGACATGATGTCATGGCTGAGGGACATGAAAAAGACTGCTGCTTCCTGGAACAATGCAGCCACCGAAAAAGATGCTGTGAAAACACAGCTTGAGCAGCAGAAGGTACATATGTGTTTTTACTCATTAAATGAACTGTTATGTTTGGGTTTGGGCCAAAAATGCACTCAGTCCTTGCTGAGTTTGTGAGAGATGGTCACGTGATTGTCATCTTGAAAGTGGTTGGATTTATTTTTTATTATGTGTGTGGTACTCTCAGGCATTTGAAGATGGTATGAAGCAGAGGCAGGAGCAGCTCCAGAAGCTCAGAGAGAAGCTCCTGGACCTGATTACTGCCCATCCAAACTCTCCTGAAGCAGCAAAATGGAAGCAGATGCTGGCAGAGATAGGTACATGCAAAGATAAATGCTTCTAAACCTCACTGACCATAGCTGTGTGTCATGAGGCAATTAGGTTTATGAAAAACATTGTTGACAGAATGTCAAGCCTTTGTCTCTACCTGCTCTCTTCTCCACCAAATTAACACATTTGTTGTTCCAAGTCCTGCGCAGTGGGAGAGGAACAGTGGGACAGAGGGGACAAAAGTTTGTTTGTGCTGACTAATGAAGACTGGTGTGATTGTTCAGATGCTGCATGGGGAGAAATCAGTGGCTCTGTGGAGGAGAGGAAGCAGCACCTGGAACAGTCCAACAAGAATCTGGACATCTTCCAAAGAAATGAGCTGCAGCTTGGCCAGTGGCTCTCAGAGAAGGAGCTGATGATGAGTGTCCTAGGACCCCTCTCTATAGACCCAAACATGCTGAAAATGCAAAAGCAGCAAGTTCAGGTTAGCGGGGTGCAAGATTTCAGGGGTCCTTTTTTGTATTGACACAATTTCAAGGAAATGTTCATCTTCAATTACTTTCTTTTCCTATATTCTAGATTCTCCAGAATGAGTTCAAGAGCCGCAAGCCCCAATATGAACAGCTGGAGGAAGCAGCTTCTGTTCTCCTTAACTCGTCAGACAGCCAGGAACCCTCAAGTGGAAAGCTGGTGAGGGAACAGCTTGCAGCAGTCAACCAGAAGTGGCAGTGCCTCACTGGACAGCTGGACCAGCGAGACAGCCTCATTGACCAGGCGGTGGTGAAGACTGGTCAGTTTCAGGAGTTGTTGAAGAGCCTCGGTGACATTACCACTCAGCTGGAGAATCAGCTCACTAACCATCACACGAGCAGCACTCAGCCTGATGCTGTGAAGAAGCAGCTGGAGGACGTCCAAAGCATATCAGCTCAGCTGAGAGAGGAGAAGAAGAAACTGAAGCAGGCTGAGGCAATCAATGCAGAGCTCACAGCAATGGTGACTGAGGACTATCTTAAAGCAGATCTAACCAGGCAGCTGGAAAGTGTCAGCAAGCCTTTTAAACAGCTGGAAGAGAAAGCAGGTTAGCCTTTTGGCATAATCCAATAATATAATTCTATTTGTGTTTAGTCACAGCAATGCCAGCCTCTAAACTTGCATTTTAATCTAATTTTGTAAACTTGTTTTATTTCTAGTTGTCGCACATAACAATTTCAAAGAATAGCTGGTTTGAGCTGTATATTATAAGAGTAATCTGGAACAATATTTCTTTTTGATCCAATGTGTGCTCAAAAGGCTTTTGAGCACTTCACAAACTGAATTATGTGTTTTTCTGTTTTAGCAAAACGGATTGAACAGCTGAACTCAACCTTTGCCAGCTCTCAGCAGTTTCATCAAACATCCAAAGACTTTCAGTCATGGCTGGGTGAGAAGCTCCAGGATCAGCTGAAGCCCCTGTCCATCTCTGCTAAGGCTGACATTCTGCAGCAAACCTTAGAGGAGCACAGTAAACTCCAGAAGGCTCTCAAGGAGCAAGAACAAGCTTACAGTACAATCATTGGAGAAGGAGAGATGCTTCTGCACAGTACGGACGGGGCAGAAAAGCTGGCACTGCAGGGCCAGCTCACGACCCTCTCTTCTAACTGGGAGGAAGTGAAAAGGAGCTCTGCAGAGCAGGCTGAAAAACTTCAGGAAGCTCTGCTGAAATCACAGAAATATCAGGCCCATTCTGAGAAGCTGAGCTCTTGGATTCAAGATTGTGAAGGTAGTGAGGGTCGAGTGAAATTGGCTGTTGATCCCGCTGCTGTTGAGAGCTCCATATCTCAAGTGAAAGCCCTCCAGAAGGATGTCGACAAACACAGGGGGCTGGTGGAGCAGCTCAACACAGCTGCAGAAAGTCTGATGGAGGTGGCCAACACTGACACCGAGGATATAACAGAAGAGAAAGAGTCCCTAGGTAAAAGAGTGGAAAAGTTAGCGGAGGGTCTGCAAACCAAAAGGGAATCACTGGAAAAGATCTCACACACTGTCAAAGAATTCAATGATGCCTACAAAGAGGCAAACTGTCAACTGGAAGGAGCTAAGAAGCAGGTGGATTCCTATGAATTGCAGGGAGCGCAGGCACACAGCAACAAGAACTTAACCAACATCAAAACCCAACAGAAGAGTTTAGAGGGTGTGCAGAACCAGGTAGAGCACATGAAGGCCTTGGCCCAGGACCTTGTTTGTGATGTTCCAGACGCTGAGGGAGTTACAGACCTCCTGTTGCAGACAGACAGCTTAGAAAAAGATTACAGCAAACTTAACAAGAAACTGGAGGAGGCGTGCGAGGTTTTGGAGAGTAAACTGCAGGGTATTGGTCAGTTCCAAAACAGAATCCGTGAGATGTTTACCCAATTCGCAGAACTGGATGATGAACTGGACAGCATGTCTCCCATGGATCTAGACTTGACCACCCTTAAAGAACAGCAGGACAGCATTCAGAGTTTTCTCGCTAAGCTTCGAGAGCTGATGGCTAACACTGCCAACGCCGGTGACAGCTGTAAGAAGATGCTGGAGGCTGAATCTTCGCCTGATCTGATGGGTCTTAAGAGAGATCTGGATGCTCTGAGCAAGCAGTGTGGCAAACTCTTAGACCGAGCCAATGGAAGAGAGGCCCAGGTACAGAGTACGCTCACCAAGCTGGACGAGCTGTATGGCAAACTCCATCTAGTGGAAGAGAAACTCCGTAGTGCTGTGGACAAGGAAGCGTCCCAGGAGACAGTTGGCATGGAGACAGACGTAATCAACCAACAGCTGGAGGCCTTTAAGGTATGCTGATCGCAGTTTTATAAATGACTGTTGCGTTTTTTGTGAATATTTGATAGTTATGTTTCATAGTCGTTTTGGCTCTCCATGTTCATGCTTTACACAGTACTCAAATAGTGAATCCTTAACTACTTGGTTAGTTTCAGTTTTTAATTGAATTAAAAACTAAACTGGCTGATGCACACGTGCCATTTTATTTCAGATATTTCAATTTTGCTAAGTAATAGTAGTTATTCCTTAGCCTTAAAATGACCATTGTTGGTGAAGTGAATTTTTTAAATCTTTGTAAACCTCCAAAGTACATTTTGGATCGTTCACAGGGACAAGTTACCGCCACGCTCTTTACTGAGCACTCTTACTCAATACCTTCCATTCCTCTGGGGACTGTGGGGTTCATTTAGGGCATCTGGTGTTAACAAAAGAGCCGGGCACCATATGCAGTGCTGGGGCAAGTGGGACAGAGAGTCACAGCCAGGTGGTTGCCAGCAGGGTGTCATTTGATTCAGTAATGAAGCTGAGCCTGCATCCTGATCTCTTTACACCCATGTAGGTTCTCTTTAACCTGTCATTTTATGCGTCTGAATATATATTTTTTCTGTCTTTAGTTTTTTTATTCAGACACAAAAAATTGATTGATTTAATAGTTGAATGACTAGAGTGTTTAAAATGGAATAACAGATTAATCAAATGAGATTAAACTGTGTTTGCAAAGTCTGGCTGCTTTTGTTGACATCAGTTTGAGATAAAACACTGATTTTCCATTAGCAAGAATTACACATACCACATGTTTTAGAGGCAACTAAATTCCTGTAGAGTTCTCTTCAAGAGGATTAACCTATATTTGAATGAGAAATCATGAAAGACTTTCATTTACAGAATTAGATTGCATTACACTAAAACAATGTAAACATCTGTGTATAGCCCAATGTGGGTCAAGGGATTTTATTTTTTTACATTTTGTCTATCAACAGGGGTTCTGGGATCATGTCGTGGGGCTGCATACTGACCTCCATCCCACATGGTTGGATTAAAATATCAGAGGGGGTTGGAGGTGTCAGTTTGTTGTGGTATGTGGGTTGTAGGGTAACTATTTAAGAAGTGATTGATTTAAATTGTTGCTATGCAGCAGTGTTGTCATGGTGCAGACTGTGGTCTTTGTTGAGTCCCCACTCTGGGTTGAGAGGCCATATTCAGCCTCAGCTGCTCGTGGAAAGTCTTCTTTGTAATAATTCTTGACCAGGAGGAAATAAGTGACAGCAGCTTGCCACTGTTGCAGCTTTAACTTTTTTTGGTGTTTTTTTCGGCTGCGGTGTGAAAACTTTACATAATAAGGACATCCTCAGCATAATGTTTAAATTAGCAGATTATTTACGCCACAAATAAGTGGGTCTCAATGACTCCCTGTGAGAAAGAAATAAACAGAGAAAGACGCTGTCTGGACGCGTCCCTTTCATCTGGTCTGTTACCATTTTAGGTGAGGTTTTGAAAGAGACTTCTGTGTTTATCCTTTTTCTCACATGAGTTTTGCAGGATAAGTCCTGGTTTATGTATGTCTTTATGTATACCATAAAGGTTACAGTGACTCAACACTACTGGGGGTCAACGTGGGCGTCTTCTCTCAGTGCGCAGACATTACATCAGTGTGTCTTGCAATTCAGAAAGAATTTCTACCCTCTGATTCATAGTATAACGAATCCAGTTCATTGATGGTGATGATAAATGTCACCAAAACCATGTATTGTTGTTCACCCTCTGTTTCATGACGCATTCTATTTTAAGTGAAACATGAAACCTCTATGGGCCAGTTGCTGTGCATGTTTTCCACTCATTTTTTTGTCTCGTTTCCAGAACAGGCATGAATCACTGCATGACAGATAGCTAGTTGGAAACACAACTATATACAAATTACGTGACAGGTAACATGAAAAAACTTTGAGTGATCAGCCAGTTTTATTTCTAAATACAAGTGTCATTCAGCTTTATGATGGAGAGTGATTAAATAAAACAGCAAATGAATTAAATGTCCAGCTATATTTTTGGAGGCTTTAACTTTTTAATGTTTGATTGTAAACTTATTTCTGGTTTTCATCCACATGTCAAATTTAACTCTAAAATATTGTAGCAATTATTTGCGCTTTTCTCTTATGAACTAATAATGAGAACATTCCACGCTACACATAGTAACAGTTGCTTTGTTTTAGCAACTGTGATATCAAGACAATAAATAATATTACATTTACAAGACGATAAAACAAGAGGATTTAAACAAAAGATTATTCCTTACTGGTGAGTGATTTGATAATGCTCATTAAAAGTACACTTTTTGCTATTTTTTCCCCCTACATTTGGCTCTCACTGCTTCTAAATTCATCCTGTATGATTGTTTTGAGAGGCTGATGAATGGTTTTACTGAAAGATCTCTTTCATTTAATTAGAAATAGTTTTTTTTCCTAACCTCTGGACTCATCAGCTTTTGGCTCTGAGCTTAAATGATTTGTAAACAGTTTGGAAAGTTGAAAAAAATGGGACAGAAGAACTTGCAACAGTAAGAAAGTGGAACAAACTACTTAGCATTCATTTATTAACAGACTGCATTAAATAATAATCCAGATTTTAGAGGTTTAGCTGCCCTTTTTTCATATCAAGTCCAATTCCCTATAAATCACTGCTGGGATACTCACCTCTCACGCATTTACAACCAAACAAAGACGTTGAAGTAGTTCAAGCCACAGTAACACAGCCAACCAGGAAGCAATAACAAATTCCTTTTATTATCTGTTCTATCCTCCTTTCTTCTTCTCCTAGCCCGGCCTTTGGACGTAAAAACCCTATCATGCACTTACCAAAGCCATCGGTGTTAAGTTACCTGCGACCTGTGCCTCTCTCAGCATTCCAAAGTAATTAGGAATATCTGCAGGGTCCACAGCAACTGTTTGAAAGAAAAAAGCAAGAGCCCAATGGGAGAAAAAAGGAAAAATATGTATCTGTTTCAGCAAACTGTGATGTCATCAGTGAGAGCTGCTGCTGGGGGCTTTTTTTGTGTGAGAATTTGGGAAGCTCGTGTGCTGTGTTTACCCTCCCCGTTCCACCCGTCGCTGAAAGAAAAGGAAAGTCATTGACTGTGTCAGGATGGAGAGGATGGCTTAGAAGTGAAGTCATATGGGCTTAGAAAAAATAAGGGGGAATTAGAAAGGGGAAAAAAGGGTCATATGTCCACCAATCAACATGTGCCGGAGCGGCTCCGAGCACAAATGGAGTTGTGGCAGATGTTGTCTGAATAATGAGCGGGGGCGGGGCATGAAGCCTTCTGCCAGGAGGGTGTCTGTCAGTACGAGAGGAGCGATGAGAGAGGAAGGGCAGGCTTTTTTGTTTATGTAGGAGTACCAGCTCTTCTCAGAACTGCCCGCAGTTTTCAGTAGAGCCCGCTGGATTTGTCTGTGGATATTCTCATTTTGCACTGAAGATTTTCCTTTAGCTCACATGGATGCTGAGGGAATTACAGGGCCTCAGAAGCACTTTGGACCAAAGGAATAGCCATCAAACAAAAGCTTTCTGGAATATTTTTAGAATTGGTGACTCTTTTGAAAGGCAGGACTTTCTTTCCATATTTGGAGCATAAAGCTGCTATACTGTTCTGGCATTTCTTCACTACGCGTTTCATAGTAGTTGTTTTCAACACCTCTATGTTTTTTCTTATCAGTTTACCTTTTGGAGAATTTAAAAAAAGGGAATCTTCATTTGGGAGTTGTTTTATTTAACTTTATAAACCGAACGTAATGCTTAGTAGTCTTTTGTTAAGTTTATTAATTGAGGGAGAACATAATTTTTCTCCCTGTTGCCTGTGTACGCTGACAACGTGCTCTTGTTAAAGTAGTCTAGGATGTACTGAAGTGCCATATACTGTAACTTCAAGGATTTAAACAAATCCTTGATCTGTTCTTTTTGATCAGAAGTGACAATTGTTTTATAATGGGCAAACCGCTGAGCCGTCCAGATTGCCTCAGACAAAACCCTTCCTGTGTTGGGAAGGGGGAGGAGGAGGACCTAAACATTGATGATTGCTACGTGCCCCAGAGATCCATTTATGACACCGTCCGGCTCAATGAGCAGATAGATTCGGGCTCCAAGGGCAGCCTTTCTTCCCGACACTTCACGGCCACCTTGCCCTACACGCACCGCACGGTGGACCTCAGCAGCTTGTGTGGGAACGGACGTCTCTCAGCCTCGAGTTCATTTGAGCTCCGATCAAGAAAAGCTGCCGTGCTGGATGAACGGGCTGTGTTTGATGGGCTTAAACTCAATGGTGCCACAATGAGAGTCAGCGATACGGTACTGCCTAAGTCACGTCTGCAAGGAGGAGAGAAGAGGGACCATCCTCATCATCGGCGGTCATGGCGGACCTTTGCGCCCACTAATTTGGGCGAGTACGCCAGCCGCAGTGGAACTCTGTGTTCAGGAAGCGTGGAGAGGTCTGGCTTGGCCAATGGCAGGAGAGGACAAAGTATGACTAGCTCACTGACATCAGAAGAAGACTCAGGTCTTTACAGCCCATCTGTGGAGAGGGAGCGACGTGCACACAGAGCCCACAGAAGAGTGGACCCGGGTACAAGGAGCCTCTCATCCTCTGAGGCAATGCACATGTCTGGGGAGCTGAAAACAGGGCGCTCGCTCAGCTCAGGACAGGAAAACTTTCCGTTCTCTCCTATAAGGAACAACCAGTCTCTTTACCACAGCAGCAGTTTGGTTCAAGAGCCACGACAGAGAGAATCTGGTGTGGCGAGGCCTAATGAAAAGGGTACCCTGAGCAATGGAGAGTATAAACACTCCACCGGGAGGTCATCCTCGGGGTCAGCTTCCAGGACTCAAAACGACAGCTCTGGCTGGCTCTCCAGGACTGTAACAGACTATGACGAGCTGTCCACTGCTGAGCTGTTAGAGGATGTATCATCTCAGGATGATTGCGAGTTGGTTAGTGTGGTGGTGACACAACCTGAGACGTACAGAAACTCTGGAAATCTACCCACAGAGAGCTTCCAGCAAACAAATCCCTGTACTATACAGCAAGGAGCGTCCAAATACAACATGGAGGAGTTGGAGGAGTTCCTGCAATCATTGGAGGCCTGTCTGCCCAAAAGTTTACAGACATTCCAGCATGCAGGGGAGCAGGAGATTGAGGCCTTACTGAATGCTATTGCGGCATGCCCTGAAATGAACCCCATGGGTTATTTCTCACCACAGGTGCCCATAAATAGCCTCTCCCTCCATTTTTTCTTTTCACACTTTTTTTTCCTTTTGATTATACATGGGATTAATCTATGAGCTCTTTCCCAGCTGTTGGATTCTTTCATATCTGATTACATGATATGTGAATTAAATTTTGCTCACCAGTCAAGCCTGAATGTCTGTCACAGCTATACTTTGACTGTCAGTTCTGCTCTTCCAGGAGCTGCGGACTGGTAGAGTCAGCAGCTCAGTGGTTTGTGTCAGCTGGATTTCTAACACTTAACATGAGGTGATGAGGTGGCAACATGTCTCTGGACATGGGATAGAGCATAACCTCACTGCATTAGTTCAGTTTTACATGTTTTAGCAAGCAACGTATTGAAAGAATCTATTTATCTTTTCCTTAAAAAGTGAAACACTACACTGTAATGAAACGTTTTTTATTTCAAATGTGCGGAATGGATAAAGAAAAACATTATTAGGTCCAATTAAAAAAAACAACATAATTCTTTACCTAAACTATGGTGCAGCAATATGCCAACCAGACCAAACAAATGTTATCATATCACCAAAAAATTTAACTGATTGCTAAAATCATAATTAAAGTATTTTATTTGTGTACTTTGTCTCTAGGCTTTTCAGAAAGAGGACATTGATCCTCTGCAGACACAGCTTCAAGACATCAACTTGGTTGGGAATGGTCTTATCCAGAATGCTGCTAAAGGAACCAGTACCAAGAAGCTTGAGGAAGACCTGGAGGGTGTCAACTGGAAATGGAATACCCTAAACAAAAAGGTAATTACCTGTCTATTTTGGCATTTGTAGATTACTCCTTCTTTCTTACCAATTGCTGCTGTGTGATATGAGCAGTTCAACTATTTGACCATGTGGTCTGCAGATTGCTGAGCGTTCAGCGCAGCTGCACGAAGCCCTGTTGCATTGTGGGAGGTTCCAGGATGCTTTGGAGTCTCTGCTCAGCTGGTTGACTGATACGGAGGAGCTTGTGGCCAGTCAAAAACCCCCTTCTGCAGAGTTCAAAGTGGTCAAAGCACAGATACAGGAGCAAAAAGTAAGCCTCCGGCATGTAGCACAATATGTGTCGACTGTATTATTTTACTCCTCCAAATTACTCCCCCATTAATCTTCCTTAATTGACACCTAATGTTGTGGTACATGACACCTTTTGTTGAATGGGTAACTAATTTGTGGCTTCTAGATTTACTGTTTTGCTAAATGAATAAACGCAGTGGGGCTCCGTAACTCTTCCGCTTTGTTGCCTTTGACAGCTCTTGCAGAGACTACTGGATGACCGAAAGCCGACTGTGGAGCTGATAAAAAAGGAGGGAGGGAAAGTCTCAGAACTGGCAGAGTCTGTGGATAAAGAGAAAGTTGCAAAAGAGATTGAATGCCTAGGGCAGAGGTGGGACGCTCTGCTTAAGAAAGCTGACAACAGGTTTGTATATACATTGGCTTTAATGTAAAACATGATTACTTAAGGAAAATGTCCAATTTCTTAACATTGTTAAACAACTGAAGTAACCTTTTTCTTGTTGAAATTGGACAAATAACATTTTAAATGAGCAAAATGCATACTTCAATACAGAAGAACGCCTTTACTTTTTGTGAGCTTTTTTTAACATTAGCAGCCATGACTGGTGAATATATGACAGGGCTGTTGTGTTGGATTGTTTGTCATTTCAAAGAATACTTCCCGGTTAAAAAAACAACTGAATGTTTTCCTACAGTCAGAGAAACGGATGACTGACTTTTATTTTCTCTGCCAGAACTTTCAAAGTTTAAAATTGGAAAAATCCTTGAAAACTAGTCATTATGATATTTTCCTTTGTTGTCTGCACATTTAAAGACGATTAAATAAAATAGTAACAGAAACACCCTGAACAGAAAGAAAAATAACATCCAAACTCATTATTTTTTCACAATGTTTTCCTTTATTTTATTTTTTAGTATTTGTTTGAACCTAAATCCAATTCATTTTGTTCATTAATTGAGCTTAACCTCTGGCTGTTTGAGTGTGTTGCATTCCCAATGTTCTCGTGAACATGTCTGATTGCATGCGGCAGGCACAAGCAACTGGAGAGCATCTTGGTGGTCACTCAGCAGTTCCATGAGACTCTGGAGCCTCTGAGTGAATGGCTTACAGCTACAGAGAAACACCTTGCCAACTCTGACCCAGTGGGCACCGAGACATCTAAGCTAGAAGATCAAATATCTCAGCATAAGGTAATGTCCATCAAAATCACCTCGGATCTGTTGAATTTAGTTTTATTTTATGTGCTTGCCACTTTAAGTTTAATCTTTTCACCAGCACCCATTTTAACTTTTATTTAATTTCAGTTTAATTTGTGTTTTTTTGTGTGTGTACGTTTTCTGTTTATTTCACATTTTCTTTGTCCATTTCCCATCATCCGTGGTCAGGCCTTAGAGGAGGAGATCATGAATCACAGTAAAGACCTGTTTCAGGCTGTCAATCTGGGTCAAATGCTCAAATCTGTGAGCTCAGTGGACGAGAAGGAGTTTGTTCAGAGTAAACTGGACACCACACAGGCCAATTACATAGAGCTCCAGGAGCGGTGCAGGAAGAAAGCTGACATGCTGCAGCAAGCTCTGGCCAACGCTCAGCTGTTTGGAGAGGACGAAGTGGCCCTCATGAACTGGCTCAACGAGGTTCACCCCAGACTGAGTGAAGTGTCCGTGGAGGACTACAAAATAGATATTCTTGAGAAGCAGCTTGCAGAACAACGGGTATACATTCCTCCTCAGGCCAGCCATTATCCTCTCTTTTAAGTTGCATCGATCATTTTTCAGTTCATTTTTGTTCTATCTGTGTGCTCTGCTCTGCAGTGTGTCTAGTCTCTCTCGGTGACTCTGAAGTGTTTCTTTGCAGAAACTTCAAAGTGATATTGAGTTGCAGAAGAAGAATGTTGACCAGGCCGTGTTTAATGGGATGGAGCTATTGAAGCAAACAACAGGCATGTTTTGATTCATAACTTTCTCATAGCAATAGGTGTTTCACCCTAAGAACTCAATGTCTTAACAGTGGGGGAAAAAATTCCCTTGGAAGTGTAAGTGTTTAAGTGTGCTTGCTATTTTAATGTCAGTTTGTTATGTTCTTGTTTGAGCTCAAGACTTTAGTCTTTATCTAAGACTTTAGATACTGAAGAATTCATGTTCAAACTTGACAAGTTGAGCAGGTGTATTTGTGTTTTGAGCCTCTCAAATCAGCAAAAGAATATCCTTCCTTTGGAGCTTTGTGTCCTGGAATGTACAGCGTTTCTATTTTGCAGATGATCTTGAGCTCAGCCACATTCAAACTAGCTGGCAGCAGGCTCAAGCCCACCCCCCCACCCGGCTCTCAACACAAACTTTAATTTCATTCTTTACCTCCTATTTATAGGTGATGAGGTGGTTGTTATCCAAGCTAAACTGGACGGAATAAAAACAAAGTATGCTGAGATTAACTCTATGAGTGACAGTGTTCTGAAGACCTTGGAACGGGTTTTGGATCTGTCCACGAAACTACAGCATACCCACAAGGACCTGAATGCCTGGCTAGATAAAGCAGAGGCTGAGATTAAGATTTTTGCTGATGAGGTGCCAATGGGCGAGCAGCACGGTCAGACACAGACCAAGCAGAAGGTACGTGTCTCTTTCCTTTTTCAGTTGCAGACAGAAATGGAAAACATACCGCTTGTCTGCGTTTGTTAAATTTCCTGTTTCTAATCTTGTTCAGGCGTTGCTCAAAGAGACCAAAGAACAAAAGCCTGTGTTGGGGAAGCTGAACGAGCTATCCAATTCACTACTGGACCTGATTCCCTGGCATGCCCGGGAGGGTTTGGACAAGCTGGTGACTGAGGATAATGAGCGGTACCGAGCAGTGTGTAACACCATCACCCAGCAGGTCGACCAGATCAACGCTGACATCCTCAGGTCACAGCAGGTAAACCCCCAAATTTACTAAACCACCATTTGCCCTTAATTGACTGTCTCCTTCTTGTAATTTAATTCCTCCACTCTGCTTTTTTTTTAACCAGTTTGAACAGGCTTTAGACACTGAGCTCTCCTGGCTGACAGAGACAGAGAGGAAGCTGCTGTCGATGGGTGAGATCAGGCTGGAGCAGGACCAAACCGCAGCCCAGCTCCAAGCACAGAAGGTTAGGCCATAATACCCTGTGTTTGTCTGCGTCTATGTGTGGGGCTGGACACATGTCGTCATTTTAACAAAGTACAGTAAACACAGTGGTTTGTTTTGTGACATCCAGCCAAACTCACCCCACTGGTTTTACAGATTTTCTCCATGGACATCATGAGGCACAAAGATGCCGTGGATGACATTGTGAAAGTAGGAAAGGCCATCATGACTAGTAAAACACCGGAGGAGAAAGAAGTCCTGAAGGTGAAAAATATTAAATATTACTCATTTGAAAATGGGCATAAGCAAATACATCTCTCTGTTGTCTTTTTTAATTATTTAATTTATTTATATTTTCAAACAGGCCAAGATCCAGGCTCTCATGGAAAAGTACGGCGCTGTCAGTCAGTTGAACTCGGAGCGCTGTCTGCAGCTGGAACGGGCTCACTCTTTGGCCTTGCAGTTCTGGGAGACCTATGAGGAGATGTGGCCATGGCTTCAGGAAACCTTAAACACCTTCAGTCAGCTGCCCCCGCCGGCCATCGAGTATGAGACGCTCAGGCAGCAGCAGGAGGAGCTCAGGGTGAGAAGCATTGGGCAGAGGATCAGTGAGACTCTTTTTTGAAAAACAATTAATAAACTCAATATGCTATGTCCCCTGCAGCAAATGCGAGAACTCATTGCCGAGCACAAGCCCCACATTGACAAGATGAATAAGACAGGGCCTCAGTTACTGGAGCTCAGCTCGGTGGAGGGAGTGCCCATCAGGGAGAAATACACAGCTGCGGACCAGCTGTACACCAAACTTAAGGCTGATGTCACACAGAGAGCTGCCACTTTGGATGAGGCCATATCAAAGTCCACACAGGTGAGAAGCAGTTGAATTTAAAACCTGTCCAAAGAAACCTTTTTAAGAAGAACCCTGTATCACAAAGCCAAGATTCCCAACTATAAGGGCAGGTTTGATCTAAAACCCAATAAAACATGACAATTCTGTCATGCGACAGTGGACGACAAAAATGAAATGCACAGATTGTTTCACGTTTAGAATTGCAGTTTATCCATAGCACACTGTTTTTATAGACCATAGCATTGTGAAGTATAGAAACAACTATTGGATGTTCCCTTTCCTCTTTCTCAAAGTTCCACGATAAAATTGACCCCATGCTGGAATCCCTGGAACGGATTGCCGAACGCCTTCGTCAGCCTCCATCCATCTCAGTAGAATTGGACAAGATAAAGGAGCAGATTACTGAAAACAAGTCAGTTTCTGTGGATTTGGAGAAACTGCAGCCCTCCTATGAGACGCTGAAGCTACGAGGTGAAGAGATGATCGCCCGATCAGAAGGAGCAGACAAGGACATATCTGCTAAAGGTAAGAAGTGCATTATAATCGCATATTTCTATTGATCTTATTCAGTTTAGTTTGGGGGTTTCCGGTTTGCTTTGTTTCGTATGGTTTTTGTTTTTTTTCTTATGTTTTTCTGTCATAAAGCATAAACAATTACAAAAAATAAAAAAATAAAATAAAATTCCCATAGTATCAAGAATATCAGAGTTGTGGATTAGAAAGAAGAACATGTACAATCTTCAAAACAAGGAACATTCCTCAAAGCCATGGCAGACGGTCTTGATTGTATATTGTATAGGAAGGTTACATGCACTGAATTGTCTAAACTCTCATTCAGTCTAGCTCTTTTTTGTTGTTCTACTTTAGGCAAGAATCAAATGTACAGATGAATTCTTTCTCTTGCACTTGTTACCGCGAATATCTGACATTTGTGTTTATTGTATGTTTACTCTATCCTACTGCTGACCCTCTTTTTTCTCGTTTCCAGCTGTACAGGACAAACTGGACCACATGGTGTTCCTGTGGAACGACATACAGGCCTTGCTGGAGGAGCGGGAAGCCAAGCTGCTGGATGTGATGGACTTGGCAGACAAGTTCTGGTGTGACCACTGTGCTCTCATTGTCACCATCAAAGACAGCCAGGATCTGCTGAAGGAGCTGGAGGAGCCCGGAGTAGACCCCTCTGTCGTCAAGCAGCAGCAGGAATTTGTAGAGGTGGAAATGACTTTACTGAATTAACAAAACCGGCAATTAAAAGTGATGAAGCGTATCTCGGATTTGAAATAAAACACTGATTATGATTTGAGCAGGGGTTTAAGGAGGAGATAGACGGGCTCCAGGAGGAGCTTGACGTTGTTCGAAACCAGGGTGCAGAGCTAATGACCGCCTGCGGGGAGCCTGACAAACCTGTGATAAAGAAAAGCGTTGATGAGGTAACAGACTACACTGACACATCTTTAGGAGGCAATGTGATTTGTCGTCTTGGAACTCAATGAACTGAAAGAAACGTTGGAGCGTTTGTGTGGTTCACTTATGTGAATGATGTTATGTCTCCAGGTGAATTCAGCATGGGAGAATCTTAATAAGACCTGGAAGGAGAGAGTGGAGAGGCTGGAAGAAGCTATGCAGGCGGCTGTGCAGTTTCAAGATGGTTTGCAGGTATTTGACTGACACACAGAGACATCCAAAACTCCTCCAAAACCTACATGTCAACTGTTAAAAATATTAGAAACTTTTGTTTACTGCAAATCCAATAATAGAATAAACATTTACCGAACAGGACATTTATTTCTATGAATGCATGAATCAATGTATGACTGACAGTAAGCCAGAAGATTTTAAGGTGAACCAGCAAATAAAAAATTAAGTTAGTTTCAGTTCTACAACAGTTTATGAGAGCTTTTTTCATCTTGAAACTGTAAACACTAACCACAGTCTTGGGTTTATATTTGGCTCGAGCTTTAATTGAACTGAACTAAGACTGGGAAAGAAGAAAGCTTTACTTTTTATTAAATGAAGAACAGCGTTTATGACTGAGTATATATATACTATGTCTATATAATTTGTTAACTATACTGGATCATCCGTCATAAAGATGAAATGTGCGGTACCACTCACTGTCTACTAAACTTTGTTTCTTTCAGTAACAATAGTTTCCCACTTTTAACACAGGGCATGTTCGACTGGGTGGATATACTGGAAAGCAAACTGGATTCTATGTCCCCTGTGGGAACGGACCTGGAGACTGTCAAGCAGCAGATTGGAGAGCTCAAGGTACAATCTGTTGCATTTGTCTTGAAGTAGAAGACAGTGAATAAGCCATTTTTCATTCTGGAAGCGTAAATACCCTTCTGCTCTAGCTCATTTGTTGTTTGGTTTACCCATACTGAGAGTTTTCCGACAGAGCAAATATATTGAACACCAACTGTGTTTATTTCAGCTGTGTTCATATTTATTTTTTGTTTCATAACCGGCTCTAGTTGGACTTTTTGGCACAGATACAAAACCTTCACAAGAATAGTTTAACCACCGACCGTACAATAAGACAAATACTGTCCTGAGAGGACATTGTCTGCACAACTCTGTACTTTTGTTGACTGTCTGGGTGTGCCATTGACTTGTGCTGCTTTGTCAGGAGTTCAAAGGGGAAGCGTACCAGCTGCAGATTGAGATGGAGCGACTGAACCATCAGGCCGGCCTCTTGCTGAAGAAGGTGACGGAGGACTGTGATCGCTGTGCCATCCAGGAGCCGATGTCTGAGCTCAAAATGCTCTTGGAGAACATGGATGAGAAGATCATCAGCCGGCAGGTGAAAGGAAAAAAAACAAGTTGTTGCAGTACATTAGAAATATACATAACAGTCAGCGAACTAACTGAATATTTGTACAAAATTTGAATTGATTTATACTGGTAATGAGACCTTTTATACAGATAACTTTGCATCCTGATTACACATCCTTTTTTTCTTTACACAGCCTTTTTTCAGCTTATAATTATGGAAGTTATTCATACAGATATATTTTTTAATTGGAAATAGTAAAATTACCTTGAATTCTTGTCCATTCAATAAAAAGAGACCAATTCTAATTGTAGTTTTATATACTAAATAAAAATGCATTTTCTTTTTTTTTTTTAAGATTCAAGGTTATGGGTAAATATTTCAAGTATACAACAAATGTTCTGTTTTTTTCTTCATTGGAAAAAAACAGACCCATCAATATATTGGTGAATGAGTTGTGCTTTAAGTGAACTGCAATATTTAACGTTGCAATTGCTCATTAATATAGCACAAACTGGAAGGTGGCCTTCTGGCCCTGGGTCAGTTCCAGCACGCACTGGACGAGCTGCTGGCCTGGATGAGCCACACTGAGGAGCTGCTGGACGAGCAGAGGAAAGCTGCGGGAGACCCCAAAGCCATCGAGATAGAGCTCGCCAAACACCATGTACGCCATTTCATGCATGGAAAGGAGTTCCTGACTCATCCACACAATTGTGTCCAAATCCTGTATGTTTTAAATCAATTCACCCATTTCTTTGTGGCTGCGTTCTTTTTACAGGTCCTGCAGATAGATGTTTTGGCTCACAAGTCAACAGTGGAGACTGTTAACAAAGCTGGTAATGAACTGGTGGAGTCAAGTGCCGGAGAGGAGGCTTCCAGCCTGCAGAGCAAATTGGAAAACCTAAATCAGAGGTGGAAGGCCGTCTTGGAGAAGACGGCGCAGAGGAAGCAGCAGCTGGAGGCTTCCCTGCTTCAGGTGTCAGAATTACTTTCACAGCAAGTTGATGACGTTGTGTTTTTTAGTTCTTTTCTAATAAACTGCGACTCATTCTTCTCTCCCTGGGGAACAAGTATGTCATGTTAAAGTCATAAAGATCTTTCAGGATGAGTGATTAATATACCACCCACACACAAACACACTCCTGTAGGGCCTCTATTCATGACTTTGACATTTGAGGAGGAGGGGTGCTTTGCTGTGAATAAGGGAAGGAAAAGTTAAAGATCTTTTGAATTTAAGGTTAAGAAAAAAGTTTTCTTCCAAATATAGGTGGATTTTTAGGTTTTGTTTAGTTTTTAAAGCAGTAGTTAATGTGAGAATGCATACATTTCTTAAAAGTTTTCTTTTTGTATCATGTTTAAAAGAAAGATTTTAAAAAATACACTATTGTTCTTATTGAAAGGCTTCAATTCATTATGATTTTGGCCTTTTGCTGCCAAGGTGCTCAGACATCCAGTTTTGGTAGTAGAATTAATAACTCAGACATCCTCTCCTCTGAGCCTCGGGTTTCTAACAATCAACATGCATGTGTGAGCCACCTTTTGTCCTCACTCAGGTTGTATTGTGTTGTAGGCCCAAGGTTTCCATGGTGAGATAGAAGATATGCAGCAATGGTTGAAAGACACAGAACGTCAGCTGTTGGCATCAAAGGCTGTGGGAGGCTTACCAGACACAGCCCGGGAGCAGCTTAACGCCCATCTGGTATGTGTTTAACAATATGAAAGGCTGCATACAGATGGCAGGCTGGCAAGGAGGGGACTGTGTCTTTTCTGTGTTTTATCTGAAGTGTGAAAATTAAATGACACTGCAAAATACATTACTTGCTTCGCCCTGCACAAGATGACAAAAAGCCCTTTAAGTGTTTCAAATTGATTCAGCTACGTCTGACTATACTTAATTTAGGAATGTTTTCGTTTATTTGTTCTTACTCTTTGGACTGGAGACACTTTGACCGCGAGGGTTCCCTCAAAAAGTATCAGCGCTGACATTTAATGGAACTACAAACAAAAGGATTATTTGGAGGCAGCAACTTTTATCAAATCAGTAACATAATACTGTTTAAAGCTTTGTGGGAAACATCCATCAGCATGCCTCCGTGTTCTCATTCTTTCTCCATTTTTGGACTAAATTTGGATGAAGCACTGACAAACAAGCTGTCTTTAACTGCAATCTACTTTTTTGATGAAAGATTTCTTTTCGTCATGCCGTGTGTATGTGTTTTCTTTTCTCCTATAGGAATTGTGTTCTGCATTTGAGGCCAAGGAGGACCTATATCAGGAACTGCTGAAAAAGGGTCACCAGCTGCTAGTGATGATGCCTGAGGGCCCAGAAAGCAACACGGAGCAGGACCTGACCAACCTGAAGGAGAAATGGGAAGCGGTGCAGGGGAAGGTCACTGAAAGAAAGGTAGGGAGTTAGTGAGAGGCTTTCACTGCTCACAGCTTAATGATTCACCACTTCAGATCCCAGTGAGGGATCGCTGACATACACTTGAGCCATGACTCTGCAGATGGAAAGCTTTTAATCCCAGTGCCGATAATGAATGGTGTAAGTGCTGGCACGGACACACAGGATGTGGTTACAGTGTAGATCACAGCCGTGGAGCTGCTGTCTGAGTGGAACAACAGTGTTCTCATACCAGCATGTTCCCTTAGTGAAGAGATGACAAGTGCATAGGATGAATATAAAGGGAAATAGATATTTGAGCCAAAACAAAGCCATCTTTTACTCAAGAATAACACTCTGTCTATTTTTCTTGCCACAGTAGATTTACATAATCATATGACTTTAAAGAGAGATGAACCCTGTCTGCCTTTCTCATCTCTCACTTGAGGCATGGAGCCCAGTGATAAGGCCATTTCACTCTTTGCTCTACCATTTTTTCTTTCTATTTACTTCGATTCTTTTCTGTGCAATTGAATCAGCCTATTTAATTCTAAAGCTGACAAGAATTCCAAGTCAAAAAGTGTGTCAATATTCCTGTTAAACACGATTTTCAGGTAGAAATGGTTTTGAAGTATGAACTAACTATTGCAGTCCAGTTCCATATTTTGCAAAATAAGCGGAGCTCAGTATTCTACAAAAAAAGGAGAATGAAACTAATCAGGCCTGTAATGTCATTAGCACAGAGTTTACTGTCATGTGATGACTTGGCTTCCGCCGTGGTGAGCAGATACCGTTCTGTAATGAATTCACTGTAGATGTTTCCCTTCCTCAATTAAACACTAATCTTTCCCTTTCAGCTTCACCATCAGCCCTATCAGAGACGTTCATTTCCTTTGTTCAAACGGGTGTAACTGAGGTTGCCAGACAATCTGTGGTTAGGTCACACAGGCCTGCACACAGATTGTTATGTATCAACGAGAAAGAAATTGACACCTTCTCGTTTGTTTTTTCCTCCACAGGCCAAACTAGAAGAAGCTTTAACGCTGGCCACAGATTTCCACAATTCTCTGCAGGACTTCATTGTGTGGCTAACGCAAGCAGAGCAGACGCTCAACATGGTCTCCCCTGCGTCCCTCATACTGGAGACCATCCTGTTTCAGATTGATGAGCATAAGGTAATGTTTGCACAAAGAAGACGTCTGCACGAACTCTGAAATTAAATTAAGTTCTGAAGAAAAGAAATCTCTTCTAAAATCCTGTTTGATTTGTCCAAAAATGTTTTTAACCGTTTTGTGTGACTCCAGTCCAATTTCTTTTTCTAATCTTAGGTTAGTGTGTAAGTTTGTTCCGTCAGTGAAAGGTAAATAATGGTCTCGGTTCATGTTGACTGCGTCACCATTCTGACTTCGAGCCACGAGTGACTTAATGGCATCTGTTTTGTAATTCAGATTGGAGCTCATTAGCACTTTAATACCATGGATTACATTATGTCCACAGTCATGCCAAAAGCCTTTATTCACTGATGATATTGTAGCACATGACCTCGATGTCTCTGTTCTACATTTATGCAGATGTTTGTGACAGAGGTGAACTCCCACAGGGAGCACATCATTGAGCTGGACAAGACTGGGACACATCTGAAGTACTTCAGCCAGAAACAGGATGTGGTGCTGATCAAAAACCTGCTGCTCAGCGTCCAGGGCCGCTGGGAGAAGCTGGTGCAGAGGTCTGTGGAACGAGGCCGTCTGCTGGATGATGCCAGAAAGAGAGCCAAACAGGTACTGCCCAGTGCATATTAATCATCAGTCTAGCTTAGCTACGGCTTCAATCAGAGCTGCTTTTTTAAATAATCATTGGAAAGCCGAGCAAATAATATATTAAACCTTCTTAATTGTTTGTCTGCAGGCTATTGAAGTATAATTTCATTATTTCTGGGCGTCTTCTATTCTTTGGGCCAGTAGCCTAAATCATGTGAACACTACACAGAACTTGAAAAGTGAAGTGAAATCATACAAGTTTCTAAATATCCTACACTGTTTTTTTTCTTATGTTTTTATTAGTTCCACGAAACCTTCAATAAACTGATGGAGTGGTTGGATGAGTCTGAAAAGAGTTTGGACTCTGAAGTGGAAATTGCCAATGATCCAGACAAAATCAAGACGCAGCTGGCGCAGCACAAGGTTCTTTTTTCCTTTTCTTTTTAAATGACAGTTTATTGAGGTAAAACAAATAAAAAAAGCCAGGAACCTTTAAGCACTTCAGACGTCTGCATCTGAACGGAATGTTGACAAGTTTAAATAATCAGACAGCTTGTTCATGCTCAATGTTAAAAGTGTAATGTATGAGAGTTGGAAGCCCAACAGTCAATACATTTATGGAAATAACATACTCCACAGAATGCATTAATCATATAGTTGCTTTTGTTACCATCCCCTCTTGTGTCTTCTGTTGGAAGATTAACCTTATCCTATTATAATCCCAGGAATAACCAAATGTATTAGGGATTGGGTACTTTTAATTTCTATTGAACAGTTGTGTTTTGATCCCCTTTTTTGTCTCCCTCACAGAAGACTCCTTCTTAATTCCAAAACACACACAGATTAGAGAACTGCTTATCATTTAGCAGTAGTAAGAAGAAAATCTCTGTTTCCATGTCCATCTGATACAGACCGGCAGAAATCTATCAACAATCCCAACTAATGCCAACATGCTTTTGACTGTGATGACCTTTGCTTGCCCATGCAGGAGTTTCAGAAAGCCCTGGGCAGCAAGCACTCCGTTTATGACACCACTTCTCGAACAGGGAGGGCTCTAAAAGATAAAACATCCCTGCAGGACGATAATCTGAAGCTTGACGACATGCTTAGCGAGCTAAGAGACAAATGGGACACAGTTTGCGGCAAATCGATAGAAAGGTTAGAAAACACTTACCTCTATTTCCTTGTTGTGTTTTGCTCCTCCAGCCCCCTGTCAAGTGAGTTAAAGGCTGGCTGGATAGAAGACAGTCAATGTGACTTTTACTCTGAGTCATTTGTTCTCTCTTGTAGACAAAACAAGCTGGAAGAAGCCCTGTTGTTCTCAGGACAGTTCACAGACGCCCTGCAGGCTCTCATTGACTGGCTGTACAGAGTGGAACCTCAGCTGGCTGAGGACCAGCCTGTCCATGGAGACATAGACCTGGTTCTCAATCTGATAGATAACCACAAGGTATGAAGCCCTCTCCACATCAAAGACAGTGCATGTTACAGTTTGATAGTTGTTGCAACAGATAAACTGATTTTTTTCTTGAATCATCTTCTTGGTTGTTTAAATGCCAAAGGTGCTAAAACCACACCAGGTTAAGACTTTAAATTCAAACACAAGTAAAAGTACTGATGTGCACTGAAAGTTAGCTCTTTGATTTTTTTTTTGGCCAGTAAAGATATCTGGAAATATATATGTTATATTTGCTCATTTCATGAAATGAGATTAAACAGTTCATATGTAATATTAAAATGGTAAAGAGGGACAACTTGCTCTTAGTGAAGAAATATATAGTTGTGTCTTTCTCAATGGCTACTACAAGAAACATTTTTTATTTTCTCATCATTAGTACAATGAGAAAAAAAGCTACATTTTAGCTTCTGTTTTTAGGCAAACTTGATGTCTTGGTATAGAAAGTTCTGATTGTAGTTGGCTGGTTTTGGTTGTCTCTTTATGTCATCTGCTGACATGTAACTGCAGGCTTTCCAGAAGGAGCTGGGAAAACGGACAGTAAGCGTTCAGGCTCTCAAACGTTCAGCAAAGGAGCTGATTGAGAGCAGTCACGATGACTCCTCGTGGGTGAAAGTCCAGATGCAGGAGCTGAGCACCCGCTGGGAGACGGTGTGCAATCTTTCGGTGTCAAAGCAGGTCCGGCTGGAGCAGGCCCTGTGCCAGGTACTGCAGAGAAGTCCTCAGATAGATAGTGAATTTACCATGTTAGATTGACTAATCTTTGGTATCTTGCTGCAGGCTGAGGAGTTCCACTCTACCGTTCACATCCTGCTGGAGTGGCTTGCTGAGGCCGAGCAGAGTTTGCGTTTCCATGGCAGCCTGCCAGATGAAGAGGAGGCTCTGAGGGCACTTATTGAACAACACAAGGCAAGCATGGCACTCTTTATGATTGATTTAATCTTAAACCGAATGTTTTCATGTAAATTGCATATTTTGGCAGTAATTACTTGCCTTGACAATAAAATAAAGCATGGCAGCGTTCTTTTTTGATGAAGTCTTTTGCTTGGATAAACAGTCGAGGCTCTGTAATTGAAGCCTGTCTGCCTTGGCATCCTTCATGCCAAAAAATGCAATGTTGTAGATATGTTTTTTTAAACTATGATTTCATCTGATTGAAATAGCTCAGCTGTGCTCTGATATTAAAACAAGCAAGAGCAATGTTTCATTTTTATGTTTGCTGAACATTATCCGGTCCCGAAGCTGAACTCCTTTTCATTTCCTATTTTTAAGGAGTTTATGAAAAAGCTGGAAGAGAAGCGGGCAGCTCTGACTAAAGCCACCAGCATGGGGGAGGCCATTCTCAGCATCTGCCATCCGGACTCCATCACAACCATAAAGCACTGGAACACCATAATTAAAGCCCGGTTTGAGGAGGTCAGTGCATAGCAGCATGCTTGCATACATGCCTCTAATACTAATCTGACCTTAGAATTCTGCGTAAATGTGATTCAAGTTTTTGTTGATGTGATTAGGCTTTGCTCTGTAAACGGACAAGAAGATACATTTACGATATAGATATAGGTTATTCTGAGTGAGTTAAATGTTAAAAATATGTGTGATGCTGACTTTACAGGTGCAGGCTTGGGCCAGACAGCACCAACAGCGAATGGTCACGGCTCTCACCGAGCTGTTAGCCACCCAGGAGCTTCTGGAGAAGCTTCTGACCTGGCTGCAGTGGGCAGAAACCAACATTGACGAAAAGGACAGAGAGGCGCTACCTCAAGAGATAGAAGATATCAAAAGTCTCATAGCAGAACATCAGGTTCATTCAAACGCACAAGATTATTTGATTGGGACTGTATCGGCTCAGTTGGTGTTTTCATGACCATAGCTGCTTTTCCTTGCAGGCGTTCATGGAAGAAATGACAAGGAAGCAACCAGATGTTGACAAAATCACTAAAACACACAAAAGGAAGGCTGCCATGGAGTCCCAAATCCAGTCTCAGATTCCTGTGCTGGACAAAGGAAGAGCTGGAAGTATGTATCCTACAAATATCAAACACAGAGCGTGACCTGAACCATCTGGACGAGTGTTAAGTCACTGCAGGGTGACGCAACATCCTCACGTATATATAGCCCTGTTTAGCACCTGTAATGATGTCACTGTGAATTCTTCCATTGGCACGGTCAAAGCACAGTCACAGGAAAGGATTTTGTCCTCTCTTACAGGAAAACGCTCTCCCACACAAACCATGTATGCCTCATCAACACAACCCCCCATTGAAACTAAGAATCCCCGCGTCAACCTGCTGGTCACCAAGTGGCAGCACGTGTGGCTGCTGGCTTTGGACAGAAGGAGGAAACTCAATGATGCTTTGGACAGATTAGAGGAGGTAAATCCTCCTCACAATATAAAAATAAACACTTATTTTATTGAAATATGCCACCATCCATTCGTTTTGTGTCTGTTCAGTTAAAGGAATTTGCCAATTTTGACTTCGATGTGTGGCGGAAGCGCTACATGCGCTGGATGAACCACAAAAAGTCCCGTGTGATGGACTTTTTCCGCCGCATTGACAAAGATCAAGATGGCAAGGTGACCCGACAGGAGTTCATTGAGGGAATTCTGTCCTCCAGTAAGTCTCACACAAACTGACATCTGGAAAGCATGCAACCAACCAGCAAAATGCTCATTTTTTCACCACATGATGGCTCCTCAACAGAGTTTCCTACCAGCCGCCTGGAGATGAGTGCCGTGGCAGACATATTCGACAGAGATGGGGATGGCTACATTGACTACTACGAGTTTGTGGCAGCTCTCCATCCCAACAAAGATGCCTACAAACCACTAACAGATGCTGACAAGATTGAAGATGAGGTAATTCAGTCTCTACTACGCTGATTTTTAAACTGTCATGATGTAACATGATTTGATACATTTGCCCTTTTGCAGGTCACACGTCAAGTGGCTAAATGCAAATGTCCAAAACGATTCCAAGTGGAGCAAATTGGAGCAAACAAATACAGAGTAAGCAGATTTGTACATGTTTGGCTTATTTCAAAGCACTAGTACTGTTTTCAAGACAAACGAGTCATGTGATGAAACTGTGGCAAAATGTTGGTGGAGGTAAGCGTTTATTGTGTTGAGAAAAGTGTAATCGTGTGCTAACATTTCTATATTTTCTTTTTTGCATCACCAGTTCTACCTTGGAAATCAGGTACTAAGAAATCTCACCCTCTGTTTTTTTAAAATCTTTTTGTTCTGTGCCTCTCAAGTCTTCTGCATTTACCATGTTTGCTGTCAAATTAACACTTTCTGCCCAGATCCCTTGCTGATGATTTCAGGCTGGAACTCAGAAGTAGAGAAAACTAAAACAAAAAAAATCAATCCAATCTGATCTTCTTGTTGAAATTGATTTATTCATTTTTTTAAGGCATCAATCATTGATGCTTGCTGAATATGATCAGAAATTTGCCTGACAATAATGAAATGAAACGCCCAATGACAGCACGTTGTATTTAAATGTATCTCTCTGTTAAATTAGTGATTATTTTGTTGCAAATCTATAAAAAAGAAGAAATATAAATGTTTATTCATCTACTTTTGAGTTTCAAAAAATCCCAAAATGGCTTGCCAGCACCATTTCAGCCCATGTTTTATTGGTTCATGGGCATATATTCATCTGCTGGGCATTTAATAATGCTTTCTGTGTGCTTGGCTTTTGGTGGTGCTTCAGCATCATGGGAATGATTTACTTCAACAGTTGCTTACACAATGCTGGGTGTCAGCCAACTCATGTTGCCAATTAACTTTGAAAATTGGGCAGCCTTGATGATTCCTACAAATATGTTGCTCTCCGTCTATTGGCGCTATTCACGCTGCATGTTGTTAATGGTTCATTTCTGATAAGGGCTAGTGAAAGGGGATAGGGGCATCAGTGGTGGTTTGTGTACTAGTTTGTCTTCCTGTATCGCACAACAATGAATTTAAAATAACTCTTTTGACAGTTTGGTCTGGTTCACTGCTTACATGACTCCTTAATCGGCGATGAGACAATAGCAAACAGGGAAAATCAAAATCTTACGCCCCACCTACACGTTGCAGTTTTGGAAAGCTGTATTCTGGTAAATGGCTACTCTTAAGCTGTTTCTTGTGCCTTTTCTTTCCTCCAGATCATCATCACCTTAAATGTATCAGATCACTAGAATCACCAGTTGCATTAAATCATTCAGATAATCATAAAAAAGGCTAGATTTAAGTAGCTTGAGACTTTCCATAAGATAAGAAGAGTTTAGCTGAGGGTCATCAGTGTTTGGTCATGTCTGCGTATCGCACTGTGGTGTGTGTGTTCTTTGAGACAGAGATGAGTAGGACCATTCCTCATGTTGTCCTCAGTGTGTCGTTGGAGCTAGCTGCATTTGAACTGCATCCTGAATATTTGAGTGGTAGCTGTAGAAAGTGCAACCACTTCTGCAGGAGATTGCTGTTTGTCTGCTTGATCATGATGTGAGCTTGTTTTGGACAGAAAGCATGCACCTGTGATTGATTGTCCTGTTGAAATGACGATTCTGTACTGTAGCTAGTGGTCACATCCAACTGGCTGACATCTGTCTCGTCCATTTAAAAATGCTTGAATCATTTGCATTCATAACGTGCTCAGTGTTTTTGTGTGTGCTATGTGTGGCTGGTTAGGTGAAGGCAAATGCTAAATGCACCAGTGTCCCCTGGTGGCATAATCATGTGCCTTCATCCATGTTTTTTATTTTAATTGCTACACTGAGCCAGGTTGTAATAACAAAATTCTACAAATAAGTAGGTTTATGTGATTCTGTAAGTTAGGTTGATTCTGTTATGTTTTAGTAAAAACAATCAAAATGTGGAAATCAACCACAGCACTTTACAAAAAACTATGATGAAGACATTCTTCTGTCCAAATATTGTGATAAAGAGCACTGGACATGAAGTGACTTCACTGATACATGAGCTCATTGAGAAATTTTTTTTAGGTCTGCTTATCAAACACACCTGCTCACATTAGTAGAGGAAACCAGTTGGATTGACTGTTGTGTGTCTTTTTGAGAATGAAATGTGAAAATTGATGTTTTTGTCTCAAAGTCTTTGTGTGTTTATGTGTAAACCTGTGCAACAGAGAAAGGAAACCAGAACACCATTTGAAAACGCTGAAGACTGGTTATTGAAACAGTCTAATTCCACACAATAGAATGCTAAATAAAGTCAATTTGATTAATGCAATGCCAAAGCAGTCTGGTTCCTCCTGTTGCACAGCCTCTAGTTTGAAGTGAGAGTCATAGGGAGTTTTAGTGTTTCTTATTTGTCCCCTCTCTTTTTTAAAGTTCGGAGACTCTCAGCAGCTGCGCCTTGTGCGAATTTTACGCAGCACTGTCATGGTGCGGGTCGGAGGAGGCTGGATGGCTTTGGATGAATTCCTGGTGAAGAACGACCCCTGTCGAGGTGAGTCATGAAAAAGAAATTCCACAGCTTCACCCGTGTTCTTGGTTGTCTGTTCCTACATTTGTTCAAGTATGTTAAATTTTGGTAAAGCCTTTATTTATCTAAGACTTTCCAGAAAGTATTCCCAAATCAGATGGACAATTTTTTTAATTTGTGTTCTTAAAATTTCCAACTAAGGTTTTGAATATTATTACCGATACACAATCAGTGACCCTTGAATGGGAACTGAACTGGAGATACTACCATTACCTTATTTACCAGACCTTACTGAGGATTAGAGTTGGTTACAGATCATTTGCAGTTAATCTTATTTGCGTTATCACACTGTTTTAACACTTTATTTATAATTCAGGTTGCAGCAGGGTTGGATTTTTGTTTGCTTCCTGAATAAGTGGATGTTACCAACATGATTGTGTTGTTTTGGCACATATTGATTCCAGGTGTATTGATATCTATGGTGGTTTACTGCTCTTACCTGTGAGATTGAAAGGACTTAAATAATCTTCTTAAAATATTTCTTTTGTAAGCCAATGTATGTGTGAATATTCCTTCCTGTGCCCACACACAAGCTCCACAGCCTAGTCTGTTTAGTTTCATCTGTATTAATTATCGATCTCTCTGTTTCCCGCCAAACCTTCCACCGGCTGAACATGATATCATTTCTTCTAGTTCACCACCACGGGAGCAAAATGTTGCGCTCGGAATCAAACTCTTCAATTACTCAGTCTCCTATAGGTTGGCAAATCTCAAACTTTCTCTCCTTGCTCCATGAACCCACCAGTGGTATGTGTGTCTGCACATCCGAGTGTGTGCTGCTTGTGTTGGTCCTGGTGTGTACCACTTCTGTAGTGAAGCTTCGTGTGAGCATTCATTGTGAATGAATGGTGATCTCAGAAACCAGCAACCAGCTGTCAGTTGGCTGTGGCTAGTTTTTAATGCATGCAGTTGTTCATATCACCTGCTGCCACTTTTCTCTGAGGCATCAGAGTGTTTTGGGACTTTACATATCAACATCACTTCTTTTTTTTCCCAGCATGCCGTGAGGGTCAAAACATATTTTGCCGGTGACGGTTAAAAAAGTAGTTGACAACCAAATGAAAGTTTCAGAGCACCTAATCTGACTGACACAAAAAATGACTAAACATCATTTTTGGAGAAAAATAAATGTTCTTTATGCTCACAGCACAAAACCGAAGCAGTTGTTATTCCACAGCTAACTTTAACAGTACGGTTTTGTACTTTGGACTGCATGAAAATTTGTCTTTAATATATCATGCAGTTAAGTTAATGTTTTCTGGTCGACATACACTACCGATTATCCCACCACTGTTGCAACAGTATTTTAACTTGTAACAAAGGGAAGAGGTTTAAATATGCATGAGCTTTTGAAGTTCTTTGTTTCATATGAATCAAGACAGCCTCATCTTGCTTACACTTTATTTTATTTGTCTTCAGTTTCCTGATAATTTCTCCGGTGTTTAATAAGGCGTTCCCTGACGTTTGACTGCGTAACTGTTTGGAAAAAAAAGATACATTGCTGAAATAAGATATTTATGATTCTGAAAAATACAGGTTCTAAAAACGACTGAATAATCAATTATGTTTCCTCTGAGGCAATTGCCATTTCTAAATTATTTCTTGGTATAGAAAACTTTCTATAAAAAGATTGAGAAATTAGGAGGAAATTCAGGATCCAAAGGGGAAAATAAAGTGTAAATTCATCATCATCACATTCATAATCATTTCGTCATGGATAAGAATGAAGTTATTACCCTGTATGGGTTATAGCTCATTTGGAGTGTAATTTCTTAGCTAAAGGCAGAACCAATGTGGAGCTGCGGGAGAAGTTCATCCTGCCAGAGGGAACCACGCAGGTGATGGCCAGTTTCCGGTACAGAGGTCGCAGGTCTCGGCCGTCGTCTAGAGGAGCCTCTCCCAACAGATCCACCTCCAGTCAGAGCTGCCCTGTCCCATCAAACCCAACCGCAACCAGCACGCCAAAGGTACGCGGTTCCACCACCAGCTGTGTCGTTCTCTGAAAGCCCTTGATGGCAGCAGTCACTCCACACCTTGGTTTTCCTCTCACCTACCTGCCTTACTTTATTTGATCATTTTGCAAATTGTTTTTTCTTCCTTGTCACTTCCTTGTAGTGTACTTTGTAGGTTTTTTGATTTGTGAAACCATGTTTTGTTTTTGTTTAGTTTTTTTTTATTTGCCGTTGTTCCCTAGACTTCCCAACACATAACCCGCAATTATGATAAGCCATGGCTTACAAACAGCAAACCTTCCACTCCTCTTAAATCATCAGACTCCTTTGGGAGCCAAGGTTCATCCTCAGAGGTATAGTCATATTCAGCACAAGATGCAGAGCAGTCATGGAACCCAACTGAAATCTACTGCAAATGGTAGATTCTGAATCAATATCAGCAGAAAAAGGTTGCATGTGTTTGCTTTCGCTGCTCTTATTTTATTTCCAATTAGAAATGACAACCATGTTTAACAGAGGCAAATTTCAGTTGGGTTCATGAACTTTTATTAACTAATGGGCTCAATTTTTTTTGCTTGCCTGAAAACTATCTGCTTCATATTTAAGATTCTTTGTATGGTTTTCTCTTTCTGTGCTTGTTTGACCAATAATAGAGTTCTCTTACTAACTTTTGCTCAGTACTTGAGTAATGTCATTATAAAACTAACTCATTAACGTTTACTTGCATTTTTGTGCAGCTTGTTAAGAGAGGTTTTAACAGAAGTACTACAAACAAAAACAAATAAAGATCTGTCTATTACAGGGCACAGCAGTACAGGGAAGTAAACTGCGCCTTCCTGGCTACTTATCTGGTAAAGGATTTCAGTCGGGTGAGGAGGGAACCTTGATTAATGCTGCTGTACTAAAAGCTCGAACACAAATGATAGGTGGTGAGTACAACTTTACTCAATGTTTGCTAGTATCTGTCGCTTTGCAAGTGTTCAACTGATACCATCTGTTCAAATTTGATCTTACTAGAGTCGCGGAAAAATTCCAGCCGACCTGGAAGTAAAGCCGGAAGCAGAGGTAGCAGTCGCAGAGGAAGCGACGCATCTGACTTTGACATCTCAGATATCCAGTCTGTCTGCTCTGATGTCTCTGAGACTGTTGGCGAGTCCACTCGAGGGACACCTCGCTCAGCGTCTCGCCAACAGGGAGGAAAACCCTCCAAAATCCCCACTCCTCAAAGAAGAACAACTCCCTCAAGCAAACTGACCAAGGGATCCAAGCGATAGTCAGTGGCTTTGACAACACACAACTCAGAAAGCTACTTGCACCCCTAAAAACATCGTGGACACTGGAGATGTCTAACTTAAGAGACTGCAAATGTGTTGAGTGTTATTAAAATTGTTGCGAAGATGTAAAATATTCTGTTAAGAGGCAATATGGTTTAATATTATGTGTGGATGGAATGTTAATGGCCTTGTGTATTAGTTTTTAATGTATTTTATTTCTGTGAAAATGTCAAATTGTTTCTTAATGTACTTTATTTTATTTATGCAAATCCTGTAGAGGTTTGATGGACACTAAAAAGAATCTGGGAATAACCATGTTGAACGGTTAATTAACATTTCTTCACACTAATGAAGGACAAATGCAGGATAGCACTCTGAGAGTTACTGAATGTACTGTAATTTATGTATGCTGATGTTTGGATTAAATGGTACTTATGGTACCATTTGACATGCTGCAATTATCTATTTAAGTGCTATGTTATACTGCCAACTTGCATTTAGAGGGCAATGCAATATACTACAATAAACCCCAGTAAGCACTGCAGAAACCTTCAAATATCCCTATTTAAGAGAAGTAGCATAAAACAAGTTATCATGAAGCTTTCAAGTCCTGTTTGTTTGTCAACTGCTGCAGTTCCTCTTTTTCTTCCACCAGGTCACAGCAGTCTTTGCATCAGCCTTGAAGATGTGCCACTCCATGTTGCCATTTTCTGTGTATTCATGTCAGTGTATGATTAATTTCGGTAGAGCTGAAATTGTTACTGTAACAGTACTTTGTAATAAACCTGCTTGCAGAAAGCCACCAGAGACTGGTGAGCACCACAAAATCATCTCAGCTTTCCTCACTTTAGTTATGCTTTGATTTACTCAGCATATCCACATGTTGCAACTGCTATCTTTTTCTCTTTTTTCCCTGCTGCCATTTTTTAGTAGCCGTGCAGAGATCTAACCTGGCTGGAATGTTTGCACATCATCTTGTGTTTGGCTGTGAAATACTACATCATCTTCAGAGTGAGAGAGTGCACATGGTGCAACGCGGCCTTCAATGAACATACACTGAAAATATACACTGTATCAATAAAGTGAGGTTAAAGAATATTAGCAAGAATATTACCAAAGAACAAAACTCTTAAAGTTCAATCAAACTCTCAGCATTGCCGTTATCTTCACCTACAAGAAGTTCCCTTGCCTCGGGGTTGACTCTGTGTGACTGAGCTACACTATAGTGGCTGTTGGCCCGTCTGTCCTATGAGAAAAGACGGATCCCCTGGGTGCCACAGGTGGAGTGGAGCTCAAGGGTGAGGCTCCTCTGAGACCCATGCGTCCAGTGTGAATGGTCCTCCTGTTCAGCTCAAAGCCTGACCCTGGGATGGCACTTTAAAGTGGGATCTATCCTCACACCGGGAACTGGAAAAGATCCATCAGCCGGAGCTCTGGGAGCTTTCAGGAATATGTGAGTATAAACACAATTTTCTTTTGTTGTATAAATGTTTAAAAATGCATTTAGCTAAAGCCGGCAGGAAATTATGTGAATTCAAGTTGAGTCTTTGCTTTGTTACACAGCAGATGATGGAATGTGTTCAGTTTATGGCAATATTGAATTATGTAAAATAAATTGTAAGTATAAGCAGTTGTTGGAGCAGTTGTAATTGAAGACAATGTATAACATTTTCCAAATTATTATTATTATTATTATTATTAATATAATTACTGTAAAGATAAAACATTTGATGTCTTAAATGACAAAAAAGTAGTTAGCCATTATTCTATTTTCAGGTTACGATAAGAGCTTTAACTTTAAGTTTTCTCTCTTTCCACCACTCTCGACTCACACTTGATATCCTTTATCTAAACATGTATGTTACAGAAATTTGAGTGACTGGTCTGATATCTATTTGCTTTCTGTACCACAGGCACTTATAGCTCCTGTCTTCAAAACATCAAAAATGCCAGCCTTCCATGTTATGCTGGTGTTTGCAGCATTCTTTTCCATTTTAGGATTGGCCCATTGTCAGAAGATGACAAGTAAGTTTAAAAGTAAAAACACTCACTGAAGTCGGTAGCGCATTTTTCACTGCTTAAAAGTATTAGAGTAAAGTACACCACTTAAATACACTGGTGTTATGTGGGTTGCTTTTTGTCAGAACTCTCATCTAAAGATGATTTATCAACTCAGAAAAGCATATTTTGGTAAAATAAAGTAGTATTTGTGGTGATCTCATGTGTCATATAAATGAGGTGTTGTAAAACATTTTCCTTTTTCCAGAGTGAGCACTGTAGCTTTATATTACGTCCAGTAGATGTCAGTGTGCACTTGTGAATTGTTCAGCACTGGGCTGTTGACAGTGTTGGATTTCCTGCACTCATTGTCTGTGTGGCTATTATGAGGTCATTCTTGGGTGAACCTAACCACCTGATCCTTTGAGGTCTTTCACCTGAGGCTCCCTGACACCATAAAAAACAGATAACACAATGGTCCATTGACTGTGCTGCAAAAGCGTGTTCTGATGAAGTTAACTTAATGCAATTGTCGTTGTCCCACTTTCATTCTCATGCATGTTTTGACCTCATAGGATAGGACATGTATTTGTCGGATAACCTTCTTGTGTCTGTGAAGAAGTGGCATCATTAAAATGGGTGACATCAGTGTTGACATAAGATTAAAGGGTAGTCTGACCCCTTTGATGGTGAATCAAACTAAGCTTAGTGTTTGTCGTGGGAGGTTTTGATCTTCTGGAGGAATTTCGTGTGCCCGAGTCCAACGGCGTGAAGAGAGTGGAAGGATCTCAGCCTCAGGCAGTGGCATACCGCGTCAATCCCTCCATCCATCTACAGAGGGCCATGAGGTACAGTTCCAGGTGCCTGTGAGGCACAAAACATGCTCAGATATATAAAACCACATTATCTCACCTGACTCATGTAGATATGTATCAGATCACTGTCAAGCGAAGTAAAAAAAAAAAATTGTTGGGTCATTTAATTTGACTTTAAAGAGTAACCAAATGCTAAGACGAAAAGCCATGTTATCCCTAACATACGCTGAAGTTTGATCCTACAGGTCGGCAAGAGGTAAAGTGCATATGATTTATAGCTTAATAAAGGTTGCCTGAATGCATTTGAATTCTTTGGTGTTCAAATTATTATGTTTTTATACATAACACCTCTTGTGTACATGCAACATTAAAATAGCAGGTCTGATGGGAACACGTCTCTTTGTCTGAGATCTCTTCCTCAACTAAACAGATTCTACTTGCCTGCTAATAAAAAAGTCACTTTAAGATCAAAACCCCGCGGTGGTAGCATCACTTGCTGTGTTAGCAGTTTTGCTTCAGAACTTTCTTTTCAGTTGTGTCATTGTAGTTACTCGGGTACTAAAATGATATACGATCTCACAAAAACAAGCTGTGAGACCAACACATAAACTTTAACTTTGAGAAACCAAATTCAAGAGGTTGTTATTGTATTTGTGATGGATCAACCTTTCTGTCCCACACAACCTCACAGTTGGTTTTTGATGAAAAAGGAGACTTTGTTTAGCGTTATCCAGCTCCCTGAACTTCAGTCTCGTGCCACAGTGATGTGTATCCAGATGGACTCCCCACCGAATACTCCATCATTGCAACCTTTAAGTTGAACAAGGAGACTGCCCAGACATCCTGGAACCTGTGGCAGGTCAGTGACCCTGAGGGACGAGAGCAGGTTGGTCTTCGTTTCCATGGTGATGCACGTTTGCTAGACTTTTTCTATACCAGCCCCAACGGGGGTCACATGCTGAGGACCTTCCACGGTGTGGAAAAGTTATTTGATGGAGAATGGCACAAGTTGGCCCTGAGTGTGAAGGGCAGCCAGGTGAGGCTGCTGGTAGACTGTGAGGAGGTCAAAGTGGAGTCCATTGATGAGCCAAGGCCAGTCATTCGCCGGGGATACACCTCCATCGTCAAACGGGCTGTGGGAGACCGCTCAGTTCCTGTATGTTGAAAACTTCTTTTTGGGTAACATCTTAAGATCTCCAAAGGTTGGATTATTTACATTATCAACATACTGTTTCCATCTAGGTGGATCTCCAGCAGATGGAGGTTTCATGTGACCCTGAGCAGGCTTATTCGGAGGGCTGCTGTGAGCTTTCCAACGTGGTGAGTCAGCTATACTCAAGCTTAATAGTATTCCACTTGCTCGAGATTGGTGTTGAGATTTAAAGCCATACTCGCGCTCATCTCTTCCTCACAGTGTGGGGGATATGCAGAGATTGGGCTCACAGCTGGAAGAGCATCTTGCAAATGCATGCACGGGCAGCCCGGTATTCAGGGCCCTCCGGGGATAAAAGTGAGTGAACCTGTGCAGAGAACTGGCGGAGCAAGTGTAAAAGCTCTATCTGTTGACACATGTATGCTTTTTCTCCTGCAGGGTCACAGGGGTCTTCCAGGAAAACCCGGAGACCCAGGACGACAAGGCAACTGGGTAAATAAATTCACGCTGCCTCTCTCATATGAGCGTCAAACCTAGTGTCCTGCTAGGTGAATTAATGTTGCCGCGTTTACTCGATGCCCTCTGAGCATGAGCAGCATCTACTTCCTCTTGCTTCTCTCTGAGGAATTAAGCTGACTTGTCGATGAGTCACACTGTAAAACCTACATTTGTGAGACGGGGGCGAAGATGTGGAAAATGGCAATAGAAGTGCAACTGAGAGAGGATACCATGGAAATAGATCTGGAAGAGCTTAGCAACAGAAAACAGATTTTTCATGTACTTTGAAAGCTTGTGTCTGCAGAAAATTTGGAAAACATCCAAGACAAATGCAAACCAATACGGATGTGAGTGACAATAAATGTGTTTTTGTAGTCCTGGAATAGCCTTTTGTATGTGTATAAAACACCATCTCTGATGGTTAAGTGTATAGGATTGAACTCAAACTGGCCCGAGATCACAAGATGTCTTATGGTTTTGCTTTTCCATTTGGAAGAAACCGGGCCAAATGTAATGAATCCCACACACAGGAAAACCAAGCAGTTGAGCAATAACGATACCTTCCAAGAGTTAGTGGCATATTCTTGACACTCTTCAATATTAGTCAGATGTTTTGCCAAATTAATATTTATATTTGTGTGGATAAATCACCTTTATGTACCTCAAATAGAACTCAGGAAAACGTGTGTAATTTTCAAAAGAACAAAGGACTCTACTAAAGGGGCCAGTCTCACATTTGTATGTCCTTTCGGAGAGCAGCAGACGTGATTATTTCCACTTTGAATTTATGACTTGTTAATGTCTTTGATGCTAAGCAGTCACCGTTGTTGGCGCAGATCTGGGAGTCTTAAAAATTGTCAGGAGTACATGTGTTTAAAGGAGGGGGATTTTTTTTTTCTCTGCACATTCATATGTGATGGTTTGGTGTTTAACTTGCCCTTTGCACTACAAGAAATCCCCAACGCTGCTTGAGGAAACACATGTAGGTCTAAAGACCAGCGTACACCCAGAGTACATTTCCAGAGCTCGACATGCTACATGTACATGTCTTGAATTGCAGCTGCAGCTCATCTGGGAGCAAACATCTGTCTTGAGTAACTGGTTAGGGTTTTGACCCCGTGCCAGCTTGTGAATCACAGAACCCCAACTTGTTTATCTCCTTCCCTGCTGGCATCCAAGGAGGGCATTTCCTGGCACTGTTATATGGACTGCCCATCTCAGGTGGTGGGTGGTCCTTCAATCATCTGAGCTGTCCTGCCTCGGAAATGTCGTAAAGTTCACGGTCGTGCCTCTCGCCATACTGTCGGCCATCTCTGAGGTTAACCTCTGTCCAGCTGACTCTGCTTAACACACACTGTTAGGTGTGATGGACAAATAAACTCACAACACAAAGGCGCCCCGGCCTTGTTTAATGTGTTTGTTGACTCAGTGTAATGCAGCCAAATGGAAAACACTTTTCCATCTACTACTAAGGAAGTCAGCATCTGTGCAAACAATACTCATCCTTGCTGTCGTATTCATGACTAATGTTTCCTTAGTCCGGCTTGTGTATATTTTCCATTAATGTGACTACTACAACACTTTTTCTCAAGAAATGATGATGCTAATTTTAAAAATGACTCACTGACAGTAACTCAAAAAAATATCACGGATGTTGCAATTAAGGAATTTTTTGTTTCTTGACGAATATGCTAATTTTGAATGTGATGCCAGAAGCCTGTTTCAAAAATGTTTGTGTAAGAGCAACAAGTTGGTTATTGGGCTTCTTTACAAGGCTGAATTAATGTTTCATAGGCAGGAAGTTGCTTATCTTGGCAAGAATATGCTAAAGCTGAACATATTGCAACAGCACATGTCCTGAATGAAAGACTCAAGGTATTAAACTGTCTTGTTTGCAGTCCAGATCTGTCAAGTACTGAAAACATTAACAGCATTATTAGACAAAAAAAAAAGGAAAAATGAAGCCCTGAACACTTTTGTCACACAGGAAGGGGAACACAATGTGGATTTGTCCCATCTGATTCACTGACCATGTTGAAAAACTGAGATAAAGTTACATACATGACATAGTAAGCTTCAGAACGACAATCAAATGCAGATGTGTACTTTTTTTTAATGCAAAAATATCATTTGTATATTAATAAAGTTGTTTTAGGGGAGCTAGTAGGTTGGTTTTAACCCCTAGAAAACTGTCTTTTCCCACCTAGAGGATGAGAGTTAGATTTTTGGAAATATCCTGTGTAAAGTTGTACATTTTGTTTTCTTTCTGCAGCTGTTAGATTTAAAAGATTTATATTAGTCACATTTTTTCAAAATCTACAGCCAGAAGTTAAGCTAAGCTTTTCACAAAGATTGGGGAGAGGGAGGTAATGGTCTGAATTCCATCTTCTCCCTAAAGGTAACCCAATGCAGCTATTCTTTCCTGAGGTGTTCTTATTTATTAAGATGGATGTCTACATATAGCATAGCTGGCATAGTATCAGGTATTTTTTCCTCCGGAGTTATCAAAAATTAAGCCTGTCAACCAATGACAATGCACATGGAGAAAAGGCAGAAACACTTTAAGAAAAGCTAAAGACTAAGATTTTGCTTATTTTAGAATAGACTTTTTTATTCTCTACAATAACTTAGAGAATGTGTAAAAAAAATAAAAAATAAAAAAAGATTCTACATTAACTTGTCTTTCAAATGAGATTGCAAACGCAGCAATAGATATGAAAATCATCTAATTATGAATTAATATGAAAAGGTTTGTATACTTATACTGTATATTTATTTAAAAAACAGAGTCATGTCTAGACGTCCTCTCTGTGTGATGTTTAATAAACCTTTTACAGAAGCAGTTATAATCAATGACTTTGAGATTCCCTCATGTTGGTGATTATTACACATTTCTGTAGTTTAGAATGGGGAGCTTGCTATTAAGTCAAATATGGGTTGCAGGGCCTTCGTGGAAATACTGGAGACTATGGCAACATGGGTGAGACAGGACCAAAGGTGAGCTCTGCCTCTATAAACTCCCACAAGCATTTTGTATAATTCAATTTGACTTATACTTGAACTGCATGAATTAATCCTGTCTTGCATATCCTAAGGGTGAAGAAGGAATCAAAGGAGAAAAAGGGATGAGAGGACCCTGGGGCCAAGTGGTAATCAGTGGCTCAGATTTAACATTTACTTTACACTGACAAGTTCCAAATGTGTATGAATGAGATACTGTGTTCACAGGGCGACAGAGGGCCTAAAGGGCTTAAAGGACTAAAAGGTGCAGCAGGTTTCAAGGTAAACTCATCAGCTAACTTTAAATCAAGTATGAGTTGGACCTATCTAGTAAGAAAATTACAGGTTTGTCTGTTGATGACTTTAATTTGAGCCTATTCATTGTAATTAAAGGGAGTTCGAGGATCTCCTGGAGACATTGGTGAGACTGGGAAACTAGGAGAAATTGTAAGTTAACCTTTCAGACACAGCAGTAAGCCCTTTTGCAAACTATTATGTAATTACTGTGTTACTAACAATTTGGCCTCATTAAAGGGCACCAAAGGCCTCAAAGGATATGTGGGAATTCCTGGATTTCAGGGAGTGAAGGTATTTGTGTATCCTTCCAAAAATCATCATTCAATTTCTTTTAACTTGTCTTCACCCATCATTCTACTCTTTTCTTAGGGCCAAAAGGGGAATACTGGTACAACAGGGAGGCCGGGGCCGAGAGGAAAGCAGGTGGGTTGTTTTGGGGATTCCCCTCTCCATATTCCATAGCAGGACACTTTTAATATTGGTCTAATACCTTCCAAATCCCCTCATTTAACCATGAAGAGCGAGTAAATCATGTTTGATGTGGTAAAACACTGGAATTGAAGTATGTTTTTGGCTTATGTGCCGTCTCCATAAACAATATTAGTTCAATGTGGCTGGATTTTTTGGCTGAGATCTTAAAGTTTGAATTGTAGCAACATAAGCTGATGAGTCAGTAATAGAGCCTGAACCGTAGCAATATTCTACTGTTACGTTTCATACAAGGGAGGGAGGCCCTCTGGTTCACCCTGCTGCTTGTTGGACTCTGCAGTTGTGGTTAGAAACCCTGAGTTAATTCTTTGACAGGGTATTGTCGGAGATCCTGGAGAGAGGGGGGCTTCTGGAGAGAAGGGGAGGCCTGTAAGTGCTATATTTGATTTGTTACAGTATGGTTTAAAATGAATTAACTAGCTCTTGAAAGGACTAATTATGTTTTTGTCATGCAAACTTACGAAAACTAGGGGATCCAAGGACCTGTGGGCAGAGATGGCACAATTGGACCAAAAGTAATTTTCTGCTGACACAACAACAGCCTCAGATGTACTTGCACTTCTTTTCTCATAAAAATGGCTAAATACCTCCACAGGGTATTATTGGAGATCCGGGTTCACCTGGAAGAGATGGCGATCCGGGAGTAGAGGTAATTTATACTGCTCGTGATGACAACTGTATGTTGAATGTTGAAAATATTCTGTAAATATATATTCTGTAAATATATTTTTCACAGGCCTATCAAGGACCACAAGGCCCCGGTGGAAAAGTTGGTCGTGTTGGAGCAAAGGTCTGTTCTTGTTTTGCTGTGTGAATTGTGGAAAGGGGTTGTTTTTTGGTAGATTTATTCACTGCCATTTGTTTCTTTTACAAGGGGGAGAAAGGCTCCCTGGGGCCTGCAGGAGAAATGGGTCCCCAAGGCCAAACTGTAAGTCCGATTTTCAGATATTTCACTTACAGAAGACAAGCGCATCATACATTTAGTTCATAAAGTAGTTTACCATCTTAAAGAGAAACAACAAAGAACAAAGCAGTTCCTCAGGTTGATTAATAAATATTTTATTATCAAGGGTCCAAGAGGTTACAAGGGTTCTGCAGGAAAGCCAGGAAGACCCGGATTTATTGGCCCACCTGGACCTACTGTAAGTGGTCCAGATGAATTTCTTCCAAAGACTAGTTCATTTTCCTCAACCTATCAAAGCATGTCATTTCTTTACAGGGTCACGTGGGCGTGCCTGGCAAACCAGGATCCAAGGTAATACATCCGTCATCCATTAGCCATTAGAGATATAAAATAGGGGCAAAATGATTGATTAATGGCACCATTTCTCTGCTTATTCAGAACATATTTAATAAGTCATTGAGTTGCACGATTGTAAGATTTGCAGATGGATTCTCTTTCCAAACCAAAAGTTTTCCCAGATTGTAAAATAAGTCCTACATTTTTAGGAACTGAACAAAAGTACTACACAAACCTACGCAGTACCAAAATATATATATATATATATTCTACACACAAACTGAGCATGGACGTTGGCAGAGTTTTATCCCCATGTTGTCATCCAGTAAATACATAATGAAGATAGCCATGTTGGCTCAATGTGTCCCTTTCCCTGCAACGACTGCGAAACAACCCTTCAGGATCTGTTCTTAATGTTTAGAGGACAAGCCAAGCCAAAGAAAAAATACAGATACTCCCGCAGAAACCACTATTCATCTGTTTGTGTTTCTGTGGTGTCCTCAAGAGTAAACAAATCTGATAAGAAAGAACCACCATTTGGAGCAGTGAGCAGGCACCACATAGGTCCATTAGAAATTATTTAAAAGGAAACAGATATGTTCAGAAGTGAATTAAGACTGTTCAGTATAAGCAACTGAATATACAATTTATCCGAATACACTGGGTTTCTAACTCTTAGGGACAGAAAGTCAGTTTAATTCATGCCTTTTTCCTCTGGCAGCAAGTTAGATCAAATCTGCTGCAATAATCAGACAGAAAGAGGGAAATGGCAGATAACAGACCATGTTTACTGTTTACTCCCTGAAATATGGATGACAACATGAACATCAGCATCAATGTCAAATAGCTCCATGTCTCTTGACTTTGCACACAGCAAAAAATAGTGCGACAACAGGTCCTCTGATCTGACATTTCCCACTTCACCAGGTTTACCTCACGAGTCTCCTACAGGTCAGCTCCAGCGAAGAAAAACATCTGTCAAGTGTTATTAAACTAGTACAATCTACCTTCTGTGTGCTTAAATAGTAGCTCTAGAAAGGAATGCTGTGGCGTGTGATGAATTTGACCAAACTCACAGTTAAAAGGAGTTAAACTATTGATGGTAGAGGGTTTTATTCCTCTATTATATGTAAATCTGATGTGTTGATGGTGATGATGTTAAAGCTGATGATGAACAGTGTAAAATGAAAATGGTTGGAGTACCATGTTCACTGTAAACGTCCATGTGTAACCATCAAAACTGGTTGGTTTAGGTCAAATTGCAACCTTTTTTGTGTTGTTGTCAAGTGAGGATGAGCAGCACATGTGCTAAAGTGTGATTTGCCAGTTATTTGGAAGCTTCTGCTTACATTTCATTTGCTTTGTATAGGGTGACACAGGAATCCCAGGAATCAAAGGAGTTAAAGGTGCACAGGTACTGCATAAAATTTCAAGAATTATCAGCTTTTATGCTCATCCTTGTCATCTGTTCTTCCTCACATTAATTCTTCATGTTTTTACAGGGAGAAACTGGAATTAAGGGTCCAAAAGGAAAGGTGAGCTGGGAGGTAGCTGTTTGATGCAGTAATGCTATAAAACTAGGATCTTACCATAAAAGATATCTACCACCACTCAGAAGACATGGCCATTTCTATGATCTTCCTTTTACTAGTAATGAAGAGACACATAAGTCAGTGACTATTTTCACCGAAGTCCTCTTTCATTTAAGTTAACGAAACTAAAAGAAAAACATTGTGATGAGCTCTGTCACTGGGCAGAGCAGTCACGCAGGTGGGGTGTTTCCAAAGGTTGGCTTTCTGGTTTCAAATTGGTTGGAATAACCTCCATTCATCCCATTGTGTTTGCAAAGTTAATAGTTGGAAAAATCTAATATGAATCCACGAAATAACATTCCTCACATATTCTGAGCATCTGCAGATGAGATAAGCACTGTAACGCCCACAACTGCAACAAATGAATCTTGCACATTTCTCTAATATTCTCTGCCAGATTTGGGTTTTTTTTGTATTGAAAATGACATGTTAAATTTAAGTTTATCTTACATTTGCCTCATCTCCAGAGAAAAGCTACATTTTATCTAAGCTAATGCTATGTTACTTATTTTCTAGGCAACTATATAAGTTATTGTGCAGTGTTTTTCATCAACCTGACATATTAGGCATCTTCAGCCAAACAACGTTGTGTTCCTTCTGACTGTTCTGATGATTTTCCCTGGATGATGTCCTTTTGGTAATCTGGATATGCTCTGGAGGTTGGAGACAGGGGTGAGCAGGGTCCACAGGGAGGACGGGGGAAGCGTGGCCCTGCCGGCCCACCTGGTCGTTCAGGTCCACTGGGAGTCAAGGGGGTACGAGGCGAGGGAGGACCAGATGGCTTTCAGGGGCTCCCTGGCCCACCAGTAAGTTTAGAAAAAACCTTTGACCATGTCTGACAAGCACGCTTGTGGTGTGTAGTGTTGTCAGTGTAGTTTAGTGTTTACTTGCACCACTAATGGGCCCACATATTATTTAGTCACACCTTTAAAGTAGATTTAGCCAGTTAGATAACACTGAGTCATAGCAAGCATTTGATTAAATGTGACTGCAATCTCTCAGTGAGCCTCAGGATATACAAGGTTTTATATGTCTTCACAATATTTCCTCAGAGATTAAAGAATGACTTGTGCTTTGTCTGGCTCACAGCTTGGTCAACTCCAGTGATGGATGTGGTAATGATTTCTTACACAGGGCCCTACGCTCCCTGCTGAACATGTGATTGAGGTCTGTAAAAAAGTGGTCCTGGAACAGATGTCCACCTTTGCCAACTCAGTAAAGAGGACGTGTGCTGCTGTTTGTCCTCTCTACGGGGATGTTCCCATGGGTGCCCCCGGTCCCCCTGGACAGAAAGGACTACCAGGACCTCCTGTGAGCTTTGCAGTTTTATATTCATTTTTCAAGATGTAGGAGACAGAACCTAGGGGACATTTTACTTTCACTTCGACTCTTGTAGAACCTTGGTGTTGAATTACTGTGCAGTACATGCATACATTGTTCATTCTGCTGTCTCTGGCGGAGCAAAATGCAAACACATTGCAAGGATCTGGACTGGACAAAGAGAGCTGAAATATTTGGCAGAAAAGCTTGGAATGAAAACATTACGATTTTCCACGTCTGTGTGAGGACAAATAAGGAGTCACAGACTAGACACTTGGTCTGTGCTGAATGATTCTTGGCTGTCCTTGGATTGGAAAGCCTTTTCCACATTATTATACAATGTCGAATCGATTCATGTTCCACAAGTCCTAATCACAGGCACTCTAGGCCTGATAGATGTTCTTGAAACCATGCCTTTGTAGAAAATATTCCATCTATTAGATTATGGTCAGTAAGCCTTATGTTGTGGCGTCACATGCAAAAACCGGTGATAAACCAGTTTCAGTGATCTCTTTTCAATTAGTTTGATTTTTTTTTGTCTGTATGAACTGGGTCTCAGGTGAGTGGAATCTACTTCATTCAACATGATGGGACAATGTTAATTGTTTTCAGATTAATAATGGAAAGACAAATTATTAACAACCTGTTGTCCTGTTGAAAATGTGTCAGGGTGATCCTGGTGTTGACGGCGCTGATGGAGAAATGGGCCTACCAGGATTCTACGGAGAAGCTGGAGAGCCAGGGCGACAAGGAGAAAGAGGTGTGGAAATGATCAATCCTACAAACAGTGTGATCAATGTCTTTAATGTTACTCAGGCAAAGGTTGTTTAAGGCAGACGCTGGAAGCATACAGCAAGATTTCTTAAATATATTTTTTGAACCAGAAGCTTTATTCAAAAGCATTAGCAAAAATGGATTGTTATCGATAAAGCATATATTTAACATGGAGCAACAGTTATTTTCTCCAGGAGATCTTTAGCTGCCAACCTTGTTTGTCTGTTGTCATCTCGTCATGTTCAGAAATCTTCGTTGATTAGTTTTCAGTTCAAATAAATGCAAATAAATAGAAAAGTATGCACAGGCAGATTGTGAGTTTCATGTGAATGTTTTGCTATTCAGAGCTACACAGCTTCTCTAGTGATTGGGGATTTTCAAGTCACAGTGGATCTGCACTATGCGGTGGATTTAAAATGATCTTTCTCAAGCAGTTTCAGCTGTTACGTGAATAAGTCTTTCTTGTCATTAATGCTAGTTCCTGTTGAATCAATCTGTTTTGCTCAGCCAGATGATGAGGATAAAGAGACGGTGTCTCAGACCAGCTGCTCTCTCCTGTGGCTGTGATGAAATAAGATGCTAGAAACATGCACTTCATCATGCTTGCTGTGTGTTTTTTCATTTTCTTCTCTGCATTTTACCCTGTGTCTTGCATTTTTGTTGGCTGTAGCCAACTTGCCTTCTCTGTCCTGCAGAGTGCTTCAGCATTTCAAACACATCCAACCAAAGATGAATCTGAGAATAATACATATGTAAAGCTCACAGGTCCTTTTTTGTAGCTTCTATTCACAACAATCAATGGCCATCAATCTAAACGCAAATAATTGTCTGTAATGTGAAAGTCAGGCTTTAAATTTTGTGCATCGATCCATGCATCAATGTTCTATACTGGCTCAATCGAAATTGTCAGGGGCTGGAGCCTTTCCCGGCTGTCATTGGTCGAGATGTAATGTACACTGATCACGGAATTATGCATAGTCTTTTACCAGCATGAACAGCATCAACCCTTTGGGAAAACAGCCTTTCATTCTGTTTTCTGGCATTTGTGCTGTTGTTTGTATGAATGTGTGTTTGTGTGTGTGTGTTGCAGGTGACAGTGGGGAGAGAGGTGACAAAGGAGCCAAGGGTTATGGTCTCCCTGGCTTCCTTGGAGATCAAGGGCCACAAGGTAATGTAATCTGTGCTTTACAAACCGTGTTAAGCTGACTGCTTGATTTGAATACCAGTAAATGTGGTGGGATGTTATTTCCCCAAAAATAAAAGTTTCTCTGGAAGTGTTCTATTCTTAGAGTAAGTGAAAACAGCCTTACTCAGCTAACTGAGCAGACGCTGACACTTGAAGACTAAACAACATTTTTTCTGCTCAATCACAGGTCAGCGTGGACGTCCTGGCAGAGTTTTTAACGGCCAGCCTGGGAAGCAGGGTGAGAGGGGACATGTTGGCCGACCTGGACTCAGGGGCCACCCAGGCCTCAGAGGACCCCCGGGTGTCTGTGTCACCTCTGGGTGTGCTCAGCTGAATGCTACCAGTGGGACGCCTCAGCCAACAACAAGGAGGTTGAGGAATCGTCCTTGAATAAATGTGGAAAATGAACTGAATACTGGGTTTAAAGGAGTAAAGGACTTTTTTTTGTTTTCAAGCGATTGTTTTAAATAGAAACTTTCATGTAAATATTCAAAATTAAACTTGGAATGTCTTGGGAACAAAAGTTATCATAAAACAACAATTTCACACAGTTTGGAGGATAGTAAAAAAAAAGAGAAGTATTTGTATAAAAAGACCATCTTCATACTTTGTAGTAGTTTGTATTTAAACTGATTCACCCAAGTCTAACTTGTCTTTAAATATTGTGCTTTATAATAAAATACAAAAATAAAGTAAGATTATGAATGTGATTTATTTGAAAAGGTCAAGAATTATCACAGAGGCTCAAAGGCCCTGGAAATACTCTGAAACATGGCGGGCAGTTTTAACATTCTGGAAAACAGTGATAATCACCACTAAACTTCAACAAGTCACATCACCAAAGTCTGACCCCTTCACACGTCGATCAGTTAAAGACTGCAAATGTGATTTCCCTCAGGCCAAGCCAAGAGTGTAATTTGTTTTTTGCTGAGGAAGTATTCTTAAGATCTATAAAATAGTTAATGTTATTGACTGCCCCCAAACCTAAACCCTACCTGTTGTTGTCCGTACCACATATTGTCTGGTCTGACCTGCATTGCTTCTGTCAAGAATGTAGAGCTTGAAACTTCAAGATGGATTCTCCAACGACAGCAGGAGCGAAAAAATTGCCTGACAAGGTAACCTGCATGTTGCACATCTGTGAAAAACTAAGGAGACAACAAAGAAATTCCAGAGAAAATGAATCTGAAACCAACTATTACACAGTTATACAATATTATTGTTTAAACCACGAAACACAACAGACTTCCGATATGAAATTCTGTTAGTTGAAAGCAATATATGCTGATTCTTCCCAAACACCCAAGATGACATCTGTACTTTGAGGCGATTTCAGTGATTACCACTTAAGTACCTGTCAAACAACACATTCTTTTATTGCTAAAAACAACAGCACCAAAACGGCTTCTCAGATTGCCCTCCACTGTGGTGAATCAGACTTTCAGTAGAGGCATGTGAATGTTCCCAGCTGTCAGTTGCTTTGCCATTTTATAAGTAGGATACTACAAACAAAATGAATCCAGATGAACACAAATTAGAATTGTATTGCATGTAATGTAAGAAACCATTTAAATAGGGTTCATTGTATGTTTTTCTCACTATTCTTTGGTGCATTTTAATGTTGCTGTAGTACTGATTTGTTGGAGTAGTGGAATGGAATTTGTAGTATCTATAAAGTACTTATTTTTTCACCGTTAAAAAAAAAAACCAATACCCTTGATTGTACCAAGTGAAAATTGGAAGTGCATACATTCAACCAGGATCACGGTTATTCTGAATTTATTTAGTTGGCTATAACAGAGTTTGAAAACCAACAGCTATGTTTTTTGTTATGTCTCGATATTGTATTTGCAATGAGAAACAGTAAGAGCAGAAATGATGGTTCCCACATGCTGCCTCATTGCAGTAAGGAGCAGGTTGGGTTCCTGGAGTGCGAACTTTCCAGCTGAAAAACCTGTTGGTCAAGTGGAAAGAAAAGTTCACATTGCTTGCGAGTATGAAGTCCCACACCTGCCTGTCTGTGAGAGCAGTAGTGAGGCCTGACTGTGTCTGGGGCATTTCCCTGCTTTGTGATAGGTTTATCCTTAGAAGGGCTATGCAATCCTGCTGTTCAGACAGTTCATGCAGTCATGTTGAGAAAAATACCTCTTTTTCCACAGCCATAATCTGGTGGAGGAACACCTCTAAAAGAAGAAACATTCTGGAAACTCCTGCCTCATGTCTTTTCTGTGGAGAAGCCCGTCGTCAGCAGCTTGTCATTCTCTGTGGGACTACACCATCACATGTACCATACTGCTGTGTTTTGTTCCACAAAATGTGGCCACCGCTGTCATGGAAACCATTACTCATCCGTGATTATCCCAAATTTGCTTTTTGGGCTCAACAACTTACTTTTCAGCCCTGCTCACTATTTATTTCTTGTGGTAAACCAGAGTGATCATGGTAAATACCTCTCAATGCATATTTGCTGATTGAAATGTCCTAGTACAGTTGAGCTTCAAAATGATGTAAATCAGAAGTTATTAGAGGTTTTATGTTGTCCCCAATCCAGGTAGTTATTCAATCATTTTAAATGCAACTGCCAAACACTGTAAATTGAAGATAATATAAGGATTTGGCCAAATTTGTCAAGTCTTTATTGAAGTATAAAGTGAAAGGAGTGCTGATACTGTTAGCTCCAGCTCCATCTTTAGCATGTAGTGTCTGTCTGAAGGTGGAGCAGCCTCTGACTGAGGGTGAAGCCTCTACCTGAGGGTGGAGCAGACTCCTCTCAGCTGAATCAGCAGACAGGTCTCGTGCTGCTCCTCTGAGTTGCTGCTTTAGTTCTGCAGCAACTCACTTTGATTTGCAAAATCATCAATTAAAAATACAAAACTACCTTCTGTGATACTAAGATTTTTATATCACATGGCTTTAATTTATTGACAAAAAAGTTGGGCTCCAGATTATTTGTTCCTGGGGAGCTGCTCGGACAGAGAACACATTTTGCAACTTAACATGTTCTTTGCATAATATTCTGTGCAAATCCAGTATAGCTCAAGTTATCCTTCCGCTTTGATTACATAAGATGATTAAAACTCTTTTGTGGTAGTTACACTTGAATTACTTTATAAAACATAATTCAAGTCAATCAGTCATTGTTCATCCTCACAAATGATTTCAATTCATCAGTTTTTCCTAACAAGCTCCAAAAACATGTCAACAAATTAAAAAATGGTTAAGCTTGATTAAAATTGCTGCAATTTATTTTAATGACATAATATCAGTCAGATTTCCAGACACAACCACAAAATCAGAGCCATCGGTCTCTTGGTTCCCTGCAGAAATAAGCAGAGACTTCTGCTCTTTGATTTCTCTCTTGTGCACCTCCTGTTGGTTACAAATTGGATATGAGAAACTGCATTAAAGAGTCTTGTCTCAGTAGTAGGCCGGCCACTCCCAGGATCAGAGAGACCAGCCCAGCGTTTGCCTGTGTGATCCACCAGAGTGTGCTCCGGCTCAGGGTCATCAAGGCCACCCTCAGCAAAACGTTGCTGCTTTCAAAATAAAGGGACACTTCCAACCCCATTGATCCATGACTGACAGTCATCACAGGGTTGTGAGTTGAGTTTGTTTAACCCCAGACACAGAAGGTTTGGCAGTGGAATATTGCATGTTTGCCAAAATTCCTAAGTTTTGTAAACACAATGTAGATTTCAGCAGCTTACAATCAGTTATTAGAACATCTGGAGAATTTCTAAAAGAGTCTTAACTAGCTGTCACCTGAGAGTAAACTTAGCTGTATTTTCCTTCAAAATGCAATTAACTGAAGACAGTTGTATAATTAGGTATGCTTGCATCTCTCTGTATGCTTTTGTCTTTATTTATGTTCTTCCACATTGCTTTTCTATTTACCACTCCACCTTTTAATCTTTCATTTGTCTGTTGATTTTGTTTTTTTCACATTTGCTTTGTGAACTCATGCTCTTTTCATACTCCTTCTAACTTCAAACTGAAACCTCAAACTGGAAGCCTGTAGCTTTGATGCCAGTGAAGCTAACCACTAGAAAATGTCGGCTAGGTTTTCCTTTGGCCAGAGAATATTAAATCACTGTATACCTGGATAGATTCTGTCATTCGAAACATAATTGGATAATGAAGAAAACAGAATGCATACATTCTTTTGTATAAGGGCAGTATCCCACTTGTAGTGGTTTTTGGGGAGGAGGTTTAGCTTTGTTCGTGTGCATACACAGGTCTGAGGAGGAGCTTCCTCACAGCTTGCTCGGGTCCTATTTATCTGTGTTATTCTGTTTCCACTGTAAAGTTAGTTATGTTGTTCACTGACCTGGTCAAAACACTGTGAGACTCTTTTGGAGGCTAAAAGATAGCCTGCACACACTGATGCCATTTTTGGATGATGCAGCACTGGCTGCCTCTGAATTGAAACATTATAAAACTGGTTAGAAAGGATCAAACTTAAATCAGCCTGCTCCAGTTAGCAGCTGCAGGTCTGCATTTCTAATGGCTTCCAGCTGTCGGTGCAGAAATAGCAGCACAGTAGCTCTTTACACCTTGCTCATTTGCTTATGTGTAGAACCTAATCTGATGTCCCTTTGAGGGGTAGCTACATTGGAATTGGACTGGTCAACTGGAATACTTCAATTCTCGCTGAAAGAACTTTGAAACAATTCGGTATAGCAGTGTGTTGTAGCTTAGTGTGTCACTGCCTGCTGATCCCGTGTTTGTCCTGGATCCAAAAAACTCCATGTTCTCTGGTTGTGCCTCAATCAACCCACTCAAGATCCAAACCTCCAGCACTTGGAAGGAGGTAATGTTCATTACTCCTATTTTCCTTTTGGTCTGTTAGAAATGGGATGTCTGCTTCACTATTTCATGCTCCCCTTATCTGCTTCTCTTTCCACCCATGGTAATTGAGGGTGGCTGTGGGCCAGTAAAAGTCCGAAGTGAGGGGGGTAGGAGGGTGTAGAAGAAGAAGGACAGAGACAGAGGAGAAAGAGAGAGCAGCTAGAAAGGGCAGGCTTTCATTCAGCTGAGAAACATGTGCACTGCTCCCCAAGCCCAGTTTCTGTAAACCCAGGGCTGCGAGCAGCATTGATCACTGGCTCTCAATGAGAGGATTAATGGGAATTTGCACAAAGGCTTGGACGCTTACTGGTAACTTTACACTTAACTTTTTTTTCTGATTTCTGATTTGAACAGTTTGATTGGTATTCAGCTTTTACCTTTTCCATATACAATGATGCAACTATGATAAAAAAGAATATGCAAAGAATTGTTGCACTGAAAGTTTTTGAAATCTGACATTAACTTTTTGAGCTGATTTAAGAATTTTGATTAATCTTTTTAAATGTACTGTGTATTTTAGGATGTGAAAACATTACTAAGATAAAAAAACAATACATGACTAACAGTCTGTAGCTAACATCTTAAAATCCATAAAGAGGTTGCAGAATGCAACAGATTCATGTCAAATGCATGAACTTATCTTAACTTATCTGCCAATTGGAAATGCAGTTATTATCTGCACGAAAGAATGGAACCATCTGAAGATGGTTTCACAGTCTATTTACTTTTAAATTTATTCTTATCTTTTGATAGCTGGATCTGTGCACGGACTGAATAGTGCACTGCAGCATTGCATGTGCGGCAAGCCCAATGATCTTTATGAGTAGAGAAGAAAAAGTACTCATTTGACGATGAACATGTTGCCTTGAACACTTCGAAAAGCCGAGACTGCCGTGAGCTGTTGTCTTACAAGATATTATTTAACGGTTTGGATGAGCTGTACAGATTTTTGTGAAGAACAACTGATAGGGCTCGGCTCTCCCTTGTTGCTTGAAGAATTTGGCAGCAATAAATCCCCCTGGTCTTGGCAACCGCCTCACATGCTGAACAGCAGTTGTTGTTTCTGGAATGGAACAACTTCCCGCTGCCAAATTTACAGCAGATAGGTCTAACTCCAATGGTTCAAGTGGAGTTGCTGTTGCATAAAGATCAAAAGACAATGTTTTATTTGAATTGTTTTTAGCTCAATAACTAAACTTTGATTCTGTTTCCTAAACGGGTCAAATTCCAAGTGAAGTCTTCGAATACTGTCACTAAAATCTTTTTGGACTCTGTTGCAGAACCATGACCAAGTGAAATGTTATCAGGGGAAATGTGAGAAATCCTTTGTTCAGCAACTTCCTGAACAGCGTCTCCAGCTGGAACTGAAGTGCCACTAAACTAATTCTCACATAAATCCACTTAAATTCAGCCACTTACGACAGGCGTAGTACAAAAAGAATGTCATGTGGAAGTTATTTTCAGAGCCTCTTCCATCTTGTTTGGCTGAAACATGCAAGCTTATAATTTCTGTGATTCAGTCACCAGAATCAAGACCTGGAGCAAGATAGTGTCTTTCTCTATAAAATCCAGAGACCACTTCAGCTTAGATTTGACCCATCAAATGCACCTGTTAATTTAGCTACATTTGTCCCATCCTTAAGCCTCGAAGCACTCCACCTGAAATGTCGCATTTTTGTTCTTGGATGAGGTCTGAATCCCCTCATCATCAGTACATGTGTTTGGTCACTGTCCACAGCCGGAATTTCACTGTCTGACGGCGCAAATGAATTCCATGTGGCCCTAGCTGAGGGGCAGAAATACGCAGCTTGGGGAAAGTCAGTTGAGGGGAAAGTCATCCTAGCAGCTGGATGTTGCCAATGAGGGGGTTTTCCAACAACCTCCTCCAACTCTCTAGTGGGGAAAAATTCTGAACAAAACGATTTATACAACTGTGGCACTTTAACACCCCCCTCCAACAGTGTTACTTCCACTCTAAGTTTACATGGTGGAAAAATGCAGTCATGTTGAAGTGTCTGACCTTGCTTTGGCTGCACTGGAATAAAAGCATCTGGGAGGCCAAGGGTTACATCCTGGCCACTGTTTCGCTGACCTACACGTGTCACAACCTGAAAACTAAAAGATGTATGGTCAGTTCTTCCCTGTCAAATTCCTTCCACAAGTTGTGTGTTTTTTACTGACGGTCATATCTGGTGATCATTCACAATCGCTTAGAAATTTGGACACTATTAAAATATTTTTGTGTCACAATAATGAGATATATTCTAAACTAATTTCTTTCTATTCGCAAACAACTTTCCACAACAATATTTCTAAAAAAAATGCCACACTGTTTGCTGAACAAGCAGCAATATCAGCGTTCAATTGCATTTAAAATATATGCACATATTACTTGCAATAAGTAAATTTTTGGGACAAACTTTACATTGTGTCACAGTTTGATTAGTAGCTATAGGCGGCAACCAGCAACACAGCAATCATTATTTTTATTGTGTTTTCCTCAGGTGTAGAGTTAGTGTTAAATATTAAATAATGTGGAAAAAAACATGTATATTTCTCTAAAAATGGTACGGCGGATGGCATAACTCTTTTAATGCTGCAAATTACTGATGGGAAGGAAGGTTTTACAATTGCACTTATCCACAAGAGAGGAAAAGTGTGGGAGTGAAGCCTTTTCTGGGCAGGCATATTGTATTCCAGCCAAGGGTGGGCAGAGATTTCAGGAAACAGCTGATAATCCCACAGGAAACAGTGAGCACTGGTTTTTAAAGCGGTTGTGTACATGGTTTTGGTGGTCTGTTTGCTTAGTAAAGCTGTAAGTGCCATGTCAGGATGTGGTAGACGAAGCTAGAGTGGAAAATGCTGAGGTGTGCTGGAGAGGTAGAGGATGAAAAAAGGGTCTGTTGAAATGGAGTGCACCTCTTCAAGGATGGAGGGATGGGGTCTGGGAAAGTATTGGTGTTAAAAGTAATTGAATTAGGGATTTCTGGAGTCACAAAGGATCTGCAGCAGCAGAAAGGAGGCAATCTGATATGAGCATGCAAGGGCTATGGGAATGTGCACTTAATAGCTCCAATGAGATTTGGTTATGTCTTAATACAAGAAAAATATACAAATACAAATCTAAAAAAATTAGTGCAAAGATGTTACCTTTGACCTCTGCAGGGAGGAAATGGTTGTTTTCTTTGTACTGTGAGCTAGCACAGTTTTAGTTAACCTGCCCTTTAGTTATGATGTAAGCATGTATTTTTTGGTGTCTAAAGTATATAATGTAAATACATTCATCCTAAACCATTTTTGATTAATTATCATCCACAATGGGTGGGTCGCTAGTCCATCACAGAGCTTCGAAAACAGTGAGGAGAAAGACAATCTGAACTCCTACAGTCATACCTGGAAGCAATTCAGGGTCACAAATGGACCTAACATGCATGTTTTTGGTGAAGAAGCCAATATTCCCAGGACAACACAGGAATGTCCCCGGCTGGGATAAAAAAATGATTGAGTAGGACAAAATTTGAACCATGATGGGGCATCAATCTAGATTGACATTATATCACAAGCATCAACTTTACACCCGCAGAGGAAAATGATTCAGGATCATGAGAGGAAAAGGATAGGTAGAAAGTAGACAGTAATATGTTTTATGATCCATTTTTTCAAAAGGCGCTGAGATATTTGTTCATGCCAAATCAATTAGATTGTGTTAAAAAGGAGATACTTTGGATAGCACGAAAAAGGGTGGAAAAATATAATCAAAATACAGAATTTAGAATTAGTTGTATATAGTTAAATCCAACAAATGGGCACTTTTTTCACAAACAGTGAATAAATTATTTGGGGTGCTTGTGCTTAACCTTTGTTTTAAAATGACTATGATGATACTTTGTATGTGTAAATTATTTTTTAACACTTTCCATGAGATAGAGAGAGAGTTCTCTAACGATGTGTGTGTACATACTTTATGTAAATATGTGTGTGTGTTAATGGTTTGTTTTGACCTGTTTTATATTCATAGCAGTTTATGTGGAGGCAAGAATCATAAAGAAACTACATCTTGTAAATCTGTGAGGAGTGCTCTTCTTCTTTCCCCCAAAACAAAGCATGTTTTTCCTTCTCCTACAGGTGCACAGTTGGAAATCCATACAGCTGCGTAATGGGTTACAAAGCAACATCCTTGTGTTGTGTCTTAAGATGGCTTTGCTTCATGCTCCTCTATTTCTTTAGTGCAGCTCAGGATGAAGACTTGAGAAGTAAGTTAAAGTAAAGAATACCAGCATTTTCTCAAAGTTATTTTTTTATATTTTAGGAACAGTTTAATTCAAGGAACAATTCAAGTGGCAAGGATGATTTTAGCCCTGTAAATGGATTTGAATGAAACTGTTTGATTAATTGAGTCATTGTGTTCCACTAGTACTAATCTATTTCCTGTGCTTAAGGTTGCAGGACTGCACCGTGCGATTTAGTCTTCATTCTAGACGGCTCATGGAGCGTTGAAGACGTGAATTTTGAAATAGTAAAGCGATGGCTCGTCAACATAACCACAAGTTTCAACATTGGACAGAAGTTTACACAGGTTGGAGTAGTCCAGTATAGTGATGACCCCGTCTTAGAAATCCCTTTGGGAAAGTTCTCTTCAAACAAAGACCTGATCAAAGCAATGGAGTCAATCGAGTACATGGGAGGAAACACAAGGACAGGGACGGCCATTAAGTTTGCCACAGACAAACTGTTTGGCTTGTCTGAGCGGGGCCCTTCAGGCGTCTCTAGAATTGCCGTTGTTCTCACAGATGGCAAGTCACAAGATGAGGTCCTGAAAGCTGCAGAGGCAGCAAGGAAAAAAGGAGTAATTCTGTTCGCAATTGGTGTCGGGTCAGAGACAGAGGTGGTGGAGTTGAGGGACATTGCAAACAAACCATTTACAACTTATGTCTTTTCTGTTGAGGACTACAAAGCTATTTCCAGGATAATACAGGTCATACGGCAGAAACTGTGTGAAGGTAAGCAGCCTCTGATCACCAACTTCCTGCTCTGTATCTCAATCATTCTCCGTTCTTTTTAATGGTTTTGTCTGTTACAGAGATTGTTTGTCCGGCCAAAATCGCTGTTGATTCTCGAGATGAGAAGGGCTTTGACATCCTGTTACATTTAAATTTGGCTAAAAAAGCCAAAAAGACACAAGGGGCATTTCAAGGCACGAAAGCCTATGAAGTGACACCGCGTGTTGACTTGAGTGAAGCTACAAGGTAATCACATACAATTCCTATTTGGCCCATTTGATTAGTGTATTCACATGATGAATGCTTTTTCCGTTTGGCATTTAGGACCCTTTTCCCTGATGGGCTGCCTCCATCATATGTTTTTGTGGCCACGCTGAGGTATAAAGGATCGGTGACTATAGAGGAGTGGGACCTGTGGAGGATACAAACTCTTGATGGGAAACCTCAGATGGCGGTGACCCTGAACGGTCTGGAACGTACCGTCATGTTCACCACCACCAGCAACTCGCCCAGTGAAACTCAAACTGTCACGTTTTCACAACAGACAGCAATGGTGAATGAACACATTTTAAAGATCAACTCGGTTAACTTACACAACCACCGTCAAAGCCAGCAAAAACAGATAGGTGTTGAATAATCTACATCAGGAATATACACCTCCTATTTGGGACAGTCACATTTAAATGTAATTCCTCCAAGTTATTTAACTTTGGGAATTTAATAAACATTGTTCAGCCACATATAAGGTGTGGCAATCACATCTAGTTCAATAAAAAAGTTCTACTTTATTCAAAGTGCAATATGTATGTGAAGTGTTATCTCTGGGGGATGCAAGCGACTCTTGAGACTAATCACTTTTTATACAGCCAGAGAGTGAAAAAGGTGATTTACACAATACAGTTCTATTGACTTTTCTATTTTGCACAAAACCTTGGTTACTAGATCTCAAATTTATGGCCACAAAATAAAACTGTAGGAACAAGTAATAGACTACAGGCCTCCGCACCCATCTTTATTATAGTATGCTTTCTTTTTGGTGAAAGTTTGTGGAAAGATGTTTTTTTTATTAAAAAAAGAACTATATTATGGAGGGATTTTACAAGTTTGATTCATCAGGCTGAACATGGATAGACCTGGGAAGCCAAAGTACCGGTAGTAATGATATTTGTCATGGATTTCCAGTTTGATGATGCATTACAGCTCATTCTTTTAAAGAAGCTAAATGAATTACCTTTACCAAATGATGACTCTATGGCTTAAGACACAGATTATAACAAAACGGAAAGAGAATCCATTTGAGTAACGCTCTTTGTAACCTTGAGCCGTACTGTGGTCACACATTATTAAGACTGCAGTTTGTAAACTCAAGACCACAACAGACTGACACCATGACCACAAATTATTCCTCTTAACAGACACCACTGAGACCACTCTGACAATTATAGCGTCCTGAAATTGAAAGTGTGGAGTCATTTTCTCTTGAGGCCACTTGTCAAAGCTCCCAGAGGTTATGGTATTGGTGACTCAGCCTCAAATAGCTCACCAAAATTGAACAGAAAAGGTATTGTTATTCTGATTTAAGGATCAATATATTGCATCTTTGAATGTGCTCTTTAATTCACCTTAACTTTGGAGATTGTAGTGATTATAAAATAAGTATAAATATGCTTTGTACAGAGTAATCCCTGTTCTCCTCAGAATCCTGCTTTAAATGTTTCTGATAACTGGGTCTCCTGAGACTTTTCAGATTTCACCAGAAATCATAAATTCACACAATTTGTGTTGTAACTGCTATTACCATATTCATAAAGTCCAATCGTAGGTACAATAAGTTCAAAATTTAAATAATAGAATCCATCTGTTTCTTTCTCTCTTGGAGGAGGCCTATTTAATGAAAGTTTTTTGTTTTCTCTTCTTCATGGCATTTACAACAAGGATTAGCAATGCATTTTGCTCATTAGAATGTTCATGTTTTAATGAGTACTTCCCTTTTTTTTCTATGCAAATATGAAGCTGTTCGATGAGAAATGGCACCAACTGCGACTGCTGGTCACAGAGGAGGACGTTACTCTTTATGTTGATGACCTGGAAATTGAATCACTATCACTGGAGCCCTCTGTTGGCATTTTCATCAATGGAAAAACCCAAGTTGGAAAATATGTCCAAAAGGACACAACAGTGCCAGTAAGTCTATCAGCATCAGCAACCCAATTTTCATTAAATACATGTTGATTCATTCCCAGATACATGTTTCAAACTGCATCCCACAGTACCACGCAGTTTATTGCTTTCTCCTGTGAGAAATGTTTAACTGTGCGTATATTAAATCCCTCTTCCAAAAGACCTTGTTAACAAGTGTTTTATTTGTCTCAATTGGCACAGTTTTTGCATTTGCACTAAATCATAATTGTGCTGTGTTGTAAATTATAGCTACCTTGTAAGCACGCTGAGGCAAATACATCCTTGCAAACACAGTTAAACATTTTAACACAATAATAATTGTATGGAAAGAAAAGCTTATTTATGCTTAATGTGTTTCATAGTTAATATGATGCAACACTATCATAAAACAATGGCACAAATGACTAATCTACTCAAACCCATATGGAAGCTGTTACGTAGGTTAGGCAAATTCCAACTGTGCAGTAAATGGTGGTCAGATAAATACAATACAAAACTGTATGAAGATGTGTTATTCTTAAATGAAAACTTAGACCAGAAGTAGATGTTGTCTGTGCAAAAAAACAGCAAAACAACATTTTTCTTTCTCAACTACCAGCTTGTCCGTGACCACATCATTAAGGTTGTAAATGTATTCAAATGAACCTTAACTTGGCACTCAAAGTTACCATTTGTGCATGGTAACTTTAATTGCTGAGTTAATGTTTCAAAGAGTTTCAATGAGTTTCACATTATAAATGTTCTTATATAAGATTAATTTCTCTAACTGGAAACAGATTTTTGTAACTGAGCCACTCAAAGCATTTCATGACAAGCCCTTCTCATCTTAAATAACAGCGTACAAAAAAAGCCCTCAAATGCACATGACCATATCATGTTTAGACCTTTACCAGCATTGAAACTTAAACTGAATCAATCATTCAGTGACTATGCAGTTATACCAGTATAGGTGTTTACAGGTACTCATCAGTGTTCAGTAAAACAATATGTTTTGTAATACTGGTGGTTCAGTAAAACCACAAGTATTGTTTTTTTAAGTTTACCCCCAGCTGAGTAGTTCCGATGGTGTTCTTATGAAGCAATATCCAATCTGAATCATGTGTGAGAATCATGCTGTCTGCGGACACATGACCAAAGTGAAACAATCCATCAGATCCCGCTGAGCTATTTCACCACCATCGTTGCCCAAATAACAAATCGTGGAAAAAAGGGAGATGTTGTTGCTTTCAGACACAGAGGGTGGTCCAGCAATGTGTAGCTGCCCAAGTCTTTTCAACAATTACACAATGGCAAAAACTTCATGGCATGGCATTGATAAATTAAGCTTAAAGTTGCGCAATCAAATTCCTTTTCACAACCTTTTTTTTGTTTTTCATGCTTGTGTCAGAGTCAGTCTGAAACTGATTCGTTTTGAAAGGAATTCTCTAATTCTTTTCTTTAGTTTGAGATTCAGAAACTACGCATTTACTGTGACCCTGAGCAGAATAGCAGAGAGACTGCATGCGAAATACCTGGAGTTGTAAGTATGAGCATCTGCTTGGTTTTGCAATTACATAGCTTTTTACCTACTTCTCACCTAGTCCAGCTACATCAGATTTCCTGCAACAGTTCAGCCTCCTTGAACACCATACCCTCTTATACATTACACAGAATGGTACCTTTTTGCTTTATATCTAAATTATGCAAATAAGTGTTGCATAATTGAAATGTACAGAATCTTTAAATGGAGTTGTAAACTCAGCAAATCAGATTTAAGTCGCATCTGTTTATGGATGAAACAGTTTTCTGGAGGAGTATCCATGGATCTGAGTCAAACATGTCTCACCCAGTATATATATCTTCCTGTCATCTGGCTCAAGCTATGCCTGTCAAGTAGGGGCTTTTCATGATGTTGGCTTGGATTTTGCTGCAACAGCACAGTCATTGCCAAATTGCTGCTTTTGATATGAAGCAGCTGATAATTGAAATATCAAAAGGGACAAGATGAGAGGCATGGACTTATACATACTTTTCATTAATAGTTGCCTCTCACCATGTGCTTTTTAGGTGTAATCTTGAAATGTAGTTATCAATTTGCTTTTGAAATGGCAGTTTGGCTGGAGCAGAAAATCAATTTGTACATTGCTGCTACATTCAACACAGAATTATCAAGTTGATAGTTGCACAATAAAGGTCCCAACAGTATGTTTGGACTATATAGACACGGGGTGAAGTAACACTTGCTCATTGCAGTGCTCCAACAGCCCTGATTACTCTGAACCAACTCAAGAACCATGTGTTTGTCCACCCGGACCTCCTGGACTTCCTGGAATAAAGGTCAGTCTTTTTCTCTACCCTTCGTTTTTTTTTTTTGTAAATAAGTACATTTTAAGTAAATATTGTTTAACAGATCCTGACAGTACAAAAATGTACTTAACTCAGCTGCATTTAATAGAAGCATGTGTTTTCCTGTTTGGGATACAGAGAGTGCCCTGTCTGGCTCATCAGTGCTCAGAGAGTTGATTAATTATTGACTTCAAACTGTGGCGGTCTTATGGGGCTAAAAAAGGGGAAAGTGGTTTAATCTTTTACAGTAAACGCTTATGTGTGAAGGCAGGAATGAAGAAGATAAACGGCTTCCTGTTTCTTACACCACAGGCTTTGTGAGATGCGTGCAGAATTACTAAGAGTTGTCTAGATGCTGGAGATAACCATGTGATGAGCTCATGAGGTTCAAATATAGCTCCAGTCCAACTACTGTCAATGAAGCCTATAAACACAGATTTCTTTGTTTTAGAGGTATTTCTCTAATGTTGCCTCAATTCTTTTAAAGCCACCCCTCAATACACTAATGAAAAAAACAAAAACAATTATGTGACTTTTATCCCTTTTTTTCACCACATACACAATCTAAGACTTACACGGAAGTTAGAAAGTATTGGGAGGTGTGGGGGTACCCTAAAGCAAACCAGACCACATCCAAATATAAACACAGATTGGTATGGGAAATGTCCAAACTAGGAAATAGATTTTACATGTTTTTCTCTGTTGATCACAGCATAAGTAATAGCAGCCCTGCTCATAAAAAGCCCCAAGAAAATTCAGACAGATATTGGCTTGGCTAAAGAGGAAAAGAAAAGCATTGAAATCTGTTTATAAAATCGACATGGTTTCAAGCATGTTTGTGTTTATAAGGTCACGAATATGCCTTTACAACATTTACTAATAGATCCAAAATGCTAGGAGCGGTCCTGGCTTGCAGATGTTGCATATGGCCCCACATCGTATGTTAGATAAACCAGCTCACACAGCACAATTAACAGTTAATTAGATCCATTTGGGGGAAAGCCTGATATTACCACGGATCTTTTAGATGGATTCAGTTCACAGCCATGAGACTTCTAAACTTAAAAGATGTTCATCACATATGATTTATTCATGTCTTTGCACGTTCTTTAGGGAGAGCGAGGAGGCACTGGGTTGCCTGGTCAGCCTGGACCTGCTGGTGCTGATGGTAAGCCTGTGAGTACTACATAGTTCAATATACAAATATACAGCACATAATTGGCAGCTTGAGCATCCACAGTCCTGATTTGAGTCAAAGCAGACATCGTCTTAAAAGCTCAAATTTACCAGAGATCTTATTGGCTTGTCTTTGGATCAAATGATGTGCAACTTAAGCATGTAATGCTTAGCCAGAGATTTACTAAAGCACAAATAAAAAAGACAACAACACAGATTTTTTTCATTCCAACAAAACTACTGACTGATGAGCATTTTCTGTCAATAGTGAGAGAATAACTTTTGAATGTGCTAGTTATCATATACTGTATTGCAAATGGGGTATAATTCTAATTCAAAGGAAGCAAAACACTACAGCTTTTACATTCTTTCACATAATATCCCAAAAAAGAAAAATCCACAAGGAAATCAGAAATATAGACGTTTATATGCTTGGTTTGGAAATAAGCAAATAAGCAAATATCCCACTTTTTAGTAATATTTGCTCCCTGTAGATAACCTCTCAATGAAAAGCACTGTAAACTATAAAACATGTTCTACAGCTTGATCAAGAACTCAGAGAAAGATACACTCCCAGGTTTGAGTCACCCCATATTTATGCATAAAGTTAAAAAATATAAACATTTAACCAGTTCTGTATTTCTTTGCTGTTGTTGTTTTTTATCTGAAGGGTATTCCTGGGTTTAGAGGAAGTCCAGGGCAACCAGGTCAACCAGGAATAGAGGTAAAGCAATTAACAACTGATCTGCCTCAGCTTTTTATTCTGTTTCCATCATTAGTGATCATCAAGGGCAGACAATCTGAAGTTCTTTTTCTTTTCCCCCCCCTATTTTGTAAGGGCCCACGAGGACCAGATGGGTACAAAGGCGAGCAAGGGAGGCCTGGCGTTTCGGTAGGAAGGTCAAACACCACATCTGTGACACAACTGAACTGACAACACTGAGGCAACACTTTCGAAAGCATAACTGTGTCTCTTTCAGGGTGAGAGGGGTATACCTGGATTACCCGGAGTCCCTGGAAAGCCAGGAGAGAAGGTGCTGAAGCTGATTGCTTTACTCTGGCATTTATATACACTCCCATTGTGGTTCAGTTAGAATTCAGCTCATGCATGGAAAGTGCATAAAAGGCCCTGGCTGACAAAAGCTGTAAAATATCGATATCTGTAGAAAAACACAAGTTACAGGTAAAAAGTACAAAAACACATTTAACTGTCAAGATTTTTATGAGATCAAAAGTAGGATGGTCAGGAAGTCCCTGCTAGACACATCATCCTTAGATTTGAACATGGTTGCATCAATCACACTGGAAACCATATGTTATAAATATAAAGCCAAATCTCTTGGGTGAGCAGAAATTACAGCTTCTTCACTGAGGGACAGGAGCACTTTGCTGCAAGACCATAAGGGTCATGAGAGACCTTTTCAATGTGTTCATATTTCCTGACTTCTTTACTTCCTCTTCCTTGGAGACCTGCAAGAGTTGCACTTTCTTTACTATTTTTAGGCAGCAGGAGGGAAACACCCTTTCTTTTTCAGGTTCGTCTTTTTTGCTCCTCGCAGCCTCCCATATACTGTACAGGATTTTCATATATCAAGTTAATGATGAGAATCTTTTGTTTATGGGGATCTTTTGTTTATGCTCAGTCATGACTGCACGGCTAGCTGGACGACCATTTAATGTAGTGCTTGAGTGCTTAATTCTTTATTAAACATAGACTTAATTGTGCAACAGAAAGCAATCGGTGACAGGGAACCCCACAAAGAGTGTGTTTTGGTAGTCAGCCACTGCCAAAGAGCTCTTAGGAATGAAGTCACATGGGAGACACACAGTCAAATGCAAAAACTGCATATGACTGTTTTGATTATTATTAAAACTTGAACTTCATTCCAACATGAGGAAAATCCTTTTTTACTTTGAGTACTTTCTTTTCACAGTTGAACTTAAACTGAAGGGTCAGGAACAGCACCGACACAAGCAAGAGCAGCTGTCATTTAGGGTGTTTTTTTCTAAAAGAAACTGTGTGCTGAGCTGTACATCGCCTCACTTTTTCTGCATGTTAGAACTGTGTTATCATAAAAATGATTGATTTTCCTACCTGCGATTCTATTAATTTTATACATCTTGATATTCCATTATGTCATTAATTGATTAAATGGGGCACTGGTCCTCCAACCTTTGAAAAATATTGTGTAGTATTAAATCTGTTTTGTTTTCGATCGACCGAAGAGCCAGAATCACACAGTAAAACACATTGCAACCTGATGTTTCAGTTCTACAAGAGATTTGAATCCCTGTCTGCATCCCTAATGTTAATCAGTGACAGTAGATTTGTGACTGTGCAGACTCACAATGGGTCCCTCCTGATCCAACTGACAAAGAGCTGTCAAATTGATTTTGATTAACATCTGCTTGCATGTTGAAATAAGCCAGGCGTTCTTAAAGGATGGAAAGCAGGACCAATGTGGATACTCTGGAAAGTATCCAATGATTATGTGGAATCTTTTCGCTTTTTTCAGGGTTCGATGGGACCACCTGGAATACCAGGGTTACTGGGGAAAACTGGTCAAATGGTAAGAATGGAGACAACCATAATGGCTAAAAATACAATTCAGTTGTAAAGAAAAATGTACAATATGGCAACTGTAAATTGATGATGTCCTGCTCCCAGGGAGAAAAAGGAAGTATGGGACCTCCTGGACCACCTGGCTTTCCAGGAGAACCTGTATGTTCACAACAACTCAGAATTAATCCAGAGCTAATCTGCCTTTATTGTTGTGCATAAAAATCTCTCTTATAATTTCAGGGTGCACCTGGAAGAGATGGAAAGGATGGAAGTCTGGGGAGAGCTGGTCAAAAGGTTTGCTTGTTTTGAAAGTGTTACATGTTACAAAGATCAGTGAGGGATTAGGGGAATAAAAGAGACATGAAGCTGGATAAGTGGGCACCTTCTTAAAATAATTAACTGTTTCCAAAAGTGTGCTGTTGATGTTAAATGGTATCACAAAGATGCTTGAGTCCGACTTTTTTTGGCCCCCACATGACAACTTTTAAAAACCATCAGCAATGTTCTTTACATTTATAAAAAATATCTATTTGATACATGAAACATGCCATGTAGATTCTATGACGGGTGTGAGTGTCGCGTTACAGTGTGCGTTCCTTAGATTTAAACAACACAGACTCATGCTTTTTTAACTACATTAAGGGGGAAGCTGGAGCCAGAGGTATTCCTGGTGCTGATGGAAGGCAAGGCCGTCCTGTAAGTTTTGAATATGACATCATATATGTTTTAAATTGTGGAAATTGCTTGAACTAATGCAGCTGTCTTACAGTTCTTTTCTCTACTCATAGACATTGATGACTGCATTGATGACTGTACATGACTGATATATAATTAACACAATTGTATAATTACCCAAAAAACTGATTCCCACATGCGAGTGATCCTCTCGGAAAAAGAATAGCAAGATGGCCAAAAGTCATTGACTTTGTAGATCATAAAGAGTTGCATGAATAAAGTTTTTATAGTATTAAGGCTGCCGTGTGTTAACTGTCAGCAGTGCAGAGACTACCACGGACAGACCGTAAATTAGGGGTATTTCCCCTGCAGTTCATTTTAGGATAACCCCATTATGTAATAAACAAGCCCAGGCTCTAATCTAAGGCAGAAAGAGTGACTTGTCAAGGGAATGCAGTGGTACTCCGGCGAATCTGTTTTAGGAAGAAAATGTTTCAACTGGGCAGCCATCCCACTGATCATAATTTTGTTTGTGATGGGTCTACAAAAGATGAGTCAGTTACTCCAGAAGGCTGCAGGCCATTTTCCCCCCATCAGTTTGCCATGTATTCAAGAAGACCGGAATAGTGCCATACTTCCTCAAGCTAAAATGAGATGCAGTGCTTCACTGTGGGTCTCCTGTTTGACAGCATCTTTCAATTCATGTTTTAGTCCATTTAAATGCAATCAATCTGCATCCCTTGTTTTGTTTTCACTTCCTCCCTAAACCTGTGGATTAACCAGGCACCTACGAGTATTTATCTCTCAATAAAAGTAGCTGAAATTGAAAACTAATAAGACTATCCAGAAAATCCCTGAAGCTGAAGCAACATTTAGAGCACGAAATTGCTTCCATATATTCAGTTCGTACATGTTGGTAGACTATTTTTTGATGAGCATGCATAAAGGGAAGACAAGGGAAGAAAATTTCTAAATAAAAAAAAAAGAAAGAACTAATGTAACAGCAAAATCCTGTGTGATTAAAAAATAAGAAACTGCACACTATATTACAGGAAAACAAGTCTTTCAGCTAAAACACGCCAGTGGTTTGTTGATGCCTCTTAATGCGCCTCATGACTGCACCCAGTTAAGCCCAACCCTTACCAGTGCCAAAAGGGAAATACAGCTCATATGTGTGTTTCCACATCAGAGCAGATGTCATTCTCATGACTTTGGATAAAGAAGCCGCAAAATCCACATAAAGCGGAAAAAGGGGGGTATGAACAGAGCATCTAAGGGGTTCAATGGCAACTATGCATTTTATGAAATGATGTGATAACGCTTTATTGAAACAATATATTTCCCCTACTTGCTGTTCTTTTTGCAAAAACCTTACTTGATAAGGGTGAGAAAACAATTATAAGATGAAGCGTTCCATTTCAACACAGCTGTGATCCTCATGAATTCGACGTTACCACATCCCACATCCATGTAAACATAATGAGTGGTAAGGAGGACAGAGTAAAACATACTATCTGATCTTATTCAGGCTGGTCAGAACATAGCTTTATAATATTTATATTTCTGTTTCTTGTCATCTTCTTTCAGTAAAGAAAGCTATTCAACTGAATAAATACAACTCTATGAAATGTTTTAATCTGTTTCACTCCCAGGGTATGCCTGGATTAACTGGAACCATAGGCCAGAGTGGACAAAAGGTAATACGTTCATGATTTTTCTTTCTAAAAGAATCTTAACAATAGTGTACCATCATTGAATGTGATTCGATTTAACTGAAAATATTCTTATTCAAGGGAGAAGCTGGAGAGGCTGGACCACGCGGCTTTAAAGGATCAACTGGACCACCTGTGAGATCATGACTGTTGGATTATTTGTAACTAGATGCAATGCTTGTAAAAAGCTTAAAGTGAATCAACGAAAGACAATACAAAAACAATGTTCTTGCTCTATGGCAGGGTGAGATGGGTTTACCTGGTGTACCTGGTTTAAAAGGACCACCTGGACTCAAGGTAATCAGTTATAAAAGCAATTTATTAAAGCTTCTTTAATGTGTTAGTCTGGCCACTAAAACATGGCAACAATTGAAACTGTGATCTGTGTTCTCATTAACAGAATGTGAAAAGACTAACATTTTTTTAATGGAATAAATTCTGTATCTTGAAAGTGCTAGCATAGGCAACAGGTGAACAAGTGATTGGAACTGACCTCAGACAATGTCGCAAAACTGAGCCCAGAGCAGCAATGTGTGTTCATGTTGCAAACTGTATAAAAACCCATTGAAAAACTGCTAAAAGTTTAGGAACATGGTACTTGAAGATATCTAGGCAAGTAACAGAAAGAAAAATCTGGAAATTTGCTCGGTTCAGCAGTATTACTTGTTTTGTTTGGTCACTGTTTTGCTAAACTAGACCAACAAGTAAAGATGTCTTGGCAACACCAGTGGAGCCAAAACAGTGATCCAGCTGTATTGCTTTTGCCAGTGGAATTTTAGTGGAAATGTAAGCAGGCTTGAATTTTCTGGTCTGGACACTGTGTCCTAATCCTTTTTCATTATCCTTCTTTTCATTGGCCAGGCAGCTTTTAACAAGCAATTGTTTATTAGTAAATGGTGCACAAATGTAACCTACTTTATTTACAAGCAGGTAATGCTCAGACTTTATGATATAACTTCAGAGTACAATTACTGAGGCTTGCTCGGCATGAAAAGGAAGCATGTGAGGACATATGATAAAGATGAACCTTTCAAATCCCTGGATGTCATGCATCAGTGAAAATAAACGATGACAGCTGCCAACTGTTTTACATTTTCTAACTAGCATTGTCATTGAATGTTTTCTCAAATAAAATATTGTTTCATTTATTTACCAAGGGGAACAAGGGTGAAAATGGAAGCCCTGGGACAAAAGGAACACCAGGGCCACTGGTATGTTTTCCCATGTAAATGCTCTAATCTGAAGTGTGCATCTTTGTCTCTGATTTTAAATGAATTGAGAATTAAGCATAATACATCTGCTGAATGACAATAAAATGTTGTGTCCTGAATTGAACTGAAGGATTTTTGCCTTGTTTGGTTGGTTTTACTGAACACATTTAAAGGGGAGTGAAGGACAACCAGGAAGAGCAGGTGAGCCAGGACACCCAGGCATGCCAGGCCTAAAAGGAAGCAAGGTATTTAGTTTTTTCCCCACTATTTTATAATGCCTCTTTTCAATATTTTCAAACTTTATCTATTGCAATATTCAAAATGTTGTTTGTTGACGTGTTTACTTTCCGCTATAGTACAGAAATGTATGTCTTCTTTTCTGCCAGACATTTTAAAATGAAATCATGAGATGATAATGTGTGATTTTTCAGGGACAAAGGGGAAATCCAGGCGAAAGAGGAGAGATGGTAAGAATTTTAACTTAGTGATAAGAAGGATTGCTTAGCAAAACTATCATAGGTCTTTTCTAATAGAATCATATTTCAGAACTTCCATTCAAAGGAGACATGAAAACATATTTATGATTTTCAATATTCAATAGTTCATTTTGCTTCCTTACTATCAGGCTAAAACCTCATTATTCCATCTTGATATCCTTATATTCTATTGTAAGAATCTAAATTAAAAGTTGGTCACCCTTCACATATGCAGAAAATTAAAATGACAATGTAATGTAAAATGTAATTGAAATGATATTTAATACGATTAGTGGAATTATACTTTAATGTACAGCAATTCTATTAAAACACTGTGTGGATTCCTTTGCCCGGATTTCACCTGCCATTATAAAAATGAACCTAATGCTTACCTAAACAGGGAATAAAAGGCGAACAAGGAGAGCACGGTCGGCCAGGTGTTCAGGTGAGTGTCTTCAAATCACACATGCTTATGGAGAAAAACCTGAATGGACACAAAATATGGCATGTTCTTACTCACCATTTTTCTGATGCAGTCTTAAATGACTCGTCCTTATTTTGATTGCTAGGGGTCACCTGGTTCAGGGGGGGTGAAAGGAGAGGTAGGTTTAACCGAATTAAGTGATTGGTTTACTTTAATACAACATGTATGGGTATATTTCTAACAAAAGGGTGTTCTTGTCAGAAAGGGACAACAGGGGATCCGGGGCAGAGAGGACCAGAGGGTCAAGTGGGGCGGCCTGGACAGCCTGGTCAATCAGGCCTAACTGGCCCCCGAGGGCTGCGGGGAGACACCGGCCCTCCTGGTCCCCCCGGACCTGAAGGAAGATCAGTATGTTTCAGACACCGTCTGCCTGTGAAAGGTCATAATCATGACGCTGTGATGCAAAGCGATGTGTGAAAACCCATCATGTGCTCTCATTTTATCCTCCAGGTGAATGAAATGTCAGAGAGTCACATTCGGCAGATCTGCAGAGAGATTCTTCAGAGTGAGAAGCACCACAAACTGATTTATGAGCTGTTTTTGAATAATAGCTCCCATCTGACATTTTTTCACTGTCAACACTCCTAGCCGAGCTGCCTTCATTGTTGCTGAGCAACCAGCAAAGTAGCTGTACCAGATGCCAAAGCCAGCCTGGATCCCCCGGTCCTCCAGGTCCAACTGGACCCCAGGGAATTCGAGGTCTTCCGGGACTCAGTGGTCCCAGAGGTCAGCCAGGCCACCCCGGTCGGCCCGGGCATCCCGGTATAAACGGCCTCAAAGGTAGGAGCAGTATCAGATCAGCAGCGTATCAATAAGATTATTTTACAGGATTTCTCGAGCAAGAACACTTGTGTTTGCAGGAGAACCAGGCAGCAGAGGTGAGGACGGGAGCCCTGGTCGTGTCACGATTGGAGATCAAGGGCCACCCGGACCCCCGGGTGAATAACTTAACACATTCAGCAATACCAAAAACCAGTGTTTTGATTTACTGAATCATGTCAAAGCTTTTTTTTAATGCATTCTTTAAAAGCAAATGTAGCCCTTGTGCTATAGATTTGAGGTAACTGGTCTTGCCACTTGTATGTCCACAGGTCCCGTGGGTCCTCAGGGGTACAGCAAACCAGGAACTCCAGGAAAGCCTGGACCGTCCGGTCTGAACGGAGCAGAGGGGAAAAGTGGTCATCCCGGGCCTCCTGGCCAGCCGGGTGTATGCGACCCCTCCCTGTGCTATGGTAGTATGATGAGAAGGGATCCCTACAGCAAAGGCCCAAATTATTGACGTAGCGAAGCATCACTGCAGGCACCAGTCCGAAGCTGATGCAGAACAAACAGCCATTCTCAGGAAGATCTCATCATTACAGTTTTTCTCTGTCACAGAAACTCAGTGTACCTCTTCTGACACTTTTAAAGTGATTTCAGTCAGCATTTTAGTTTTAGTCTTATGGTGTTTTGTAAGATTATTCATGCTCATCCGAGCGCCTTGAACTGTTACGTTAGTGTGGCTGGTACACTTTCCTACATTGCCCTCTGGTGTTCCTTTACTGCACGTTGCCCTCTTTTATTTTCACTCCTCAGTCAGTGGGTGCTACACAGTATCTTTTTTTTATAAAAACAAAACACAGCAAAAAAAATGTACATAAATGACAAGTTAGCATTTTTTTAACCAAACTTTATCTATGATAATGGTATGTTTCATCACAGACCTGTGAGTTTGATTTCCTCCTGCTGAATATGAGCTCCTGTAAGCCTGTGTTCTTTTAAAGCGTTCAGTTTTGACCGCTGAGCATGAAATCTTTTCACAGCAGCTACTTAATCTATTGCCTGCGATAAATCGATGCTTATCATCAGTCTACATTCAACCAAATGTATGTTCCCCAGGCTTACTTTTTAAAAAAAAAATTACTGTAGCAGGTATTTTATTGTTATTTATAAGAGTGTCAAAATGGTGTATTTCAGCTGTGCCAGTGCTTCAACAGCTTTTGTAATGTTATTATTTTGTGGCTTTTGTATGATTTGTTTTCTCTCTTTTTTTTAAAAACTAGAATTAAAATATCTTATTGATCGATGATCTTCGTTTACCACATATTTTCCAAAACTTCCACTTGGAAGTTTGAGGCTTACCTCAGCACTGCATCACATTACTCAGCTCATCTGTTTCCATGGAAACTCCCCGTGCAGGTTCTTCTGCTGAAGTTTCTGTTGATACTTCAGCGTTCAAAAAGGCCTGAAGCACGATTGCTGTGGAACAAACGGTCCTCAGCTGGTTCTTCCGAGGAGGACGCCTGTGGGGAACTAGGATGAGGCTGCTCCAGCTGAAGACTCTCCTCAGTCGCTAAGAGGAGGACCGGAACTAAGATGCAGGCGCGTCGACTGTCCGCTAGATGGCGGTAACCCCCCACGCGAGGCATCGATCCCAGTGACCAACATGACCAACATGTTTGTGGCCGTGGCCCTTGATCCCAAATCACATGAAGAGAATGATCGAATAAAGCTTCTCCAGATTTCATTTCTCTCCTAAACGTATTTGTTACCATAATTTAATTTATTCATTTATACATCTCCACTCAGAGGGGTATTTTCTGAGTTAGGGTTGTGGCTTCATATTGACTCTTATAAAAGAAAACTGACTCTATCTATTTCCTTTTTATTGGATTGGACTCGATTAAAATTCTGTCCTACAATTGCCTATTTGATTATCTAAATATATGTGTTTGTGGACGCAACCCATGAAAACAAGAAACTTGGCTGGTGTAGTCTCTTCAGTGTTCTCTATTTCTATTTGTTACGTTTGTTTCAGTATTTCATTGTGTTTTTAAGAAAAAATACACCGGGGTGAAAGCAGTTGCTGTTGTGGATGAATGCAGCTGAAGTTCTCACCTGTAAACACGCGGACTTCAATAACTTGAGGTGATTAAAAGGCTCTGTCATTATTCTTTCACTCGTTAAGACCGGGCTCTCGGATTTCAAGTGTCTCCTTTTACACTCCTGGGCCGCCACATTCATCATGGGACAGGGCTGAAGTTTTATTGCGACCGCTAGAGGAGGATGCAAATATAAAAGTCGAGTGTGGGATGGACCCAAAGGGCAACTAGTCCCAATACACACAGAGAGAGGGTGGGGGGGTGGAAGGAAACGAGCCGGGGCATGAGTCGAGTCCTTCTCTCTTCTCATTTTTTGACACAGTTCACCACATTTCATCCACTTGGAAACTCCGAGTAATCCCTCAACGTGCTGGGCGTACCTACGTGTTTTTTCATGACAGAGGAGTAAGGTGAGGGACGGGGTCACGGCTCCATATATACTTGGCGCGTCGGGGCTCTGGATGGGCTCTTGGAGGAGTAAAAACTGCGGGGGAAAGCTCGCACACAGGACAGGAGCGGCGATACCCACCCAAACAAGCCGGTGCCCCCAAGTTCCCACCGTTTAAACCCTGGTGCGACTGATATGGAAAGTCTATGACTCCTTGCTGGCAGACTTTTAAACACTTATCCTCACAGTGAGCAATGTAGTTCACCATCGCACTATCAAGTGGGCTATTTGTCACGATGACAGCGCTTACACCTATGAACCGTGCGCTTCTGGGACTCGCGTGGAGCTGTCTGAGTTTTCTCTCCTGCGCGCAATGCGCCTTAAGTGACAACCATGTGCACTCCAGCTTTATTTACAGGAGGTTGCGCAATCACGAGCGCAGGGAGATCCAAAGAGAGATCCTCTCCATCCTGGGCTTGCCTCACCGTCCGAGGCCCTTCTCTCCCGGGAAGCAGGGCTCCTCCGCGCCGCTCTTCATGCTCGATCTGTACAATGCCATGGCCGTGGAGGAGGAGGAGGAGGCGCTGCACCGGGGCGCAGCGAAGAGCCTCGGTGCCAAGGCTCAGGGGCATTCCAGGAGAAGCTACTACAGTCCCCAGCATGCCAGCTACTCCCGTGTGGCGCAGCCCTACCGAGCGGCCCCTCTGCTGGGCCACAGTCCAGCCCTCAGCACGGCGCATGACACCAACTTCCTCAATGATGCTGATATGGTCATGAGTTTTGTCAATTTAGGTGAGTTTCATTACTGTGGATTGCTATGCCAATCAAAATGAATAAATTAATGTTTCAGTCGAAATTGGATGCTTGTGATTCCCATCAACAAATAGACTGACATTGTTTGGATATCTCAAATATGTCTTCAGTTTATAGGCCTTCCGTAGAAATAAATGGCTTGTTTTTTCATATGAGAATTTATTTTTCAATCCATAATTTCAGAACTTTGGCCAACCATATATACTAGAATGCAACTCATGGCCTGCTTGTTGTGTTGCTGACATAATATTACTATTATTTATTTACGCGTGTAGATTGTATGACACCGAGAACTAAATCATAAAGCAGAAAAGGAGGGAGGGCGTTGGGAAAACGGATCTGACTAACTTTAATTTAGCAGTAACTATTTCTGTGACTATTATCTTAGACAAGTATATTAAGTATATAAATTATATTTAAAAGTATACATATATGGGCACATTTTCACACATCTGTCACTATCAGTGTCTGCAGCTTCTTGTGTGAAATGTTTTTGTATTCAACAGAACCCTTATATATTATAATTTGATCTGGTCAATTTGTGTTGTTTTCTATTAAAACAGCTGCCAATATATATGCTAACTGCATTTGTTCGGTAGCTGCAACCCTTAACCCGGCAGTTCAGAGCAGCTTATCAGATGACTGTCTGACCTTGAGAAAATTGGTCTAAATGATTTCCTGTTGTTAAAAGGGGAGTGATATTGATGGATGCCAGTGTGTGGGGATCTGTCGCTTAAAGAAATAATTATCCTCCTCTGACAAATTCAGTCATTTCAAGCATTTTATTGATCTTTCAGGAGAACTGGATTATTAGTCATGTCACATGGTGAGTTACCAAAATGTGGAACACTTCAGAGCCTGAAATGATTGTTTGAAAATATTCACAACCAGCTGTACAACCAATGCAGTGTTGGTGGGGACTTTATTCCTAAAATATTAACTAAAGCATACGTCTAAGTGTATTTGTGTAACATTGGGGGAAACGATAAGCCCTCACCTTGGTCTTAGCCCATCTGTTTCCAATTACAACTATACCAGAGCATGTACACTTTCAGCCTTGAAAGCTCTGTTCCAGTTCTGGTGACTGTCAGTGAAGGGCTCAATGGGCCTCTGTCTTTATTACAGTGCACTCAAAGATAGCAACTGACCTCCACTGTTTTAGATACTTCTATGCTTCACATGCTGTTTAATATGTTTACTGTGACCATGTGAGTTTTCAAAATATCAATAAAAGGTCAGTCGTTAAAAACTCCAGTAAAATTCACAAAGACGACTGAAGATACAGCATTAAAGTGCCAGTTATTTGATAATCTCACTCCGGTCCTGGTAAAGCAGGCAGGATTTAATTAAAATGCATCCGAACAAGGATGCATGTTCTTCTTGGCGGGGAGTAAAATCATTATTATTGAATCTTTAGCCATTTGAAAGTTAAAAGCTCTTTATTCTCTGTGGCACTTCTGCTTCAGATTACAGCCTGTGGCTAATGTAATGGAACACACTCAGTGGGTAAAAGTCAGGTCTGACCTCTGACCTGTTTGTGCTAAGTAACCACAGGCGTCTTCTCTCGATAAAATATCAGGGAAATGCACTCCACGATATCACCACCTTTCACAAAGTGTCCGCTGACCACAACCTACCAGGTAGGGTGTGAGACAGCCCATGCCACTCTGCTCTTGTGATTTTTTACATGTGATTTTGTTAATAAAGTTATTCTATCAGATAAGACATCCCTCTGGAAAAATTGTACATTGCTTATTTTATTAGGGAAATTTAGTTTGAATGCGAAAATATACTTAAATTCTCTGTAGGGATTTTACCAGAGGTCAGTAGGGGGTCAGAAATGAGGTCGCAGTAGAGACTCCCGTGGTGTTGAAGAATCTTGTCTGGTCTTTTCTCCCACTTGAGGAGCAGACGAAAGTGTCTTTAATTGAAATCAGCCTGTTTTTCTTAACTGACAGCCCATTCATCATGGCCAGAGAATGCAGTAAGGCACACAGTAGAGGGCCTGTCTGGGAACTGCTACCTGTATTCAGTTGACTGATTTAATGAACTGGAAAGTGCTTTTGTTGGTAGTCAAAATGTTTGTATTGGAACACGAATGGAAAGGAAGATGTGATAGATGATTCCTTTTTCTGCGGGCTTTGCCTTGTAGCAACAAGGTGAACACATAGTTCATATCTAGATTTGTTGGCAGTAGACATGAAAGTTTATCATCAAATATTTTCTTTTCACAGTGGAGAAAGATAAAGATTTTTCTCACCAAAGAAGACACTACAAGGAGTTCCGTTTCGATCTGACTCAGATCCCAGACGGAGAGGCGGTGACTGCAGCAGAGTTCCGGATCTACAAGGACCGCAGCCATTCTCGTGACGACAATATCACCCTGAAGGTTACAATATATCAAGTCATCAAGGAATATCAGAACAAGTAAGTTGTAAATTGACTAAATTCACACTTTTTGGATAGAGGTTGTCAGTGAAAAGGAATATTTTCACAAGTGATGTTGTAGTTTCAAAAGTTAAAAATGTTCTTTGGTACTAAATAATTTCAAATACTTTTTAAGCCCTTATGCAATGCATTAAGGAAAAAAACTGAAAAAAGCAAGCATTTAATCAGTCAGCCTAAATTCGGCTTCTATCTGTGATAACCTCTGTGATTATATTTGAGTGATTCAATGTAACCTTTTGACAGGGGCCCAGTGAAACACTCATACCTGACAATCTGAATATAAAGTGATGCATGATGCATTCAGTTCCACTGATTAAAGGATATTTCACAGGCTTTAAAGATTATACTTTAAAAAAAATTCATAATATGAAGTTGACCAAGTTGATCTTTGACATTTGAAAGAAAATTAATTTGGCCTTGAAAAATTGGGTCTCACAGACATTTTAAATGAAGAAAAATGTCAAAAAAGATCTCTATCAAGTTAATTCTACGTCATCTGATATTCTGAGAAACACAGAGAAGACAAGACTTTTCACATTATGAAATAGCCAAGAGAAAATAAATCTAGTTATTAACTGTAAAACAATATCAGCGTGTTCAGTCTTATTTAACAAGAATAGCAAATACTCTCTCATCAATTCTTTCCCTTTCATAGTTGAAACTTTACACCGCTAACAAACATCATTCTATCTGAAACTCTGCTCTTCTTCATTCTCACCATGTCTGCCTTACAAATATAGTTCTCGGATAAAGAGAAGCAAGTTGGCCACTTATGCTGCTTGGAGGTCCATCAGTTATCACCCGTCTTATGTTGCCTGCCAAGCTGGCGATGTCCCAGCTGAAACCCATATTAGGGGGAAAGGGGCTCCCTTGGGTGCTCCCATGATCACTGTTATGCCCACCACCTGCCTGTCTTAACAATATTCCGGAAGTTTAAAGCATGACATAGCTGAATACACAAGGGTGCACTTAAAAGTGGGCCCACATTTGCTTGCCAAAAATGTGTGGGTGATTGAAGGGAAGATATGGCCCTCCTGGGCTTTGAAAAGGTCTAAGTCAATGGACTCTGCCATCTTAAGGGGGGAGTGTGCTCGGTTCATGTTTTCACACATGTTTTCACCAAGAACAAGGCATTTGAATTAGTGTTCACAAAAACGAACAAGTCATCTTAACGTCATCTCAACTCAGTGCTTTTTCTTTTCAAAGCCGTACGCATCTGTGCTTTCTGTTACCATATCAGACTGAATGCTGCTTACACAAAATCTGCACACGCAAGTTTCTCTCTGCCAATTATTTTCAGCTGGCTTATCCTACAAAATCCATATGTGAACTCACTCATGGATAAAAAAAAATTGTTACCATTTTGTGGGGTTATCAGATGGGGTTTAAGATTCTGACAATGTTTTTAATAACAGTCTCATTCAGTCAAGTCAAGCAAAAAAATCCTCTTGCCCTCTTCTCCCTCACGTCATGACTTCCAAAAGAATTTTTTAGGGTTATTTTGAGGTTGCAGTTGAAAGAGTTGGAAGAAGCTACTTTTTTAACAGTTGTGTGAGTACTTAGTTTGTTTTTTAACTTAATTTGGATCAAACTTAGGTCCCATCTTCATCTTCCTCTATGAGCCAATGTTATCTCTTAAAATAATTCACATATTTCAAGATCCTACTTTGTGCAACATCATGTTCTGAACAAATTATTTTCCATGTGGGCTTTGTAAGTACTAAATACTTTGTACCAAAATTGAATATGTGTGATCTTAAACACAAAGTCCTTTAGAATAATAATTTAATTTATAGAATACATTTTTTTTAAACTTCTGTTTAAATCTGCATAGTCATTTACAGTGTAACATGTATAGGCAAAGTACAAAGTTTTATATCACGTTGTTAATCTTTTTATATTAAATGGATCTCAGTCCCTCTTTGGAACAGTATCTCTAAATCACAGATCAAGGTTTGAGGTAAACATTTTTCTTAAATGTGGCCATATAATTGTCTTACTCTAATCCAAATTAAATGTCAAAAAGATGAAATGAATAAATTATACAGTCTTTCCTAAAGGAAGTTTAGCTGTACATTCTTGATAATTATTGATCCAGAGCTTTTTTTCACCTTTAATAAATACACAAATGGTTCCTAAGCTTGTGGGGCCATATGGGAAACCTCAGTTGTCTCCAGCCAGTACCACATAACCACAAAAACTTAACATCTGCTGCCTTATCCGATCTACCACTTGAAAGGAATCCAACTCAAATTGTGAAGCAGAGCTTTTCCAAGCTAGGTTTGATTGATGCCTTGTGTCAAGCTTATGCTGAAAATACACAAAAGCTGATGTACAAGATTGATAACTCCTGTAAGGTTTTGTCCATCAAATAGCCGAAGTCTTGTCTCATAATTTTACCACAAAATCCTGCAGTTTGTTATGCTTAACAGCTTTTACAACAACTGAAACATTGTCTTTTCATGTCCGGCAAATACAAGTACAATGAGAATTCTTACTTGACATTCTTTCATTAAGATCTGTTTATCTGTCAAATGGAGAAAGATACTTAGGTGATTAAATATGAACATCCTTATTTATTCAGTCCAGCAGTTTAGGATTTCTCTCTATATTCAATATATAAACATATTCAAATGTATTTTTCATTTTCTCCTTACTTTAAGAGATGCAGAAACATTCTTGCTCGGCTCTAAAAAGGTCCAGGCATCCGATGGGGGCTGGCTAGTATTTGACATAACAGCCACCAGCAACCACTGGGTGATGAACCCGCAGCAGAATCTGGGTCTGCAGCTCTGTGTGGAAACTATTGACGGCAAGTGAAATTTTGCTTTTGGTTCATTTTGCTCATCATTTGAACTGTCTGCAGGATTGTTTCAGATTCATGCTCTGTGGAAAAAAGACAATGGCTGCATTGGATAATAAAGGCCAAACACTCCGATTTATTTTTCAAGACTAGAGTTCCTTGAAATTAATTCATTTCAATATAGAAATAAAGCTTAATGGTTGTATTTAAAATTCAGATCCCCAATTAAGCTAGTCATAAATATTACTGAATCGGCAATATTCTTAATGTTTGAAGGTTTTATTTGCTTTGTGTTTTCTTAAAGGGAGAAGCATTAACATAAAATCTGCTGGAATAATCGGGAGGAACGGGCCCCAGTCCAAACAGCCGTTCCTGGTTGCTTTCTTTAAGGCCAGTGGGGTGTTGCTTCGCTCTGTCAGAGCCGCTGGTGGGAAAAAAAAGAACCACAACCGCAATAAATCTAATAATCAACAAGAATCATCAAGGCCACCGAAAACTGGCGGTGTGTGCACTCATGATGCAGTTACGATATGAATCTTTTTTATGATTTCTTTGAACACATCTAGAAGTCCACACAGTTTACAGTTTTGTCACTGGCAATATGTACATTTCATCTTCAAATGTATTTTTAGATCCTTATTATTCAACAATTTTTTTTAATGGTTTTAACTTCTCTTTTCTTCTTGTTGATTTAATTGATTAACTGTTGTAAGTATTTCTTATCAGTTTCTGTCCCAATAAATTAAGCTAATCTTTTTCAGAATATAACACCAGTGAACAGAAGCAAGCTTGTAAGAAACATGAGCTGTATGTCAGCTTCCGAGACTTAGGCTGGCAGGTAACTCACAATTATCTGACATCTTTTTTTAAATATGTTGCTCCAGCTACAGTTTTTTTTTTTTTTTTGTCAGACCGGTGTTGGTTAACTGTTCTCCTTTTGTGAAGGATTGGATCATTGCACCGGAGGGCTATGCAGCGTTTTACTGTGATGGTGAATGCTCGTTTCCACTCAATGCCCACATGAATGCAACAAATCATGCAATTGTACAAACCCTGGTGAGTATCATTAAGATTGAATTGCACTTGCGCCCATGAATTCATATTATGGGCTAATAATGTCCTTACGCTTTCAAATCCATTTGAAACTCAATGCTGTTGCACCTCTTTTAAACCTGCTTTATGTATGGTCTCATTTATAGGTCCATTTAATGTTTCCTGACAATGTGCCAAAGCCATGCTGTGCCCCAACCAAGCTCAACGCAATATCAGTACTCTATTTTGATGACAGCTCAAATGTCATCCTGAAAAAATACAGAAACATGGTAGTCAGATCTTGTGGGTGCCATTAGTTGTAAAGCATTCAGAGGTAATTTATGCAGCCTGATGTGGGAATTGCTGGAAAACACGTCTGCTGCAGGTGTGATGTGATGTTAAGTGTTATGTATATATTGTGTTATTACTTAATTTATTTTCTTTCTCAAAATAGCACTGAATATTGTGATATTTAAATGTTTAGGACAAAATGTTGATATTTACTTTATATTAGTTATCATTTTACATCTGTGTCCTTTGGCATATACTCTCATCTATATGATAACTCTCATGAGTAAACTGTTCACTGGAGTTATAGTCATTGCTTCCCCTTTTGCTTGTATTTTCTCTGCATATCAAAACTGTGTTGTATATACTAAAGGAATTACACTTCTTAATAAGTATATGATATGCCTAACTTCTTATGTCATTTTTCTTTTATTAGATCATACCAATAGTGGTTCATTCACAGATGACAAGGTGACAAATGTAAAGTACAGGGCCACACGTTACCTTTATGAACAGGGGAATTGTCAGGGTCATGGCGTTAGAATGAACTTCACAAGTCTATCAGGGTGTTGGAAACAGCATAAGTCAAACTGAATAAAAGTGGACAAAAAGTAGGGGTTCTCTGTTCTGAAGCAAACTGCCTGAAGCTCTTTTCAAGCTGTCAACATGTATCAGTGTTGATACTGTTTCACATTCTCCTCTTCTGTCTCTCATACTATGTGTGTGTCACTTTGCAGCAAATATATCTGTCTATCATTATATTTCTATATCAATATCTATATATTTCTATTGTTGTTATTTGAATTAACACTGTTCCACAGTTCCTCATTTCTTCTGAGCATAACTAAAGATACTGTGGTTCCATGCTAACTTTAGCAGATGTTTTGGAAGCATATCATAATGTAGATTGTTGTGAATTTGAATAAATGTACTTCTTTAAAGTTCTTAACTGTTTACAGAGTATTTGTTGTGCCATTTTTCAGCCTAAACTATCTATATGTGTGGAACCCCCCACCCCACCACCTCTCCCCTGATGTAAGCCTTTTCAAATCCATCTTGTTCTTTTGTATGTCTGTTTGGAACTTTGCGGATGTTTTGCATTCTGTTGCCGGACTACGGTCTGAGATTTATAAATGTTTAGCAAGCATGATATAAACTGTTGACATGCTCTCAGGGAGTGGTAATACTAGTGGTACAGTGCAAACAGTAAAACTGTTGGGATCTCCATACCGAACTTCAGGGTTTGTGGATCATGGATCAGTTCTGCTTACTTGTATTTTGTAAAATCACATTTTGTATTTTGTCATCTGTTTAAGGCTAAACTCCACCCTTGAGAATGAAACAGCGATCCTAAACAAAACAGAGGAAGAGTTATTGCTTCCATTTCATTCAAGATCAGCACAATCCCCAGAAAAAGTGCAAAAGATGTCCCATTTCCAGAGGAGGACTCTGAATACAGAGGGATGTCAATGGCCTTGGAAATGTAGGGATTAGGTTAAGGATTAATTTTTATTTACACAACTGTGTTGACCTTCAGTGAGCACAGGATACGTACTGTTACACCTTTTCAACCCTCTCCTTCCCAATTTTTTAACCTTTTTTTCTCTGACATGGCAGAACATTGAGTGACTGTATTTCACTTAATTAAAAGCAGTGGCTGGCCAGCCCAGATGTTATGTGGGCTCCATCGAAAGAGGAGTGTTGACATTCAGTGAATAGAAGAGGCCACCTGCTAACTTAACTCTTGGCTTGAGGGGTGATTTGCATTCCTGTGGCCTGTTGCCTGGCATGATTACTCCTCACACTTAACAATCCCATCTACTGTTAAATATCATGGACTCTTTCCAATTCGGCTACGTTTCTTTTTCGTAAGTAACCCAGAAGCCGCAATGAATGAGCTTCTATTTAAGTTCACCAAAACGACCCAACCCTTTCAACAGCAACCTCCTGACCACATAAAAAGAAAGGGTCACAATTGCCATAATCAGATTGATTAATATAGTGAACCCTGCTCCTCGGAGACCTCTGTGGTATAAAAAGAGACCAGCAATGAGTCAGAGGTGCCTTGACACTCGTCTGAAGATCACATATCTTTGCCACAGCTGAATTATGCTGGGAAAAGGCCACAACCCCTGATTGTTTACTTATTTAAAACTTATTTCCGTGAATTATTCATGCATCATTACCTTTGGTGTATGTATGTCACAGCACATTGTTGGCTTTTCATAAATATAGATGCATAATGTCAAGATGTATTTCCAGGTGCTGATATTAAGGTTTTCTTTTTTAACTCCCTTATTCTCTTCCTTGATTTGAAAACCAGACGTGTCCCTGTCAGCATCTGCTAGGAACATATGCTTTTATTCAGCAAATGTGATGTATTCATTAAGGAAAGAAGCTGCTTACTGGGAGGGAACTGGCAGTGTGTCAAAAGTCACAAAAGGCTGATAATTCTGTTCGTTTCACTGTTATCTAAACCATTGCTCGCGGGACAAACATCAACGAATGCTGCACAGCAAAAACAAAATGCTTATGTAACATGCCACCAATCTTGTTACAGCACCGGTGGAGAGGGTTTCTTTGCCTGAGGCCACTCACAGATGTCACGAACAATGTAGCGACCGCAGTTGAAATAAAAAAAAAGATTAGTGATTTTGTATTTTGTGGCGGTTTTAAAAAGAACTCATATATGGTGTGTAGTAGAACAGTGCCTTCATTATCCATACTAAAAACCTACATTTCTGTACAATTATTAGAAATGTCATAGTATATAAAGAAGAGGGATTACAAAAGTATAGAAAGATTGACAGATACATTCAGAAATAGATACACAAATGTCTCTTTTCTTTTGCCATTTACTATTTTTAAGATTTCTTAAAAGTCGTGCTTCGATTTCCAACAATGATTTATTAATAGCATATATATATTATTTTTAGATGTTCATTTTGTAAACAAGCATTCTGGATCCAAACACTTAGAATGAAAATCAGATGTAGCAGTCTATGAGAGAAGTATGAATATGTCCTTAAACATTGTATTTTGCAGTCTTTGCAGAGTAATTGTTCTTGGTTTAATGACTGATGATTATTTTGACTTTATGAAAAGGAACAAATTTGATAAACTACATGTTCTGTCAGCCATGATGAAAGCAGCTTAGGCGACTGATGAGATGCTTATTCTAAGCAAGTTTTACTCAAACAAATATGGTTTCTCTAAATAGCAGTCGTTGTCGTTTAGTTTAGGGTGCCCATGTTTCAACCAGTTTCCTCTGTGTTAACCAGCAGTCCTTTTCTTTCTGTGGCTTGGAGTTTATTTTGAAAGTGTCACCTTGCAGTCCATCCACAAGGCAAGTGAAATTGTATCTAATAAAAATGTTGTGCAGTTTACCTAATTCATCTCCCCACATATGGTTCTCCTTATTCTGATTCTGTGGGTGGGCCATGACTTCCATACAGCTCAATCAGTTCCTCTTGAAAAGGAGACCATATGGGTCACATTTTTACATGTTGTTTGGTATGACAAGGCTACAGCACGACCAGTGAGGAATGTGTCCTCACAGAGGGGCGACACAGAAACGCTGTTGTGTTTGCTTTCTATTCACATATGCACGTTAACTTCCCGAGCAAGAGAAGAGAGGGTCTGGTGTTTTCAGAGTTTCAGCCGACTGTTTGTGAACTAAACTGTCACTTCACATTAATATTATAATTGGGACCTGTGTCTTTATCAGTTTAAATCTTTCAAAAACTTGCTCTTTTAACAAGTGGCTTGTTCTTTAAAAATTACAGGGCGATAACTGCATTAGTCAGTTCTATTATGAGAGTTCAATGTGATTTAATCAACACAGAACTCTTGTAAATCATTTTCTCATTTGTATGCTAATACATTTTTAGAGGAACATTTTATATGAAAATCCACAAAATATGAGGCATTTAGGACATTTTTTTTAGGTTTTGTCTGAACAAATACATTTCTGACATTATATGCTATAAACATCTGATCTTTTCTTTTTGTGAGGGCTGGTTATGTCCTTTTGTTCCACATCTATGGAACAGTTTAGATCAAAGAACATCATAAAATTTAGAAAGAGGTTCAAAGGTAAAATACAAACCAGAGCAGAGGCCCAGGATATTGCTGTTTCTGAAGCCAAACATGGGTCATCCCATATTAGTCATGGTGATTTACTGTATCACCATACTCTCAAGCCCGTCTTTAATATGCTGCTAAAATGTGCTGCCATAGATGAATCAGGGGATATCTGGGCACGATTATGAACAAAGCAAGGCGATTTACAAATAAAAGAGAAAAGAATTACACATTTTTCAAAAAGGCAACAAAGGCATAATTAACTGCACAAACACATGCTGAGATGTTCAAATATCGAATAAATTTGGGATGTTTTCTCTAAAACCTTGAATCTAATGAAGATGTTGCATCTTGAAAGATAAACAAAGTAAAGAAAGTCGCACAGGTATAATGTTTTATGAAGAAACCTCTTGATTCAATGCAGATTGTTCAGTTTTTGTCAACTTAATTGACTATATGATTGCCTGTGTACACAATAACTGGAAAGTCATCTTTACATCACTCAAAATGTTACCAAATGTTTCTGTGTTGTAATTTTTGATGTAACTGTTCTTGCCAGTGGGGTTCCAGATTTCAGTCTTATAATGTACCCCTCTAAACTAGTCTAAACTGTTGCAGAATTGAATCTAAACTATGGCATGTTTTTTCAGGGTGAAATATTCTCACTATTATTATTTTCACTAGATTAGATACATGATCTATTTCCAAAATAAAGTTGTGTCTTTCGTAAACCCAAGTTCTGTTTTAAGAGGAAAAATAAATTCAGCTCGACCAAAATGCTCTTTCCCTTTGCTGATCTTGCCACTGGTATCAATTTATTGTTGAAAGCACACAAAGATGTCAACAACTACGACTGAACCTGGTTCATGTGTATTCTGGCAGCTGTAAGTTTTACTGTGAAATTGAATTTCTCCCACCAAGGATAAGAATACACTAAAGGAAATCTATACTTTATGATCCAGGTGGAGCCATAATCCAGCCATGAAGTCCTCTGTGGTACAATGTTGAAATCTGCACGGCAAACATCTGGCTGCTTAGAAACATCTGCTTGGATACATCTGTGACAAAGTGGTGTTAACTGGTTACTTTTTGAAGTGTGGTTAATGTAATTATTTCACAGAGATCCAATAATCCCCTGTTTTGGATCAGTATGCGTTTAACCACCATCCCTATTTAGTGCAGACTATAGAAGGATGCTCAGCAGTCCTCTATCTGATCATGTTTGGACAAATCTTAACACATCAATCAGATGGTTTTGGGCCACGAGGAGCTCAGTGCTGTGATTACAGCAGAGATAATCTTTAGCACACATGCTGTCTCCAAGGGGTGCTGTGGAAAATTGGCTCAGTTGCCGACCTTCCTGAAGACACTTTAGGATAGGTTTCTGTTTTAATAGCAACTGTACATTTCGTTAGAAAAAGTGTTGGTGGTGATTTTGTTTCTTGTGCTACACAGCAAACAAAATTAGGATGAGATGGAGCATTGTCACTTATACCGATCCAAGAGAAAATGGAATTATGAACATTTATTATTTTCTTGTCCTCAGAACATCTCCAGTAAATGATCCTGTTACATATAGTTATTGTTGTATGTTGTTACGTGGTCTGTTGTTGTAAAACTCATCTTCCCTGAGGACAATGTCATGATTATTACTTCCAAGGTGACAATAATGTGCAATTCACTCAGTACCAGCAGTCCTGTGTTGCCACTGCCCAGTTAAAGCAACAGCGTTGAAATTGAAGACGGATGAGGATGAAAACTGATTTAATCTGGTTCCTGTTTTCATTTTCCCCCTTCATTTTCACTGTATATTTCAGTGCTTTCAACCTCTTTCATGCCATGCCGAAACCTGCACTCTATAAAGTACTGTTTTTCACATGTTTCTTTCTTAGCACAAAAGAGAAGAAAAAAACACTCACTCACATTTTCTGCAAACTTCTTTAGGTTTAGAACCACAAAAAAATGTTAACAGTGTTTGATTAGTCAATTTGCATATTCTGTTTTTATTTGGAGACGGTCATATTTTGCCTGGTAAATAAAGGCACTTCTAAACCAGCACAGACTGTTTTATTTAATTGACACAAACACAAATGTGTGCCTTGTCATGCGGAATAGTGACCAGCTGATTGGACAGAACTTTCATTGTTTTTTTCTATAACTTCTCTTGTGAAGAAACTGGATGAGTGGGCAGTTAGATTTTGGAATGAGGGAAACTGATTGATGCTGATTAAAAATCTGATTTGATTATAAAATACTTAACTCAAGTTAAAAATTGCTTAAGTTAAGGATCAAACATTCCAAAAGCTTTTCATTTGCTGCAGTCCTACTCTTTGAAAGATTCAGGAGAAAATCAGTTGTGTAAGTGTAATTTTATGTTATTCAACTTTGTCCTTATTTCTTTGCAGTTGCCAGATGAACTGATCTAATGGCAGGCTTTGTAAAATGTCAGTGTCTTCCTCTACTTACATACCATCTTAAACTTTAAAGACTCTACACACCTGCACTACATCGATTCCTTACAGGAGGAAAACCCCTGAGGGCCAGTTCTTTTACATGATGCTCTACAGCTGTTTTTTGTCAAAACAGGCCACAGTTGCTGCATTTTAGAAGTGCAATTTCAGTCAGATTCAGGAGACTAATGCAGTTTTCCACCAAGAGCAGATAGGAGAAATAACTGATTGACTTTGTAATAACCGATTAATGTACGTTAATTAGTGGTTGTTTCTCTAAGGATTCTAATTGATGATATCATACAGTTTACATCATTTGCGATTTAGTAAAGAAATTGAGATGAATATAATTTCCACTAATAAAATCTGTAGTGATTACAATATTATTTTGAGCCCTACAAACCTTATACTATGTCTATTAATTATATAAACATTTGAAAACATCTATAACGTCAGAAAAATAACTAAATATATTCTGGTTTTAAGGTAATAGCATAAAAATCCTTGAATGATGACGCATATTACTTTTCTGCACCTGAGGAGGATGAATAAGTGATTACAGACAATACAGCGAAAAGGAATCTAAAATTTAGCGGGTGGCAACTGATAGACATCAACCTTGAAGCCCTAAACAAAAAAGGCTTTTTCAAGGCTGATCACATGAGTCGCCCTCCTCCCCTGAGAGAGCTGTAGAGGTCTCTCATCACAGTATAGTTTAGTGTGGTGAGCTGGTTGAATGCGTAGGGTTCATTAGGCCCCCTCTATTGTTAACATCTGGGTTCAGAATGGCTCTTTCTCTGGTAAATGTTGCTCTACCTTAACAGGGGATTTTATTACACCATGCAGTTGACATTGGCAGCAGTGGCACGTCTGGCAATGGAAACCCCTCAATGGCTTAGGTCACAGGAGATCAATCTAAGCAGGCTGTTTCCCCGAAGTCTTCAGCTTTCAGCTGAGCAGAGGGGAGAATGTGCATTTCATTTTGGTGAATTAAAACAAACATGTATCAGCTGTGGCTCTCATTGTTTTAGATAGTTTTGAATTGACATGATAAGTAACAGGTTAAGCACTGACTTTTGTTTCCTGCATTTTTTTCTGTTGCCTGCATACATTTTATTCTTCAAAATGAACAATTTCCTTGAATATGTAACATGAGTTTTCCATATTGCTCTATTTTTGCCGGTTTGCTCGGAACAGTGTACCTGCTGACACACCATAGCAACGGGCTGATCCCCCACCCCTCCCCTCCAGATATGTGGTCACCATGGCAACTGCTGAATCATTGTGCATCGTCTCCGGACGTCCTTCTAATAAAATCTCCTCATACGCATCACTATCACACGGTCCTCTGTCACATAGATTTGCTCCGCTTCAGTTACAGCAATCTAGGCTGACTATCCTCTACAGACAGCCATTCAGATGGGTAACGTACCCACTACAGTGAAGCATTGCATGAGCTATGAGCAGCTTATCGAGGAACATCCCTGGCTGAGGCGCTGGCTGCTGCAAGAGAAGGTGGGCGTTGTTTTCCTTGTTTCAAATCTGCAGCACATGCTCTACCACATGACTATCTCATGAGGGAGATGCTGCACAACAGCCAGCCATGGGTGACATGGCCGGTGCTGCTTACACAGCGCCCATCTCCAAATGAAATTCAGATCTATCAGTACGAGTTAGAAATTAAAAGGTGCTCTGTCTGAATAAGAATTCTGAGTTGCTATCCTGACTGTGTATCTCAAAAGATTTAGTAATGGTGCCTCTGTTTGTCAGTTTTTGAATGAAAGATTATTCAAATGAACACAGAATTAAGTTATCATAGAGGCCATATAATTCTATATTCAAATTAATTGATTCATTTTGAGTCTAAATTAGCAGAATATTGAAGTTAAGCTACTCAGAAGGCATCGATGAAATGCAGCACAGTTCCTGAACAGTTAAATTTGAGCTGTTGTAGGATTTCTTTATTAAAGCAGCGAGAGGTGAAAATGGTATCAATAGGCTGATGGATACTGATAGATTGTCGTCGCTTTATTGCGTTTGGTCATGTTAATCTTAATTACTTCCCGACTTGTTGGACGGCGGTCTACTTTTAATCATCACAATGAAAACAGTTCAACATTATATAAAATATGTCATCAATGAGGAAACACAAACACAAAGCCTCAGAGTCATGAGAAGTCTCTCTTAACAGTGGTACTTGGGAAAACTTGCTGGCATTTATTTGTTAATCAGGAAAGAACCGCTAATGTTTCCCTGTGTCATCTGTTTATGGAAAAAGCCTTAATGCAAACATAGTACTCAGTTACCATAGCAGTTTACGAAGAAGAGACATTGGTTATGTCTTGTTTCCCCACAACATTATTCTTCTGAAACTTGTGATTATATGTACAAAATAGCAAACACAAATTAGGAAGTTAAAGGTATCCCAAAAATGTATTATGTGCTGTAGCTGCTAATTATCTGCTATTAGTATGAGCCAAACCAAGCCTTACATCGTAGACAAAACTAATATTTTTAGTTTTATCTCAATTATTTTATTCTATTTGGCCTTATGACCAATCAGCTTACCTAATCATCTTTATACTCAGATATCACCCACTTTAAATAAAACCAGTGATTATATATAAGCCACACAGCTAGGTGTTTTAAAATCTCTTTGTCAGTCAGAAAGTCAGCCGTTAAAATGCTGTAATCTGTAATCTCTGTTGAGGTTTTTCATTTATATTCAATATAGGCTCTTTATTCAAAATAATGAGGTTCAAACCAGAAAAATACCCTGATACTTAGAATATCCCTTGCGGTTTGAGTGGAGTTACCCTATCGCTCTCTCCCAGCCTTTTCTGTATGACACATCTCCTAACTTTGCATCGTAATAACATGACAGGCTTATGTTTTGGCTCTCAGGTTTCATGTGGCTTTGAGATATAAAGTTATTCATGTTGAAAATAACATGTCCTGGGGCAACCCACCCTTAAAGGGGTGGCTGACTTTACAATGTTCACCATCCTGTCGCAATTCCTCTTTGATATTTCACCAGATCATTACACAACATAAGTATCCAGCATTTGTGAAAATTGTTGAAGTTGGGCCAAGAGATGGACTTCAGAATGAGAAGGTATGTTAGTAATGAATCTTTATTCATGTGCACCTTAGTTTTCTATTTCTATAAATGATCAGCATCCCTTTCATACATGTCATGTGGACTTTTGTGTTGTTTGTGGGAAGCATATGTTTTTCATTTTCTTTTGAGAGTGAATGAAAGAGATGGCATAGCTCCCGAATCAGTTTGTTCTGTTTTGCATGCTACATACAAAGACTGAGGATGGTGTGGATGTGATTTTAGCTCCCCAACATGTATTCATCAGAAATATGGTGTATTTGGTCATGCTTTGCATGACAAATATTAATAAATGACTGGCTTATATTGTGAAAAACAAACAAAGTCACCAAGAAAGCCTCGTGTTTACTTGATGTCCATTCAAAGTTGAATGGATTCAAACCCAGAAACAACTATTTAGGTTTTATTGTTCCCCAGGAACTTGTTCCGACTAGGGTGAAAATCCAGCTGATTGACATGCTCTCAGAAACAGGCCTTTCTGCAATTGAGGCCACCAGCTTTGTCTCCTCAAAGTGGGTACCGCAGGTAATAAATAACTCTTTGTTGTGCACAGCAACAGGGTGCTGAGTGATTTATCAGGGACCCTTTTTTTCCTACATATGTATGGAGGGATACATTTTCCTTTGCATGCCTTCTGGCCCACAGAAGACTTTGGAAAGTATATTATTCTATTCTATGTAGTTCATTCCACCCTTTCCTTCCTTTCCTTACAAAATATTTTTATTATAATAAGAAATCCTACATAAAAATAACCCTATATCATGCTTGATTATTTACTGAAACCTCTGGGAGGAACTGGTTTAGGTTATGTTAATTGTTCATTTTACAACATCAAATGTTTTACTGCTTTTATTTAGATGGCTGACCACAGTGAAGTACTCCTTGGAATCCAGAGAGCACCCCATGTCCAGTACCCAGTTTTAACACCTAACATGCAAGGTTTTCAGGATGCTGTAAGCTTGAATGATCATTTTTGTGGTACTGACATGAGCTCAGTATAGTTATTATTATGATTTTATCAGTGCAGTTCATCTTCTCAGTTTATCTTCTGACACCACGCTGTTTGTATTTAAATAATTATTGCGCCCTATAAGTACGACTCCAGAACAGTGATATGAGTTCATTTTCTTTGCTGTCTCAAGGTTGCGGCTGGCGCTTCTGAAGTGGCGGTGTTTGGGTCAGCATCTGAAACCTTTTGCACAAAAAATATTAACTGTTCCATTGATGAAAGTATGTCGAGGTTTGAGGAAGTCATCAACACAGCCAAAGAACGACAGATTCCAGTCCGTGGGTCAGTATTTTTTAAACTAGTTAATAGTTTTAATGAGGACTCTCAGATTTCATGCTGAATATATTTTTTTTTGTAAAGGCAAACCACCAATTTTAACAGGCTACAGTTTCTGTATAGGACAAAAGACAATTTTGTAAAGATTTGCTGCAAAGTTCCAGATGTTCTCAAGGTTATATTGAAGAATCAGGAAGCCACAAGTCCAGATGGGCATTTAAGTAAATAGGGCAAAACAAGTCACTGGTCTTTCATCCAAAGCAAACCAATTCAGTGGCTTTTCAGAATTGTAGCAGTTTCGTGCATGAATACAGATCTCAACAGGACACCGCTCAGACCTGGATACAATTTTATGAAGCTATTCTATGAATAAACCTGTTATTGTAACTACCACAGGGACCACAAAAACGCCTGAGGCTCTCTTTACATTAGATGCTGCTTCCCTTATAGAGATTACTAAGATACATGATGATAGTTGAAGTAGGTAGAAAACTGAGTTACCTTTGTTTGCTATCAGGTATGTTTCTTGTGCCCTTGGGTGCCCCCACGAGGGACCCATCGAACCCTCAAAGGTTGCTGAGGTAAAACTGCTTTTTCTCTGTTATTTTCTTTTTCGCAATTATCATTCATTCGGTATGCGCATTGGAATACAAATTTACACATTATACAATAATATTTATTTTTCTCTCCTTTCACTCCAAGCAAACATAATATGATGTTTTATTTTGTCTGAGCATGTATCTTAAAGTTGAATTTCTTCATTAACAAACACTGTTTGTCATGTTTTTCTCTGTTCTTTAGGTGGCAAAAAGATTATATGATATGGGCTGTTATGAGATTTCTTTGGGGGACACCATTGGTATTGGTACTCCAGGTTCCATGTTTGAGATGCTACAGAGGGTGGTAAAAGATGTGCCCATCAATGCTATTGCAGTTCACTGTCATGACACATATGGACAAGCTCTTCCCAACATTCTTACTGCACTTCAGGTAAGATCATTGGACATTGGAAATTCCTCTTATCAAATAAATTTGGAGTGAATGCTGAAAAAGAAACAGTGAATCATACATTATAATTAATCGATGCAGGACAAATCGATACCCGTTTTAGATAAGACAGCTTTCTGTGAGTGTTTCTGAGCAACTTATGAAGATATGTCCAAAAAACAGTCTGTAATATATATAAGAAAGTCTGAAAAAATTAAAAATGGCTGTGGATCGCTCTTTTTCTTTATTTTTATCTTTTTTTTTTACTTATGACAATAATTGATTTGTTTTCAGTTCACAAAGACAAAAAACTTTTTTAAAATCTTTCATTACCCTGAGGAATTCTACTTTAAAGTGCTGTGCTAATGGAAACTGTCCTGCTGGACTTAGAAAAGAAGAAGGAGGAAGATTCAAAACTCTCAAAACCTAACAGGCATCCAGCATTCATCTTTGAAAATAGAGACATGACCTCTCTGTGACTTTGTCGGAGTCACGGGTGGGGGGAAAAGGAAGCAAGACTGAAAAAAGTCATGGTTGAAATCTGGTAGGAAAAAAGGAGGGCATGAGCTCTAATGATTCTATAAGGACAAAAAGCAGTTTAATCCTTGTTTGAGGAATGTGATAGGGGCCTACTTTCTCTCACAGAGGCTTGTGGATGGTTAGGCATACTGGTGTGATTAGAATATAAGGCTCCTTTGGGAGTGCACGAGACAACAATACATCATCATTTTGATCTTTCTGTTAAAATTTTTGACAGCTTTACTTTCTGCTTTCCCAGTGACTTAGGAAGGACTTTGCGGTATATTTGCCTTCAAACACTCACCCTTCTTCCAAAACTGAATATGAATATTCTAGTGGAGAACCACAGGCCAGTTATGGATAAATACCCAGCTCTGTGTAAATCAGTGCCGTTACTCATGATGACATAAAGCGGAGCAACCAGATGTCGAGGCAGGATACCTTTTAACTTTCTCAAGTAACTGCCAACATTATAGAGTACACATGTTTGTTTGTTTTTTTCTCTTGAAGATTTTGAATCATTTTCATGCTGGGGATAATCATATGTTAAGCTTCTCCCAATCCATCATTTCAGCATTCTAAAGCATAATCTTTTCTTTTCTTTTTGCAAACCACAAAGGACGAATAGTTCTGCTTATCCTCTGAAATCAAGCAACAAGAGGTTAACTGTCTCTTTGTCCTTTATATGACTGAATGGCATTTACCTTGTTAATACAGGGCATTAAAAAATTATCTAAAATGTAGACATTATTTATCATTTCCAAAAATATTACAATACGTGTTGAGCTGATATCAGAACTGCTGCTCTTTTGATTTTAAATGACATTAAGTGATTTCAGAAACGCAAATTTTACCCACAATGAATTAAGAACTGACCAATAAAACACAAGAAACAAAAGAAAAGAAAAGGAACGTATACTGGATGAACAGAGAAATATAGTAGCCGACAATAATAGAGATGTGATTGGCTGCCTGACGACTCACAATAGCATAACAGAGCTGCAGAACTATGTGGAAGAACTGTGTTTGGGGGTTTTTCACCGCTTTGCCTGCAGCGAGTGTAAACCTGACAGATATCCAGACATAAAACAGAGGTAAAGCAGATACGGCTGTATCAGTTCTCTGGTGTACATTGTCACTACAGAGGAAGAAGCCCATTGGGGGCAGGGTGGGTCAACAGATGTGAGGGGGTCAGCACAAAGGCTCACCTATTCAGTATCTGTTGGACAAAGCGTCTGAGAGCGAGGTGGATAGAAGGGCCCTAGGGGGCTGCTAACTCGTCTGTCGCTTGGCTGTTGAACTCTCTGACAATGCTGCGCTTAAAAGCCAGTGGAAAACGATCCTTTCATTTGCCCGATGCAGTGCATGTGATGAATGGTGAAGCAGCCACAGATCCAGCCCCAGAAGCTTTGGAAGCCCTTTCAGGAGCCAACCCGTACGTTGTTCAGAGGACAATTCTAATACCGGTGGCATTATGTTGAAATTTCATCTCCTGTATTAGCTATGATTTGATTCAATATTACCTGAGAGAAATTACCCAAGTTACAGCCACATGAACCAGCAATACCTGTCAAAGACTTACACCAATCATTTCTGGACAGGTTATTAAGCTAACAATAGTTGCTTAACTACCGGGTAATTAACTTAATTTCTACCTGGTACTGACAATCCGGCAAAGGTCAGCATGATAATGTAGCAGATATTTTCAAAGTTCACTTAGATTTTGAACAGGGGTGTGTATAAACACGCAGAGACAGTAAAATTCTTTGGTGGATCAAATTCAGAGTGATTCATCGCAGCTGCCCCATAACCACAGAAAATAATGGCAGCCGGGAATATTTAGCTTACCATTTGCTCATCCATAAACAAGAAGGAAATGAAAGATTTTATCATAGTTTTTCATTACCCAGTGCCAGAACTCCACACCGCCAACTGGGACAGAAATGAATTCCCCCAGTGCTGTCAGCCTTGAGTCACCTCTTTTGTTCCTGATAAAGACATTCCTCAGTCTTTGTAAGTTTTTTTTTTTTCCAGGAGGTCTGGGGGGCTTTGTTAGAAAGCTACACAGGCAGGTCACACAATGACAATGAATATTCTTGGATTTCACAGGCTTGGCAAGGAAAATTATTTATTCCTGGTCACAATACCACTGTCGCTGGGGGATACAGTATAACCTGTTTGGATCCCCGGTAATGTTAACATTCATCTGAACTATTTATATTTTCCTTATTTATGAGACACCGTTCAACCAGTTTGTCCTGTGAAGGGCCAATAACTTTCTTTTATACATAGGCAGCACCTCTGACATCCGGCTATTTTTTTGGTAGTTTTTTTTTATTTGAGTTTACCGTGTTATAGTTTGTTGTGAAGTTGTGAAGTACCATTTTTTAAGGAAAAAGAGACAATGATGATTAAATTCCATACATTTTTTACTGAATTTGCTCATTCCAAGAATATTTTTGATTTGTAGTTTTTGTTGGAGTCAACAGATAAACAATTTATTTTCACCAAACCATTTCAACTTGATATTGCATGTACTTTAACTGATTTTGTGTGCACATCATTACACTGAGACAGATGTGTTATGAATTGTTTGGTTCCTTCTGCTGTTTTTACTCTTTTTGGTAAATACATTTGTGGAGGGGGCGTGGCGCTCAGCTGCAGGGGGGAGGGGTGGAGGAG